GCAATCAGGTGCCTAATTAGTCTTTTGATCTCTAAAGTTTTACGACTGAACTTTTCAATGAACTCGTGAGAAGCAAACGCAATCATCATATAAACATTTTTCTAGTAAATCTAAAATAGAGTAAAACCCAGGGAAAAGGATTGCGTGGTTATTTGATAATTTCATAGGAATTCGGCATATTTCAATTTTGAAATAACAAAAGTCAGTCTCGGAAGAATTTTCCAAGCATTCCCTGCTTCGATGCGTTTTTATTGCAAGGGCCGTTTAGCGCCGATATGAATTCATTAGGGCATTAGGGTTGTGCTTTATTTGTTTTATTTATATAAATGTTATGAAATGTGTACGACACTTTAATGAATTATTTTTAGGGTTACAATGCATATTTGACTTTTCCCTCTAAACGTTTAAAATTCATCGTTATACTTTTCTTAGTTTGATTCAATAAAATTAACATTGGATCCCAGACAGTTATCAAATTCTCAGACATTTGATTAATATAGATATTTGTACTTCCTTTGACCAGTGGCTGGTGTGACTGAGATTCGAATCTTATCTGTTTCATTTTTATGTAAATTGAGAGGAATAAAGTTTCATTTTAAACGTTTTAATCAAAGGACAGAATACAGGAATAAGAACATGCCTTTTATTTGTTATTCAAGCTCGAGCAATATCCCCGTTATAAAACCAAAATAACTGCGGTTAGGTAGCATCTTGATTACAGTAAAGACAGGCCATCTTATTTTTAGGAATTATTTGTGCCTCTCATTCCTTAAAATAGTGAAGTTAAGGGGTACTGAAATCTTTCTTTTGATATTTAGTGCTTGAATGGAGATTTGTTTCCACTCCCCGCATTCTAGTAGAATTTAAATATTTGATCCAAAGGAGTTATTTTAAATCAAACTTGCATTCCGATTAATTAACACTCCCATGATTGAACCGCTTCACTATTGTCTAAGATAATTATAATGCATTCACGGGACACTATAGTCTTCCTTTTAAACTTTAGTGTACACTTGTAAATTTTAAATATTTGATTTAGGTAGGTATTTGCAATCCAACTCTTATGATGCAAGACTAGTCAGTCAAGACTAAATTATGAACTTATTATCATTTAGACTATTGAGTTCATTAAATTATAATTCCAAAGATGTCATATTTAATCCTGTCAACACAATAATGGTATTAATTGGCATGATATGTAATCAGAGACGGTTTAAAAAGTTGTTTAGATTAATGATAGTATTAGGAAAAATCCTAATTCAAAGTTTTTGTTCTCTCGCAATCCAGAGCAAACCACTCGCCGGGCAAGCATTCTTTAAAAACGTGAAGTTTTCACCATGTTGAGCAGTTTTGAAAATTGTCCAATTTGAATCATCGCCTTGTATATTTCTATAACTGCCCCCCCCCCCTTGACACTCGAGTGTAAGAATCCTTTCCACACTGTCAATGGTTTTACAAAATAGTTCATGTCAGGAAGGGGGAGGGGTGAGTGTGGAGAACAATCATTGACTGCGATTTGTATGATTGAACATTATACACTTATCATAAATTCGTAAAGAATAAAATAAACATGAGTTACTTGTAATTATCAGACCGATCTTTTATGGACAATATTATATATGTATCAGACTATTTTATGGGCAATATTATATATGCAAAGAATTATTAAACGCTTGCTGCATGCAAACATACAACACTTTTTAATTGGAATACTTTACTTAGTTAATTAACACAGTAGTCATATGACACACGAATAAGACGTAACTGGTCCGAGGATAAGCTCTATCTATCTCTCAATAGAGTGAACTTTTTATTCCTGAGAATTAGTAGTTAGTCTTGATTATTACTTATGGATAACACATAAAGTATTCTTTCTTAGTAGTGCTTACAAAATAGTGTTTCCCGTTGTGTATGTTTATAGAGTGTTCAATATAATCAGAGACATATAAAACAAATACAACACTCTAAGGTATAATTACTGATTGGAAGTTCGCATAATTATGATATAGTGATGAACATTGGATCTCCTCATCATTTTGAATAATATGCCTCATTACAGTAAAACTGTAATGTGCAATACATCTCTAACATTACAATACGATACGATAGATACTATACGACATAATGTGATACAATATAATACAATACAATACGATACAATATTTTGTAATTTACAATTTACGTATTAGAACAAAATCAGGCTTTGAAAACAATTATACAGAAGGTTAATAAAAACAGACTGTCAAATTCAAATTATTAATTGCTATGTAATAGATTTGTTATTTTCCATCGGACAAGATTCACATCTGGACTTTATAGCAATCCACCCACACAGTCCCAGCTTGATGTAAATCTAAATTCAACCAATATTATATTTCTTCGTGGCAGATTGAACCAATGCGCAGAAGTAATCATTCAAGAAAAGTGCCTCTGTGGCTTTGTCAGGGGGCACGTTTCTTTTAAGTATCAGCATAAGTAAAATAGGCTTATTCCCACATGGACGATTCTGTGATTCCTCGAGGCTTGCAGAACCATCTCAAATGTATAAATTAAAATCGAATGGAGAAGTCAGTTGTGGTTAATTTAGGTCTGTTTGGGTTATCGTGTTCTTTGAAGGTGGGACCTCTAAGAAAACATATACGATGATCTGCTAATGTTCTGAAGCTAAAAATAGAGGTGTAACAAAGGGTAATTTCCTTTAAAGTGGTCACTTTTTTACGAGATCCTTTACACTGCACAGCTTTCCTAGTACTAAGAATTTTGTTTTGATCTTTATTTCATAACTATTCTTTGGTTTTAAGCATTTTTGGCAATTATCTTGAAAATGGACCTTCCACTTTTCAGTTCTCAAAAATTCGGACATTTATGTAGCTTAGATCTTCCATAAATGATAATGCATGTCAAAATGTTATGGAATGGAAGTTATGACGAGAACGCATCACTGGCGGATTAGGGGGGGGGGCTGGGGGCCCGGGCCCGCCCCCCTCCCCTTGGGTGGGCCCAGAAAAAAAAATTGGGCCTTAAAAAAATTTTGGGCCAAAAAAGGCCTTAAGGCCCCAAAAAGTGGGCTTTTTTGGTCATTAATGGGCCTTTTAAGGCCTAATTTTTTAATTTCAGGCCAAGTTTTGAAGAAAATGGGCCTCAAAATTTCAAAATTTGGGCCCACTTTTGGGTTTTAGGGGCCCAAATTTTTTTCTCTGATCTGAAATTTGGGCCCCCCCCCCCCTAGTTGATTCTCAGATCCGCCCCTGCGCATGGATGCTTTTGTAAACTGAATCAGTGTGTCAAGACTAGTTACACTCTCTTTTAATTGATATCACTTTCAAGATAGGAGCTCCAAGGCTGAGAAGAAATAAAATTTCATGTTTATCATGATGTGATTTGGTTATTAGATGAACTTCAGGGCAATTCGATTACACGTACATGATATGTCGATTTGTAAACCGAGGCGGTTGTCGTCGTTTAGATGACATATTCTAATCTGGTTGTTGATACATAGTGAAAGGACTAGCACAAATGTTTCTTCTCACTTGTTTCCCAGAAGAATGCTGGATATGAAATTATGAATCTTTCTCTTAGACTAAACATGTAGATTGCAACGAAATGTATTATTTGACTGACCAATGCTCCAGAATTGAGCGAGTTTACAAATAACTGTAATGTGGCGGAATACTCTCCAGTCCTTCCCATCTTACATATGAATATTTTATGAGTTGCGGGTCGTCGTGAATCTATGTTAAAACAAAATTTCCATAACATCTTCCAATTATATGAATAAATGCACATGGTGTGGCGAATCACGTTTACCCCCCCCCCCCCCCTAGACACAAACATGTGGGTGGCGCAGATAGGTACAGTGATGCTTTATAAATAGGGATAAGCTTATTCCAGGCGGAGACAATCGCCGAGGAGTCTGACTGTCCCAAACTGTAAAACCCACCTGATTGATTGTATGTTCACATTAGTTGATTAATAAAACTGGTTGATCATTGATAGACAGTCAAGGATGTAACTGAGATTACCACAAAGTCATATACGTTATTGATGTCCTCCTACCTCCCTCGTTTTGTTATTACTTATTTCCAAGTACGTTAATCGTATCTCTTAGAGTTCTCTGAGGACACATTTTATTTGTTGGAGGATGTTGTATCAACATTTTATATTCATTACTTTCTGTTATATAAGTTATATATTTAGTTGCTGATAGACTGCCATTCGCCATTGCTGTCAAAGTTATGGTAAATCATCATTACAAATAATAGGAGTTTGGTTATCTAGACTGAGGCTACCCTTCCCAATTGTAAGAGAAACCATCATTAGCAATCGATTTTCACTTTAGATCATGGTTTTAACTTTGGGATAGTTGGCGTTTGTTTTCCTTATGACTGGTGTACTCTTTGATATTTTCTTTTTCTTTCCCTTTTGCCCTTTGCATACTATTTTGGTTTAAAAGAGATGTTCATCTACATCTAATACACTAGGCTCCGACCTTCAGGGAGACGAGGGCTGGCCTGGTCTTCATTTGGAAATTTTGATCCAAATTTGACTTTCGATGTTCCATAATAAAGATATGCATTGAAGTTTTGTGTGAATGATACGGATGATGTATCTACACGATGGAATGGTTCATGGATGTGCATATTTAAGGCTGGTGTATGCGAAAGTGTGGTGTGCTTAGTTTCGTCTAGTGCGCACAGTTCGAGGAAGTATGTATGTCTTAAAAAGGTGTATGCATACTTTAAGAAAGAATGGTTTCATGAAGTAGTATATGCATGTTACTGGTGTACACTGTTCATGATGAGTAATGAGTTTGAAACAAAGTCTGGCAACGAGTGCAAAATTCAAATTGAAACAGTCGTGATGTGATTGCTTGGTGTTGTTGAATCTAAATGAACATGGTTTGGTATTTTTGCTAAAATCCCGTATTAATTATGTTCATATATTATATTTACTTTAAAGTGTGCATGTTTTTTTTGGAAATGATCCTTAACATTTTGCACGCCGTTCGAGTATATGGTCCTGCTGACGATCATCGCCAACTGTATAGTACTTGCACTAGAAAACCATCTTCCAGAAAATGACAAAACTGCACTATCAACTCAACTGGTACGTATATTTTATTGTATTGTATTGTATTGATTGTATTTTATTGTATCTTTTATTACCAAAGGTACATATTAATGACATGTAATTTGTTTTTCTTGTAAATTGATACCCTATTCTAATAATGATACTGTATGAATGTGTGCTGATAAGATATCATTCCTAAAGGTTTCTGTGAAGTTTTTTGCTAAAAATAACTTCTCTTTTTTACTGAAAATGATTTATGCAAATGGAGGATAAAAGTTAACGGTATATCAGATTGTAGTTTACGTTTCATAATTATTTAATAAATCTTATTCCAGTTATATTTGTATTGTAAAACCTTGACATGCTTATACTAATCGGCAACTTTGAGACATTCTAAAAATATCGTGAACGAATTGTTAGTTTATAACTTTTTCTTTTCTCCTACAATTGCTACAGCTGGTGCGTTGGATGAATCGTATATTTTCACTTTCTGGTTTGCTGCACTGTCTTTCACTTACACAATGTCTCTCTCAGATCGCAGCAAAAATAACACATGTTATGCTATGTGTTACGTTTTATTCTGCAACACACTATTCTTCACGCAACATGATATTGAAATTAGATCAGCGATATTATTTTGATGAGTTCGGGATTAGGCGCTATTATGTACATATTACATTATCCCCAGGATGTTGTAAAGTGTATTTTTAGTGCAGATCAAAATACCATGATTTTACACTTCATAGTCACTTACCAATACACACTTTCCCCAAATTGTTGCACAAACTGTATATTTCTTAAAATGTACCGATTGGAACGAATTCATTGGGAACGCACAGTAGTTTTTTATTCTTACCATACCGTCGAAGTGAAAAACAAAAATAGTTCTTATATCCGATTGTTCAATTTATTTAAAGCGTTGTGATATCGTCCTAAGGCTTCTTGGTTTACGATGACACCCTATATTCTCTTTGAAATATCATTGTTCGATTTGATTGAGACGTTCTTAAGATATAGTATAGATAATTATTTGTTTTATTTTTCAGGATGAAACCGAAGTGTACTTTTTAGCAATATTCTGTGTAGAAGCTGTTTTAAAAATAGTAGCCTTAGGATTTATACTTCACAAAGGATCGTATTTAAGAAACGTGTGGAATATTATGGATTTTATAGTAGTTGTAACCGGGTAAGTTGACATATTTTATTTACACTCGTTTAAGATCTATAAATTAATTCAAATATTCCCGGGTAAATATTTTAAAAGTTCTGAAGTTGCATGATGGGAGTTCAAACTTTTGTCCAATCAAAATGAGTGTAAAATAAGCTTTCTCGATTGGCCAATGAAATTGGTTGTAGCATACCTGTTCGGGTCGGCTTATGTTTAGAAACTAAATTCAACAAAATATTAGTTTATCGTCAAATTTCATGTTTAATTGGAATCCAGTCGACTATTTACGATGTGCTTTGAATGTGAAAAAACAGAATACAACAATGTCTCGAATTTAAAGCTGAAATGTGGCAGACTTAAGTTGGAAATGGCCTTCAAAACTTTTCGAAAAAAGCAATTTGCCCGGGGCAATTTGGGAGCTGTGGTAATAATAATATACTGTATGTTTTACAATTTATTCTCATATTGAAACATTGGTATATGGATATATCTGTAATTATATTGAATTTACAATATTTTTGTATTATCATAATATGTAATGTTCTAGTGTGATAGTTTTACTACATTGCCTCGAATCAAATCTGATTTTTCTGAGACCTCGCTGGACCATGAACTGACTTGAACTTGTCCATATATCTGTGAAAATTACACAAAAATTGTCCAAGGATTTTCCTTAGCATTTCCCTAATCTTGAATTTGATAGAAAAAACCTTTAATGTTGCCATGTCTCGTATCATCTAATCCAGAGACATCTGTCTTATCATAGTTATATGGCCATATCTACATTCACATCTACATGGACTGGTATTACTATGTTCAGGGCCCTGGCTCCTATTATAGACTACACACTACAATTTACAAAAGAGGACAAAGTGTAATGAGGGTGCCCATTAGGTTTTCAAGTATTGAAAATTATCACATGATAAACTCTAGAATCTCTTGAATCTAGATTAAATGGATCTAAATAGGTGGGGGGAATTTGTGGGATGAAATAAGTCACAGCAATCTTAAAATGAAACATATCAATCTAAAAATCTAATAAGCACCCTGCAAAAATTAAGAATTAAATCAGATCCAATCTCCTGAATTTCAAAATAACATCTGCTTTCCAATTTTCAAACTGAAAGTCTAGAAAGTGACAGGTCCCTTACCCTGTTTGATATATGGTCCAGTAAAAGGAAAGGGTCTTTAATATACATGTACTTAGCAATTCTTGACATCCATATACCTGAGGATCTAGGACATCTATAGAGCTCAATACCAAATAGCCATATGTGAATATGGCAAAGTGTGATTTTTTTCAGGAGCCATTAGATTATTTATTACACGAGGGCACTAGAGACTGTTTTTTATTTAATTGTATGGGATTCAATTTTCTCCCACAATTTTCAATAATTCACAATATTGTAAGAAACAGATCCTGTATTTAGATCGAAGTCAACTATGGATGTCATATCAAATTGGATTGTATCATTACATATTATCCCTGTTGATTGGATTTACTTTTTCAGGTATACTGTATTCAACATTGATGCATGTTTTATCCCATGCTATGCATGTTATTGTAGACTTGTTTTGCTGAGAGAATGCATGCAAATTATTAAACCATATCTTGTACAGATTTTTCTATAACAGAAGTCACAATCAATGTACATAATGCAAAAATCAAGTACTAAAGTGTGATATCTGAATATGAACATGCATGTATTATAATATATAGTTAACCTCTTGGATACCAGGGCGTTTAATTTACCAATTTCAGTGTAATGTGCAATAATCTATATTTAGAAAAATAAATTGTCATAATAGATTGAGTCACAAGTTAAAACTAGGACAATTCCTTGTTGATCCAGAGTACCAAGAGGTTAAGTAAAAATATAAACTTGTGTGTTGAGTGTTTTTAAAAATTGTTTGTGTAAAAATTATTTCATATGTCTGATGTGCCCCTGTAAATACCAGCAAACAGCATCGCTTCTCTCCTCTACTTATTTACAACATACTTTGCTTGATATTTTGTCCTATATTTTAATAATTGTGTCATTTTGCTTTCAGATTACTAGCACTTTTTATAAAATCATTTGATCAACCAGCCATTAGGTCCATAAGAGTTCTACGTCCTTTAAAATTAGTGACTGGTTTTGAAAGTAAGTGCAAGAGCATCAGGCAATGCGGGGACCCCTGGAACCCTTAAGCCATACACTATGTCTCTTAACACTAAGGCTTCCACATAGATATAGTGCCTCGTAGATTGCTACAGGGTGCCTACAAAAACAAACCTTTTGGAAATAATTTAAATTCTGAATTAATCTATCACTCACAAGTGTTTAGATTGTTTCATTGAATTACATACATCTATACCTTCAGACTGTGCTATCTATTGTTTTCAATTTTTCATATCTAGATTTTTGCTTTAAGGTTTGTTCACTTCATGTTTTGGCACCTTGTAGAACATTGTAGTGATTATGTAAGGTATATCTTCCCGGCATAATCAAGGCAATGGAGTGCCCAAGGGCTACCCAAGGAGAAGCCCCCGTGCATGTAGACTAGTGGCTGACATAGTAGCGACCCACTAGGGCAGGATTGAGCTTCAGTTAAGAAAAAAACCTTCACATAATTAAAAATTCAAAGAACACCAAACTGTTCTTCATTCAACTCAAGTCCACCAAAATTGAAATAACATGACACTTAAAGCCAATCCTTGCTTTGATGAAACTGTATTATAAGTCAGATGCTCCATATCAATTAGTCTGTTATTTAATCCTGGACTCTAGCTGAATATTGATATCAAATTATTGTCTTCAACATCAATGCTCCATGCTGCTCTGTGGGTTCATATTGTATGCAAGTGCTGTGGGTGTATATACTAATGGCATGAAGAGGACATATACATTGTGTAGGGTTGTAGTTGTGTAGACTTAGACCTGTTTATAGCCTAGATGCAGGGTTGGTGCAATACCTGTATACATATATCCTAGATACAGGGTTGGTGCATTGATATCATACATATATTTAAGGAAACACTCGCTTAATTCAATTTCTGATTGATCCACATATTTTTTTTGTTTATTTGAGCTTTTATAGCAATCTTGGATTATAAACATAGTTAGAAATGAAAATTCACTTCAATTTGATAACAGAACTTATTCCATTATAATAATGAGCATATATACAGATCCCAAACTCTTTCTATCCAAAGAAATGATCTCTATTCATCCCCATTCACTCTCTAATATATCCAGTCTGTAATCATTCACACACTTCCTTCCCAGAGAACCCTGTTGTCATTTTGGTGTTCTAGACCTCAGAGAAGAATAGTCCTCCTCCCATTTCCTACCCTCAATCCCTCTCTCAATCATCCCCATCCCCAATACAGAATTAAGTCCTCCTGCTCAGACATTTAACTGAGGTTATCCTATAGGTAATGCTAAGTAGCGTCATAGAATTTTACATTAGGTACAGTGTGCTATGTTAAATGTCACAATGCATTCGTCTAGTAGGCATCATCGATCATTCTAACTACATATTCTAGCTCTATACAATACATTCACTGAGGCACACTCACACATCATATCATGTCCATGTATGTACAGTAAATCTAAATCACCTCAATTTTATACCAGCGGGTCATAGATTACAGAAAGTAATTCTCTCTCATGCATCTGTTTTAATTGATCTTATTTATTCTATCGCCATTTCCCTATTTATATTTATTAAATCTATATCCTTGTGGGAGCTTTTACTCGGAGATTGGAACACTCCCCTTTTTTATAGATCATCCCTAACATTCCTTTGGAAATATATTGAACTGAATAGTAATATGATAATCCATCTACAGAGTGTTTCTTTTGATTGAAGCCATTTCAATGAAGTGCCATCAACAACAAGCAATGTTAATTTGCACTGCTCAACTTGTAAGAGAAATTGAAGTATGTGAATGTTGTTGTTATTTTTTTTCTTATTTGGATATTTATTTTTTATTATTTTCTTGCATACGGTGGTCGTAAACATTACCTGCTTCTATATTGCGGGAAACGCTTTCCTGGCCTGTCTACCCAACCAAATTCACACAAATGATAAATTAATATCTTTGCATCAACTATAAAGTAACCTTAGGCATGTAAAACTCTTGGTAGTTGAAGAAATATAAGCATGCCGCTTGAATTTTTTTTCATTTTGCCCTACCAAGGTCTCTTCCGGGTTAATATGTTAGTCAAGGTGTTAAACTATATCAAAACAAAATCATAAGTATTTATTACAAGAAGGTTCAGTTGAAAGGCAAGCAGTGTTGTGCTTTGACTGGAACAAGTTTGAAGAAAAGCGGTGCAGTATGAGATCCTTGATTTTCAAATATCCGGTAGTGCAATAATTCAAATTAACGGTTGGAGTTAGTACTGCATGATATTGAAAATGTATTTCAATTGATTATATTTTATCAATTATCAAGCATTTTAAATGTCTAAGGTACGATTTAACAATTTGAGTTTGGAGCCAAATAATTAATCGATAATTTGTGTGACTTTGGTTACCCAGACAGGCCAGAAAAGCATTTCCCTCAAATTATTACCTATTATATCTACGACCGTGTATGCCAAGAAAATGATAAAAAATAAATTTCCAAATAAGAACCAGGAACATCGAAGAACAGCATACAATGGTTTGATTTATATGACTATTAGTCTGTTACCATTCAGTGTTCCTTCAGTGACTTAAGGTTTTCACCAGCTGCATAATTCTGCAAATGTGGCATTATTAAATGCCTTATTTAATTGCTAAATTCACAGAAGTTTCAAATATTGAGTTTGAACTGGGTGGAAGTAACTTTCAATTTAAAATAACATCATTGCTCGAAATCATGTTAAAGAATAACAAACATACAAGGTTCAGTATATATCCTTTGTTTAAAGGTACTGAATAATCGCCTTAAAGGAATATTCCTTGCCAGACCCTTTCTCTCTTGATATGGTAGCTATAATCATATATATAGTTTCCATATTTAGCAAAACATGGGAAAATGTTTTAATATGGTCAATATTGATCATTTAAAAATCTAGTGCTTATTTCCAGTGAGCTGCCATCTTTTAAGATTTCTTGCAGGAAGTGATGTCATCAACTCTCAACTTCTATAACCTTGCCCATAACAGTATAGGAAAGTAGCACAAAATCACTTCTAGACAAGTGATCATTACTTTCTGTGCAAAAATATTTTCAGGGCTTGTCAACTTTTCAGAAGGATTAAATAAGATACAAAGTTGAAAAAGAATATTTAGCTGGTTTTGTAATTCTTAATAGCTCCTCACCTAATGCTATATGCAAAGTTGAGAGTCGATGACATCACTTCCTGTGTGAAATTTTAAAAGATGGCAGCTTACTGGAATTGAGCATCACATTTCTAAGTGATCAAATTTGACCATATCAAAACATTTTTGCGTGTTTTGCTAAACATGGCAAGCATATATATGGTTATAGCTACCATATGAGGAGAGAGATGGTTTGGCAAGGAATATTCCTTTAACTAAAGCCATCATCATTAAATTCTAGCAATATACTCTGTTCGTCTAAGCTCCTAATTTGGATAAAAGTCATATGAGGTCAATGTAACTTTACCATTTAATTGATGAAAAACATTCCCAATCAATCAGACTGAATAAAGAATCAAATTATATGATGAAAACCCAAGTTTAGCTAATATCGGTTGGAAATTCCATCCATCTTGATCAAGCTAAAGTCATCAGGTTCTATTTAGTGATGCTCTGAAAGAAGATGGAATATTTGGCTTCCCAAGACCTGAGAAAACATTATGCTGATATTGTATTTCGATTCACGACCTTTGCTTCCGTGTGATCAATATTATTATGGATCTATAACTTTTATTTGGTCAAGCTCATGATTCTAAGAACTGCATTCAAATTGAACCTTAGACTCATATTGTTACATCTATCTTCATGAAATACTGCAGATCTTACAATGTCAGATTATCTATGTTCCATTTATGTATTATTTTCATTGTACTACATATTTTTAGTTTTATGGTCAAAGAAGTGTGTTCAGACATACTATTGTATATATACATTCAGAAGTACCATTGAATACATCTTGTAACCCTTTTCAGTTTGAAATGTCTTTTTAAAAGGATCTTAATCCAGTATTTACACGACTAGCCTTTGTGCTTTAATGAAGGTACATTTCGGATGAATGTTTTGAATATCAGTAATAAATGGGAAGGAGTCATTTATGTCACATCATATTTTTGTGCAGAACTCATGCTCTAGACTAACATGCCATTGTATATGACCTAGCTCCTGTACATCCATCATGTATTTGAATGACCAGTTGCTTTAGTTGTTTGCTTTTCCCTATTCTTGTAGCCACTGGACACCAAGGAACACTTACACCGCATAGCAACTAGCCAGACCCCTTTAGCCACCAATCAAGCACATATAAAGACTCCTTGTACACTGTACAATCACATCACTGAAATGATCACCTTTTTTATCATAGGTTACTGACCAAATTCATTGGCCAAAGTGAAAATGTAGGTATTGACTTGCGAACACTCCGAGCGGTTAGGGTATTAAGGCCATTAAAACTTGTCTCAGGAATACCAAGTATGTATCATTGATGGAAGCAAACATTTAACTTTGATTGGCCTTGAATGGCATGCTGTATTTACACATTTTACTCGACATTGGTGCATGTCATGGCTGATATCACATCATGGCTCATCTGAAGGTGCGACCATTGCCACATTGAATACATGTCTCAGTAGAAAAAAAGCGCTCAAGGATTGTGATGTCTGCTTTGATTTGTACTAGGTCTAGTTAAGCCAACCTTTACCTAAAAACCCCTTTGCTAATTCTTTTTTCTTTGAAACTTAACTTCAAAATCATTTTGAAATTTTAAAATGTGCAATTGCTTTAACTTAAGCTTGTGTGGTGGCGGTTGACCTATAATTTAAATAGAATGACTTGCTTTTGCTCTTACTGAGTATGAAACAATCATACTTTTATAAAAATCCAGCTTCATTTTGAAATGGTCTCACTGCATGTTATCGTATTATTCGCTAAGATACCAATACTATGTTTTTTGATAATGAAATCATTTTAAAAAGGTGCACATTGGTGTATAAGTTCATTTTAAGCATGGCAGATAATTCTTTTTATTGCGTAAATTATTATATCCGATTCATTCAGTAGCTATGGAACTCTGAATTGCAATTTCCTTCCATTTATATTGCTTTCTATTGAGCATTTAACACCATCTACATATTCTCTTTCATTCATTTTGATTATATATATCTGGCATGTTTGTATGTTTTAGTCAAATTATTCATTCTCCTTGAATTAAAGGGGTTCAGTCTTGATCTCTGATTCTAAAATATACCCCAAAAAATTTGAAAACACTTGGAGCTTGTATCTTCAATTGTCGTTGGTGTAAATATTCATTAAAATTGCTCATATAATATGTGAAACGATAGCCATTTAAAAATAAATTATACAAGGTGCATGGCACTGCATGCACCTCATATAATGTGCACTTGGTTAAAGAAAACGAGATTGAGCCCATTTAACTTATACATTGCTATTATGAAGATATGTATCTAGGACAAGGCATATACAAGTATTGTAGTATAAATAGAAATATTATTTATATCCCATCAGTTGGTTGCATGTGCAATGATGCTTACTATAATGTTAACATAAATATTTTAGATGAGAGTAGATTTAACTATATGTGTTACAGTATTTTAACTTGCTCCTACTGATTAAATATTGATATGAAAGTATTTTTATGGAGGTGCTTGATTTTTGGTTTGGTTGTTTTCTTAAAAACATGAGTGTATCATGATAGCAAAATAAGTGAAAGAGATCAGGGGAGGATTAGGGTAAGAGTAAATATATATTTTTGATTCTCCAATGAACTTCTTGAGAATCAAATGTCCAAGGAGATGTTTTGTTCAAACTGAAATATATATGAAAAACTGAAATAAATATGAAAACTGAAATATATATGAAAAACTGAAATATATATGAAAACTGAAATATATATGAAAAACTGAAATATATATGAAAAACTGAAATAAACTAAAATATATATGAAAAACTGAAATATATATGAACTATGCAGTGTCTTAAAATGGTTGGTAGAAGACAATGAGTTTTGTCTGAAAATAATTTCACAGTGCTAATCATCATTTAATAGTGCAAAGCATCATTTAATAATGCAAATCATCATTTAATAGTGCAAAGCATCATTTAATAGTTCAAATCATAATTTAAATAGTGCTAAGCATCATTTAATAGTGCAAAGCATCATTTAATAGTGCAAAGCATCATTTAATAGTGCAAAGCATCATTTAACAGTACAACGCATCATTTAATAGTGCAAAGCATCATTTAAAAGTTCAAACCATCATTTACCAGTGCATTAGGCATCATTTAAAGGTGCAAATCGTCATTTAATAGTGCAAATCATCATTTAAAGGTGCAAATCATCATTTAATAGTGCAAATCATCATTAAAGGTACAAATCATAATTTAAATGTGCGAGTCATTAATAGATTTCATCTCTTCATTCTATTCCTGTAATATTATATGTCATCAACAGTCATTTGATGAAATATCATTTTATACTTCAATGATACTATAAGTAATTCTTGTACATGCCTTGTTGGGGAAATGTATAAACCTTGGGCTGATCACTTTTAAATTGCATGTACTCTGTATACTGTTGTATTATATGCTAGATTTATTTAGAATCTCTAGATATAATCTATGTCAGCCAAGTATAGGGTCAACATTACATACATTCTTGCTTAGTAATAGTGTAACTATTGTACTATCTATGTCCCATAGGATTTATTTATGAATATTAAATGTTTGAAACATATCAGTCATTTTAAGACATCTCTCTTTGGTTTTGTAGAATGTTTTCAGGGTATATTTTCCAGGGATCCATTTCAGGTTCATGTATTTTCTATCATGCAAGGAGTTCGAAATTGTAACTTAATTACTTTTAAAATCAAATATGTAATTTGGGCCTCTTATTGGGAGTGTAGGCCATAGTACTCTCGTTTATTTGATTGTAATTTAAATCGTCAAAGTTAATGACTTAGCAACTACTCATTATCTTATGTAATTATACAACTTGATCCAAAATTGTTCAAAAAAGTCATTGAAGAAGAATCCATATTCATTGATTTCCAAATTTATTTGAATTTTCTTGATACAATCATCCTCAACTGCCTTTGTAATTAGTGAGCCAACTTGCAACATGCCGTTGGCAATTTAAATGAATTTGAAAAGATTACTACATTTTTAGTTTATTTCATTTTATGACATATTTTGCAATTTTTGAAGGAAAAATCCACAAATCATCACTCATGTGATTCTAATGGAAGCTAAACCTGCTTTAAGTTTTGACATTTATTTATTAAGACAATGACTTGAATTTGTATTATTGGATTATTGTCTGGATTGTGCGAAGACTCTGAATTGTCTGCTTTATTTCAAAAATATTGAAGTATCTTTCGATAGACAATAACAATTCATAATTAAAGTGTACCTGAACATACAATTTACAATTAAAGTGTGCCAGATCATACCATATGTTCATTCTAATTAAATCTCAGTCAAAATGAATGTCGTTATCTTCATTTAGTAAAACATTTTGTGTCATGTCAATCAGGTTGAGGTGTATTAGAGTAATAAACAAAGAAAATATATAATAAATAATAAAAATAAAATATCTATTAATATTTTTCATCTATATACATGTATATGTTAAATCACTTAATGTAATATTATTGCTTGCAATTTTACACTGTACATCGACAAGATTTACATCAAATCTGTATATTCACAACAGGGTACATATTAGCAGATCATTAAATGTTTTCTTAATGTGTCATGGTAACTGTAGGATGATCTATTCAACTTTTATGGGTGAACCAAGGCATGGAGTAGATGAGGCAACTTGTAAAATGCTCAAAGTTGTCTTACCAATTTAAATTTGCCTCATGTATGCTTAAGTCCTGGCTACATCCCTGAAATTATCAAAAAATAAATTTGTTTATTTCTTTATGTAGGTCTCCAAGTAGTCCTAAAGTCCATAATTCGAGCAATGGCGCCCTTGTTACAGATTGGTTTACTTGTATTGTTCGCCATTATAATCTTTGCCATTGTCGGCCTGGAGTTCTACAGTGGGGTGTTTCATACTACATGTTATACCACAGGGAATGGAAGTAAGTATACTGGTTCTTGTCATGGCTTAAGCTCTTTTTGTTCTTCTCTTGAAACTAATAATGTTATTAAGTAAGAGGAGGGAAAACTTAAAATTTTGTAAAAATGCTTCAAATAATGTAATGTTAATTATTTAATATCTAGCTTGTTATTTCAAGTCAAAGAAAGATGTCAGGGATATATTTACATTGATTAAACCAACACACAGATGTGTGATATTCAGAAACTAAATGGTGGGAATCTGGACAAATGAAGATAGTAGGCAAGAAAAGTTATCATGAGGTAATTTCTGGAGTTTGGGTTTTCCCTCCTCTTAGTAGAAAATTATTTAAGATTCATTCAATCAATTTCTTCATAAAAGTAAAATCTTTAAGAAAATCAGGTGACAGAAAGCATAGTCAACTTATGTAATCTTAACCTGCTAAAATACTTCTATTTGTGCTGATGAATAAACTAAGATTGTTTCCTCCAAGAAGATGAAAGGCAATTATGAAAATGGCTGTTCAGTAATTTTATATTGGTGAGGAAAGTATTTCCAGTCATTATACAAATAAGTGTTTCAGTAAATTCATAAACAACAAACAGGAGCATGAGTTATAACTTAAAAGCAATTAAATCTGTCATCTCTATCAGTGTAAAATTGTAAAATTTGCTTCAGATATAGTAGGAAAAAGATGCAGTTATTTCTCTGCATTGACCATATATATATCATGTATATGTATTTATCTTTCAGAACGTGACTGTGTTATATGATGCTTTGAAGAATGTGAATTGATTGTTTAATGATTTCTGTCTGAAAGTTGACACCTTTCATAAAGTGGCATTATTTTAAGTTGACATACATATCCTATATCTGTGTCAAAAGGAAAATATGGATGACATATACCTCAGCTATAATCTAACAATAAATGAGGCTTTTTTGTAAAATGAATCTCTCTTTTTATTAGATATCTAAAATTGAATCTGCCATTATAACATTGATTGAAGCACACTAAGGCACTAAAGGCTAATTGTATGCTTATCAGGATTTTGGGTACAATGACCGTGGTTCTATCAAGTAATCCTAATTGGGCATTTTGAGACGATCTAATGTATACATCTACACAGTCTAAAGTAACAATAGTATTTCTCTCATCGGGTATACATTTTTCCTCATAATGTTGACTCAGTCATATAAAGTTGTGTACTATGACATGATTTGTCGCGCAGATCCATTCATAAGGAGCCGTCACTTTTAAAACTTTGTTCATAAGTGAGTAAATCCTTATCTAGTTTAGGCATTATTAGCAGGGAATCAAAGTGATACTTGGGATAAAGTCTTGTTGCTATCCAGTCCACATTATAAACATGGAATTTGGAGGACAAAACTAATCATTATCAGTTAAAAGAACACAACAATTAATCTATAAAATCTATACATACGTATAAGTTCATCTTTTTGCGAAACACAAAATTTCAATTCACTTAGTCATACTTTTACTTATGAGCAAAATCTCTCTATTATGTCCACATATGGTATTATTTTATAGCCATAAGTTGGTTTATTCTAGAAGAGGCTGTGCCTGTATTAGGTGAAGTGGAGCTTCGACCTTGTGTTCATGGTGCTCAGAAAGATGATAGAGATGCCCCTGGAGGACTCATCTGCCCTGAAGGCACTTCATGTAAAGAGTACTGGGAAGGTCCCAACTATGGTAGGTTGCTTTGGTGATATCACTGTTGCTATGTAAATATAAACTGTTGCTATGGTATTTGCAGATGAAATGACTACTGCAGGAGAGAATGAGCAACGACCATGCTCTAATCATAAAGAAAATGTTACGAGTGGGTTTATGTGTCCTCCTGGTACGGTTTGTAGAGAACCGTGGGTAGGCCCGAACCATGGTAAGCTGGTCCCTGGTCCAAGCCACAACATATAGGTGGAGTCGCATGCATTTTAGAATAATATACACATGTGTAGTTACTAACTTAATGTTAATAACCACACATAGAATGAACATTGTATTATTTAATCAAAATTGTTGCAATAGCAACTAAAATGATCCACCTATAGTTCATAACTTCTTTTTATGCACTCACTTGTTTTATCTTCCTTTTTGATTTTTAGCACTTTCCAATTGACATTTCATTGATAGATGGTTTTTATTTTGTTTCTTTTATTTCCTTAATTTTACATAGCAAATTAGCCCTTTGTCAAATCTAATATACTGAGAAAGGGATCATTTGCAACAATTTTCATATTCATAGTTGACTTTTTGACATGCTTTCACCTGCTATAATGTTCAACAAGATGCACCAGTACATTTGACAATCATAAAATCACATAATCACAGCTTTATAGAAAGAAAAAGATGGACTGGATAGATGAATTCAATATGAATGTTAAGCACTAAATGACTATACATGTATTTTGGTTCATTTTGAATTCATTATTCTAGATCTCATAATTTTGTGAAGCATGCTCGCTGTTATTTTGCATAAAAACACTTAAAAAATAGTAGCGAATTTCATCGTCTTGAAAATAGTGTCAAATCTGCTTGTCATGAATGTTGAATGCAAACAGGTAGGTTGGGTAGGTGTATGCGTAAAACCAGGCAAGTGATAGATTCAAACTACAAGTTAAGTTCTGTCTACTCAAACATGTTCATGGCTGACTAAAGAAAATTTTTATTCACAGAATTCCCAGTAGAAGGGGGTCATAGATGATTGTAGCTTAATTTCACTCGTATTTTCATAATATTTTTACATTTTGATAAATAAGACATGAATTACTGGTATGTGACATATACAATGTAGTCTAAATGTTTTTTAACATCCTTGAGTTTTTAGTTATAGGGAGTGTTATGCTGTATGTAATTTTGGCCATTTTATTGAAATTCAGACTTTTGATTAAATTGTAAAATAAATAAACAAAACAAAGTTTATGGTCTGTCTTTATTTATTTATTTTTACTTGAAAACAATTATAAACCTTATATTTTTATCATTGTCTAATTTTAAAACTGCTTTTCATTTTACTTGTACCTGTAAAATAAGTGCTCCATATTTGTTCAACTAGTGCTCCATATTTGTACAATTAGTGCTACATACTTGTACAATATTGTATCATGTCACTTGCTTGCTTTTCCCCAAAAAGTTAACTTGTATTTTTCACCTTCATGAAAAGTTTGAACAACATGATAAATTACTCAATTACATTACATTCAATATGCTCTTCGACTGTAGAATCCTGGAATTCTCTTCTGCTCGAAACTATATATTTACAGATGGGCAGATTAGTGCCATCGACCTGGTACTGTTTTATGTAACTTTTTTAACCTCTTGACTACCCAGAATGACGAGATTTCTCGTCACCTCAGAAATGACCTTGAAACCCAGAGGGACGAGAAAATCCGTCACAAATTTTTTCTCAAAAATTGCTCTTATTTGAACAATTTTCATTCAATTTACACAAAAATTGTTATAAACGTGTAGAAATGATCTCTGCTATCTAATTTTACAAAGTTGAGCATCTTAAGTTGTATGAGTATGTAGTATATGTCAAAAGGTGGCAAAAATGAAAAAATTCTCTGGTTTCAACCAATTTTAAAGCCTGGGATTCAAGAGGTTAAATGCAATTGCTTGGCCATGTTGTGAAGCAGCAAATTACACAACTATTAATAAATCTACATTGATGCTAAGAATTGCCATGGAGAATTACAGTCACATGCAGTATTCCTGTTACATTCTTCATTCATTGTCATAAATGTTTTAGCTTTACATAATATGATGATGAAAATTCATGTTTGAGTCAACTAAGCACTGCTTAAGTCAGTTATATTATTATTTCAATTTGTTAGAAGTCTTAATAACATATTTTATCTTACTTCAATTCCATGAGTGTGGTTTTTCATTTCTAAGGCATCCTATCTAATTTTACAATAGGTATTTTATTCTGTGGATTTTTCATTTTATTTTTTTAAGCGAGTTTTTATTCAATGAGTTCTTTTATACATTTTTCAAGACAATATGGTCAAATCTCTAATATTCTAATCTCCTTGATGTAAAGTATTCTACAGTTGAAGTAGCCCCATGTTCTATGTGAAACTACTCTAGACTAGTGCTAGAAAGTGGCTTCATTCCAATAGATTCCCCCAGTCTTTCTTGGGACCAGCTCATGTCATACAACATTCAAATATTCTCATATCTTTTGCAGGAGTAAAACTAAAGCTACATGTTGACATTAACCCTCCATCTACTAGCCTAGTGTGGGTTTTAGTTTGAGATAACATTACAGACTGGCTATAGAGAAAAGGGTTAATCGTGATTTGTGATATTGAAATGATGTTTAACTGAGATAATAATTTCCTTAAAACCACCCTTCTAAGTTACTGAAATCATTATTGATTTGGGAAAACTTTGTGTTTTTTTCATTACATCATTATGATAGTCTGAATTGTCAAAACTCTGAAATTTACAGCTTAATCTGAAGGGTGGTAAACAAAATCAAATAAAAACAAGACATAATACATCCTACAAATATATTGAAGTATTATTAAAAAGAAAAAGTTCCAATTGAAGCCCTGTCCCCATGTATTGTTCAGCAACCAGCATGCCAATTGTCCTGTATGTTCTAGGCAGCTATAGACAGCTAAATGCAGCTATATGCAGCTAGACAGCATAGAACACACTACATGTAACTCCTTGCTTTGCCTACAGTCTCCCCCTCCACTAGCCACACCAGTTGTCATCCATCTTTTAATTTAGCTGCATAAATGTTAGTTAAAGTCTATCTTCTGCCTGTCTGTGTCTGTTTGGATTAATGTTTTCACACAAGAAAATCAAATCATTGAATCATAAAATTTAGGCCACATTAATTTATTTTTCAATTTTCAATTCACTGATTGATTGGGGGCTTTTTTGATGGCCTGGATGAATTAATAGCATATTTAGGAACTGTGGAATGTTAGGCTTTGTTGAAATGATGAATTGTTAAAAGAAAGCCATTGAATAACTTAAATTGTATGCAGAATAGAGTTGAGAGTCTTGATGGATGAAATACTTTGTGAAATATGACCTACATGTCATGTATTTTAATTGATGGGATTGTTAAATGGAATGCCTTGTTTAATAAAAAGCCTTGTAGAATTGAAACCAAATTGAAACACTAAATCAGATGTTTTCGTATAATTCACCCTTATAAGTGATACATACATCAAAACCTGATGGTTATCTTACATAATTGACATCTTTAAGCTTTGTTCCCAGGATATCTTCAGTTTCATGGCATCAAGGAAACTAAAAAAATAAATGAATTTCAGTTTTTGAGGTGAGGCTAATGTTTCAATGTGGTTACTATACCTACATATGTCATGAATCCTAGTTATAGTAATGTAATGACCTTTCCTTGGTATGTGACCTTGACTTTTGATTGTGACCTTGACCTTTAGTATGACATTTCTGTAGGCATCACAGGAGTTAAATGTATGTTTCCCTGCATGTGGCATGTGAATGATTTCTTGTTTTTTCACTTTAGAATTGTGAATTGCCTTTTTCACGTTTTATGAATGACATTTTGTAGGTTTTGAATTTGTACTTGTTTTAGTACACTCTGGTATGATCATAATTTTTTATTTTATGAACAATTTGTGAGGTAGCAACTTTAAGTGTGTTACTTGCGTGTTTATCATTTGTACGATTGTTTCATACCACACTAATGTTTCTGCTAACTCACACATTGGATGCATGTTTCTTATTTGATATTGTGTGCTGATATTGACCTTGAAATCAATTGACCATGGTCTCTATTGGCATTGGTGTGTATTGACCTTGGTCATATCGGATGTCAATATTGTGCTTCTGAGGGCTTCTATCAGAATAATAAATAAATCCAATTTAGGACTTAAAATCATGAGAAATTTTCTAATAAAAATGATAGCCATTTGGGGATGTTTCAGAATACATATCTCTGAATTATACTGAATTCAAACAAAACATTCTTGATATTTATTTAAATCAACCTGTATACTTGTCTTCTCTCATGATTTTGATTTTTGTTAATGACTTGTCCTATGTCTTTTAGGTATAACCAGTTTTGACAATATAGGGTTTGCAATGTTAACAGTTTTCCAATGCATCACCATGGAGGGTTGGACTAACATTATGTATTATGTAAGGATTTTAAGTACTTTTTGAAAAGTCATTTTAAAATGATTCAGTGAATTTATAGGTTAATTTGTATTTTTTCATCCATAGAGCTTTCTGAATTGAATATATCCAAAATATTCTAAAACTATAAAATTGACTTGAAATAAACGGCTTATTTATGATATGTGACATACCATAGTATACAATTCTGTCTTCCTGTAATTTAAATGATATCATAGCTTTAGATTATGTCCTTCACACACTGATGCGAAAATAAAAAGTTGATCAGACTTGATCTTCTACTTCCAACTAATCATGTAGGCCAGGTATAATAGCCAGGCATACTGGATGCTTTGCTAAAATATTATAAAAATATATATCACTGACAAGTTTTTCAAATGACATTGCAAAAATAAAGTTCAATGGGAGGATGAACATATTTGCCTCAACCTTTTCAATATGCTATTTCACCTTGTATATGTTTCAAGTCTTGCTCAATGCCTTTGTCCCAGTCTTTGTCAATATTACTCAAATAAACATGTAATGGTTTTCTTCTTTTGTAGACAAATGATGCTCTAGGCAGTACATTCAATGGTTTCTACTTTATCTCACTGATCATCCTTGGATCTTTCTTCATGCTCAACTTAATCCTTGGTGTTCTAAGTGGGTATGTACATTTATTTTAATTTTTATATCACCATCAGAAGTGGAGATATATTGTTTTATCCCATACTTGGACGTGTTACAGGTACATAAAGCCAGTTTGTAAAAGCGGGCAGATATACGTGTAGCTTTACGTCCTGCTCCGAACGGGCAGATATAGTATATCTGCCCGCTACATCATAATCGCCGCTCGCATATTTGTTCATAATTTGTAACGTTCGCGTAATGACTGTAAACGACAATGGAGAACACACAGACAATCGGGATCTGTTTGATAGTTTAAAAAAGTGAAGGAGCATCCACTTAGTCAATCAAAAATTCGAGAAAATAAATGTGGGAATATTTGAGAGAACAGGAAAATCCGCCCACGGCCAAGAAAACAAAACTGGATGTGAATATTCTAAAATATTTCCACGATTGAACAATGTGAACCAGATGACCAAGATTGGTATGAGATAAATATATTGTCCTATAGTCGGTTCAGGATATTGGGATTATCCCTTGGCCAATATAATATATTTTCCCTCGGGACCTGCGGCCCTTGGGCAAATGTCCTTCGGTCGATGTTCAGAGTTCCCATTCTGCATTGGCCATCTGTAACAATTTGCAATAACTTAAGAGATGGTGATATTTTGTCCCATTAATGCCTTGTTTCTTGGTAGTTGTATTTTCTTTTTTTGAAAGAGAGTGGAATAGAATGTTTTATAGAGGAAAAAGCAAGAAGGGCTGTAGACAATACTGTAAATTGTAAAGAGAGGATAGAATGAAGGACATTTCAGAGACAGATTATAGAAAAAATGCTGGTGAAATTAACATTCAAGATTGCCTTATTTTAATAAAATCAGTTTGTGTGATCGTCCAGTGATTCACATTGTTTACCATGGGATAAGTAATTATGCAGAGTGAAACATTATTATCCCATCGAGAGATTATCACACTGAATAGCGTGATGAGAATATGTTAGCTATATTTTCATAAATTATTTAAACAGACAATGGCTTTATCATAGTCTTAGTTGCATTAGTCATACATATGATAAGTTCAGCTCAATTATCTCTCTGAAAATTGATTAAAGTGTCTGATTTTTGACAATTTTTAAATGGTGCTTTACATATATCCAAATGAAAATACTTCATAAACCAAGGGATTGATAGACATTCTGCCTGTTGTCTCCATATTATGAATAATATTCTTGCCCTACAAACATGTGCTGTCATCTATTTATACATCTACAGGGTACATATAGCAAATGATCCATTTGTTATAAATGCAATCTGTAACAGTAGAACCTAGCTGTCACATCGTAGAACAGCCCCCCCCCCCTCCCCTAGTCATATCATAGAACAGCCTCCCCCTGACCCAAAATTCTTTCAAAATCATCCAGTTTTTCATGATTCTGAGCATTTTTCATATCATTTTGGGCCAAAGTCAAAGTGAACCCCCTCTGGAACTTTTCTGAAAAGTGAACCCCCTTGGCAAAAGCTTGCTATATGGGCCTGTAGAACATGCAAAAAATTAATTCAAAAATATCCTTGTCTCCCTTTTGATTTCATAGAAGTATAGCTTGAATTCATAATAACAAAGTCCTTTGAGATGACATGTTAAGTGCTAGTACCATCGAAAAGTAATTCGATTTAGTCTACTGCATTATTGCTCTTAGTTAATTCAACACTGAAAAGCACTAGTTTTTTCTGGATTATTGGATTCTGTGTTTTAGGTTCAGCAAATAGCTATTCAAGGGGGAATATACTTTGTAACAGGGGAAATACCATCAACCAGGCACTTACTTAAAGATAGAACTATTTTTGATTGGTCATGAGCTAAAAGAACATGTTATGAAAATTCAGAAGTCTATTGCGAGTCTATTTTGATAAAATACCTCTTTGTTCTTTTAATCAGATAACAGATATAGTCCATCAATGATTGAGATATAGTCATTAATGATTGTGATATAGTCATGTATGACTGAGATAGCCTATAGTCCATAGATGATTGAGATATAGGCATGAATGATTGAGATATAGTCCTGAATGATTGGGATATAGTCATGAATGATTGGGCAATTACACATGACCAAGAAATATGCATAATGACTGTATCCCTATCATTGATGACTGTATCCCAATCATTCATGACTATATCTCAATCATTGATGGACTATATTTCCACCATCGATGGATTATATATCAGTCATTCATGACTATATCACAATCATTTATGATTGTATCCCTATCATTGATGACTGTATCCCGATCATTCATGACTATATCTCAATCATTGATGGACTATATTTCCATCAATGATGAATTATATATCAGTCATTCATGACTATATCACAATCATTTATGACTGTATCCCTATCATTGATGACTGTATCCCAATCATTCATGACTATATCTCAATCGTTGATGGACTATATTTCGATCATTGAAGGATTATATATCAGTCATTTATGACTTACACAATCATTTATGACTGTGTTCCTATCATTCATGACTACATGTATATCCCAGTCATTCATGGCTATATCCCAATCATTCATGACTATATCTCAATCATCGATGGTCTATATTTCCATAATTGATGGACTATGTCAGTTATTCATGACTATATCATAATCATCCATGACTGTATCCCTATCATTGATGACTGTATCCCAATCATTACTGGCTATATCTCAACCATTGATGGACTATATCTCCATCGTTGATTGACTATTATTCATGACTATATCACAATCATTTATAACTATTTCTCAAGCATCGATAGACTATGTCTAATCTCAAACATTGATGGACTATATCTCAGTCATTCATGACTATATCACAATCATTCATAACTGATGTATATCTCGGTCATTCACGACTATATCCCAGTCATTCACGACTATATCCCAGTCATTCATGACTGTATTTCAATCAATATTGACTATTTGTTTTACAGAGAGTTTGCCAAGGAGAGAGAAAGGGTCGAAAACAGACGCCACTTTTTAAAGCTGCGACGTCAAACCCAAATCGAGAGAGAGCTCAACGGGTATTTAGAATGGATATGTAAAGCAGGTAATTCAATATACCCAAATATGGTTACCGTCTTGGTATGCCATATTTAAAATTTAAAGCAGGTAATTCAATATACCCAAATATGGGTACCTTCATGGTATGCCATATTTAGAATGGATATGTTAAACAGGTAATTCAGTATATCCAAAAACATTTCTTTGAGATAATTTGATAATTTAGATTGGTGCGGAAAGTGCAATTCACTCTTAATAATCAAATCAAAACATATCTTTTATTTATGTTTTTATTGTTGCAGTCATGACAGAAGTCATACCTTTCTGTCTGAAATTCTAGGTTTTCAGTATTTAATCATAATTTAAAGATGCAATTCAAAATATTCTACAGCTCATCACAAATCTTTGAAAAATGTGAAATTCCAAAACTATGAAAGAATCTCTGCTTTTCAGAGCTTAGTACATTAAATGAAGGTGCATTAACAGAAGAAGAAAAGTTCCGAATTTTAGAAGGTGAGTTTAATATTACTCTTCTCGATCTCAATATTGTTTAAGCACTGATTACTGATACAATTTTGAATTGAATGTTTTTATGATGTGTGTGCTTTTCATAGATCTGATCTGTTATTGATACGAAATCGTATTTACAAAAATGTCATTATGTTTGCTTTTTTCACTGTTGGCTAAGATAAATGTTCCTGAGCACATATACATATTATGTAATAACAAAATATCTCAAATACGAAAGAGAAAGTAAGAATAGTGTCTTATATGTTTTTCATTGGTTATTTTATTGGTACTTTCCATGTGTCCTTAATAATTAATAAATAAAAGATATTCTCAGATTTTTCATGCTTTGGCACATTTGTATTTTGAAGTGATTATGATTCTGTAATCTGTATTCACTTATTCTAGCAGAGGATATCATATTTATCCTCATTGTGGTTCTATATTCAATTATATTTCATAATAGTATTCAACGTATTTATATCCTCATCTTAATTCTTTATTTTATAAATTCAAACAAATTGTGATTTTATATTCACCTATCCAAGGATAGGATATCATATTTATTCCTCCTTTTGATTGATTAGTTAAAAAGTCCCACCAGATCGGTAGGTATTATAGTGCACAAAAGCTATAGCCAAGTTTGGAAAATGTTCAGTCCTTTTGAGGAAATAAATTGTATAAAAACACCTCTGTCTTTGGAAAAAAGCAACTTGATCAGAACTTTTAATTTTGAAATGTTTTAGATATTTTAAACGAAATGAAAAATACAAATGACTCAAACAAATAAGTATATAATATTGCTATCTTTGAATAGATGAGATGAAATATTTCAACAAATTAAAGTAAAAAGTTCCCTATCGCTGTAAGTTGCTTTACTCTCTTAAGACTGGTGCTTTTGAATTTGATAAAAGGGAATTAAAAGACCAGATTTGAGCTGACCTGTTTGGGATAAGCTTGCAGTGCTTCTTCTTGTTACATTGTTGGGTTAGTTGGTTAAATGCTACAGAAGACGTATAGAATGTTAATCTTAGGCAACTGCTAGAACCTGCATTTGTATTTAAAATGGACACTGTTGGAGTGCTTCGTAGACTGTTGTTTTATATTACAGGTTTCACTTGATCTTGTGTTACAAGTGATCTTTCCATGCTATAGTTTTACACATGTACAACCTAATTCATTAATAGAGATTCATGTACTTGTACGTTTAGATAAATATCAATTATGGCACTTTCTTATTGTAGACATCTATTGTACAAAAATATTGTATATGTACACATTTAGAAAACTTTTTTTAACTGATCCTATTCGTCAAAAGTATAGCAATATTCTGAGAACATGTTAGACTTGTTGCCCATGCCATCAAATTCATGAAATTTTCAAACTCAAAGCCCTTCTCCAGTTTCAAAGCTTAACAATTGTTTATTTGTTTTTAACAATTTGGGATTTTTTGACCAACACTCTTTTTGATCATCTATGGGAATCGAAAAATGTAAATTTCTTGATAAAAACAATATATTTCATCTATTGAGAACCCCTTTGAAGTCTCATACCCATTTAGCTTTTAAATTGGGAACCCCTTTGAAATCTTCATACCCATTTAACTTTAAGTTAACAATATTATTCTCCAAATGGATCTCAATTCCTGACTGACCATTCCTATTTCTCTAGCTCGCAGGAGGGCCAAGAAAATTAAACGATTAAAAGATGGTAAAGAGATTGACTCTCTTGATGATGATGACGATCTGTTTGCTGATATGAATATGAGTAAGTTTTCCTGTGATGGTTGCCACAGCAACAGAAAAGATGGCTGACCCAGAAGCCATCTTGAAATCAGTAGCTAGGTCCCTCCTAACTGAATGTTTGTCGTGCAATGTATCGGTAGCAAATATTGTAGTGTATTGACCCTATGCATCAGTATGACGTCATGCCTTTGTCCGGCCAGAAAATATTGCTGGCCGTCTAGAAAACGTCATAAGCAACCAGTGCTCAAAATGGCGACGAAGTGATGAGAAAAAGTTAAAAGAGTATGCCTAAATGCTGCGTTGCCAAGCGCGTATCTACGTTGAGGCAAATGAGGCAGCTGCCTCGTCGCTTTTTTCAGCCTTTGAAAAATAATGTTCCGATATAAAACCATTAAAATGAGCACCTTTTTCTTGACAACATACCAATTAAAATAAAAGCTTATGTTCTGTTGATTTTATCTAAATATAATTTCATGTACGCTAAAGTAGCCTTCTCTCAAGACACTTGCATGCGATTTTATACCGTTCGCATATCACCTAGCCTTCGTTTTTGAACCAAATTATAACGGCGCCATTTTCAGATTTTTGATTGATATTATGATACAAGACTCACTGTGGCAAGAAGATCAGGTACCTTATTCAGTGGCGTAGGAACAATGTACGCCAAATCGCCAGTGCGTAGTGTTGAAAAGTGAAAATAAAAAAGGCTTATTAATTTTACTATGTTCTTCAGTGATATTTTCTCATTGTGCATAAGTTTATCTCGAGCACACTAGCCTAAAAAATGTTTTTTGAATACCATAGGCCTATATATATTATGCAAGGTTTTTGTTCCTCTGTTATTTTTCTAATCGTGGCACAGATAAATGACACTTTTTGAGAAATGAAATTCATATAATATTGAATTAGTTTTAAAATATTGAAAGTTGCCTTGTTTCTAATACTGCAGAAAATGCAAAGTAATCATTATTGCTCTGTTTGATAAGTAATCTTTGAACAGATTGAATTCTGACCAACATGCTTTATTTAAAAAAAATCAAGACACTATTGACTATTTTATGAATCTTAAAAGTAAACTACAATTTCGCAAAATATTCGTGAATCGCGTTCTCTTATACGAGTTTGAGAGAGGAAAGTTTTTTTTCTACCTGATGACATGGATGACTGCCTTTGCATTTTTGTGCATGTTCCGTAATGCTTGGACAATATTTATCTATTTTCTTACTTATTGTCATTGATATTAATTCTTGAAATATGAATGTTAAAGACAAAAACAACTTGAAATTGTTGATTATTCAATTTCGCATTCCATTAAATTCAATGAGTTTTGGCGATAAATCCTATCCTTGAAAGTACATAAAGTACAACTTCAGCTTTTTTGGAGGGGGCGTTATTTTGTCTTGCGATCTAGTGTTATAAAAAGGTTGCAGACATTTAGGTTAATTGTATAATTGATCACGAATATGTTTCTTTAAATCGATTGATATACTAGTTTCTCTAATCTGTTTTGTCGGGTTGCAATATCTAAATTCAACTATTCAGAAATGGTTAAAATCTCTCAATGTTCAGGGGCGTAGCCAGCTTTCTATCAGGGGGTTGCGATCGCCAAAACAATTTCGGTTTTCAGTCAGGAGGATTGCGATTGTGGCACTAACAAGCCAAAAATAAGATTTATTTGAATTTTACAAAAATTGATGCAACTTCCCTCAAAATTGAGCTAGAAGCTTCAAATAAAAGCTCCTTTCTTCTTCTTTCTCATGGTTTTATTTTTATTGGTTATGGGGGATGCATCAATCGCACCTCCCCCCTGGCTACGCCTATGTTATCTGGAAAGTCGTCTATATCGTTCGAAAAAATAACATTTAAGAAAAGTGAGAATGAGTTGTGTCAAGATTTAAAAGATCGACTTTCCATGGTGATTTTATATTATGAAAACATTCAAACATTTTAAGCACATTATATTAGCCTAAGGTATTGCCATAGAATGACGTTTTACGAGCATAAATAGGCGTTTTGATATAGAAGATTAGACGCAATATGTTTCATATTTTGGCGTAGTGTTGAATTTAAACCTTCCTACGCCCCTGTTATTATTTAGGGTATTTCTTTTCTACTATCACCCAGATATAACGACCTAGGAAGGTCTATCAACACTAACCTACTCAAGGAAATATTATTATTCGAAATTCAATTTTACGCTGGTAAAAAAGTCATTTTTATAACTTCCAGCGTAAAGTGTAAAACTTAAAAGTAATCAATGTGCACTGGGCTGAAACGCCAATCTTTGAAATTCATTTTTTATTATTTTTTATCTTTCTATTGAAAGTATAATATTTTATGTCTCAAACGTACTCAGACAACCAATTTTACTTTGGTCAAACTATACTCCAAATTACACAAGTAATATAGTCTGATAAGATATATGAATAAGTATATTGTATGGGCAGTGTATTTAATAAAAACGCTGTTAAGTATATTGCACGATGATAATTAATGTTTGTTTGCGATATGAAATCTATAAAAGATTCAGTTTAAACGATAGATTTTTCCTTGGGAGGAAAAGCAAGTATATTCTTGTCTGATACGACCAATGAATATGAAAAACTGACTTTCATCTGTATTTAATTGATTGCTATAATTTATGCCACCAGAGTGATATCGTGTTACTTGCATTACCTATACAGTGCGTCCCAAAAACGCAACAAAGAAAAACATTGCAAAATCACAAAACCAGTGATGATTACATCAATTTCATTTAGTAGGCTTAAACATATGGAAAAAAGCGGCATAAACAGTCGTTGCCTGTTTTCTTATGAAAGATTAATCATGAAAGATTACATTCCATTTCCCAATCCCATGACCACTATTTCTCTACACACTACCACTATTTCTCTACACACATAGCGGACTGGCCTGCGTGTCCATGTCGAACACCTCTTTGAATCATCTGAGGTTCTGGCGGAGAGTAGCAACCTCATTGGTGACTCTTTGTTAACTGTTGCAATGTCTAAAACTTGGTCCAGAGCAGATTTTGGCACGTTGTGCAAAATGAATGATTATTCAGTGGTCCGTGGTCTTATATGAATAATTGACATTCCATTGGAAAGAGGAGGCATGTGGCTTCCTGGTAAACTAAATCAAATTGATGTTATCATCACTGATTTCCTAGTAGAAGAAACAGTTGTTGTTTTGCTTTCCGTCATATTTGATTTTTTGATTTTCCCGGGCTTTTCTAGACGGCCAGCTGAACTGAGCTGGAAAAATGTGTATTTGTGACGTCACTCGTGCATAGGGTCAATACGTCGTGTATTGTATTGAAGGGTAGAAGTAGGTGGAAGGTCTCCTAATCGGCATCATGCTCTATCGCTCAAAGCTTCTAACTAATTGTAGCATCCAAAGCTTTGATAGGTCATATTTCTTAATTAGCTCGTAGGTAGCCCAGACACATTAGCTTTAGTTCCATGACCTGGTACAGGGTGTATACGTTAAAAATCTATTAAATATTTAACATAATTCCATATTGGGCTGTACTGTATTACTTCTTTTATGTATCAAAGGTTTGTATTTGTTACCCAAACACTCTTAAGTAAGAGTCTTGACTCTATCAGAAATGTCAGTCTAACCCCCATAAAGCATCTATAAATGGCCTTAATCATATTTGAGTAACAGTTAAGCATGGTACCTTTGAGGATGGCATTTCTGGTAATATAAGAGACTATCTTGCCCTAACCTTCTGTAGCTTATGTTTATGCCTTGTTTTATGTTTATTTATAACTACCATTACCACGGTGATTTATTACTAATCTTACAAATTGTACCTATATTTCAAAGGGATGAAATTTGGCGACAAGTTGAAGGCGGGTGAGAGGCTACTGAATGTGCTACACATTTTAATATCTTCAGAATTCATTCACATCATATTGTTTGCACACATCTTTGTACTGTATATATAATGTCATCCACAGGTTGTCTTTAGCTTTCAGAGTATTGTTTATGAACTGTTTAGACAGCCCTTTGAATGTATTTATGAAATACTATGTTTGCATTATAAGAATAATATAAAGCTTGCCACGTTTCTCTAGATTCATGTACATCTTTACTTTTATATGATTAAAACTCCACTAAGGTGAATCCTATTCTCTTGAAAGCAATTTGGTCAATTTATAATGAGGGAAGAAAGATTGGTAACGCTAATCAATTTTTCACCTGACAAAATTAATATCTGTGGACATTACAGTCAGAATTGTTCTATTCATCTGATTGTTTATATTTTACAAAAAGGAAGATATAGTTCATTCCTCAGCAAAACTCGTTACATCTTTCCTTTTGAATATTTTTTGTGTCTCTGTTTTTGAAAAATGTTTTTTTTAATTTTCCAACATGCTTTCTGAACATATTACAACTAAAAGATGTCACTTGTATAGCTAGGTTAAAATAGAGCATATAATGTGACCGTCAGTAAAAGTTCTAGCCTATAGTTAATGGATGCAACCGCAGCTAGTTTTCTAGTCAGTGACTAACTACTATCATAGCTCATTCTTCCTGGCAGTGCTAGTTTTCAACATACACTGCGGCTGGCAAAGCTTTCACCGTGAGCATGGCAACTTCACATAAACAATTGATGTGATTGGTTCTTGTTTCATGCTTGTGCCGTGTGATTGTGAAATTCAGACAATTTAATTGGTTGGATCTGCGAATACGAACTGATAAACACACATGCGGTGAACAATTATCAACAAAATTTTAACTCAAAATTTACATGTGGATATTTCTTCTTATATTTCATGACTTTTGAACTATTTTGATAAAATAATGATTGGGGGACATAAAAGAATACATATTTTATAAGTTTTAACAAGATTGAATTTTATGTTGAAAAAAGGAACTATTTTCAAAATTTTGGATATTTTTTGGAACTGCCAGCCGCATTGTCTATTCCGAGACACTGCATGGGAGTTTGATAGTAGCTATAAATTTATAGTCAACAGGTACTATCACAGCTGTAGTCTCTTAGTCAATGAAGACCCTAGTAGCTATAGTCTTATAGTCAATGGATATCACAGCTATAGTCAATAGGTACCCTATCATATCATAGTTCTTGTCTTTTTGTCAAAGAATACGCTGCAGTATCATAGTTGTTTTAATAGGCATAACTAGAACACTGAACAATAAAACCAGTCTGAAATGAACATGATTAACATTCCTGTTTTAAAAGAAATAACCTAGCAAATAAAAAGCTCACTAAAAACTTCTGTTCTCAAGAACTGAAAAATATGCAATAAAATTGGTGTATTGACTTCATTTTCTGCTACTGTAGACTGACTAATGAAAAAATTCAAAATTGTTCAACAAGTTTTAAAACAATTACCATAAATTCAATTAACTTGGACTTTATAAAGCTAGATTCTTTCCAATCACTGAATTAAAAGCTGTTTAATTTGACAGGTTCTACTTTATATATTGAATACTAATATGCAGAGGCTAGTTGAAGCGCGGTGAAATACATTGGATGATTGTTCGATTTAATGTCATACAATATATGTCCCACTCCCACTCTTCTACATGCATGCCATCAATAAGTGTAGTAAAATACTAAATGCTTCATTTATTTTCACTACCAATTTCACAACCCATTAACTTATGCAAAGTCTTCTTGTAATAATATATAATATTGATGCCAATAATTTTTATGTTTCATGTTTTCTTTATGGGTCATTTTCATATATTTAATGCATGTGAATTCCATAAACGCGATTCACTTTTAATTTTAACATTATTATATTAATCTGATATAACATTACTTGTATTTTTATGCTGAAAATTTATACATGTAATTCAAAACCCTGATTATTAAATCTCTCTCTAAAGAAATGTTGGATAAGTACTACATTTTTGTTTTGATATGGCACCACTGTTGTCATAGTGATACTATTTAGTTGTCATAGTGATATCATTTAGAGTTTGTTTCTAGGTAATCTGTTCAGCAGGTCGGGCTTTGGTGCAAATAAGAAACAACAGAAGGGCTTCTGGAGACGAGAGAGAATTCTCAGGTAATAATTGTGAATGGATTTTATTCCATATTATTCCATAGAAATGTTTATACGACTCCCCTATACTATTCTAGTAACTTCATGTTTCCTGATCATTTTATCCTTGTGGTAGTGACTTTGCATAAGTTACCCATTGAAATAAGATAAATGTTAAGCCAGCTGTTGAAGTACCAATCTTGCTATTCTTTAATGTACGAGTATCTTGTATATTTAATGATAACGATGATACAGGGATTTCATTAGCAGCAGGCAACAGGTGATTTTCACTGGTTGTTTTCACAAATTCGCCTGTTTTTTTTAGGGACCTTTTAACTTTTCCATGTTAAATTTATGATTTCCATTAATTTTACCTTTTGTTGTAATTTATTTAAGCCTGTTGCGAAACCCCTGAGGTATATATTTAATGTATTTTCAGGATAAATGCAAGACGAATGGTGAAAAGCCAAGCATTCTACTGGGTGGTGATTGTCCTTGTGTTCCTCAATTCTGCTTGTTATATAGTGGAGCATTATAATCAACCACAGTGGCTCACAGACTTTCTATGTAAGCACCACCACCCTCCTTTCATTCTAGGACACTACCATAATGGTTATGGTTATATTGAAGGGAGGGTGGCATAGAATTAGATATGAGAAAGAATATTAAACATAGCTTCTGGGAAATAAGAAGGAATATGGGCCCCTGAAAAATATGGAATATGAGCATTTAAAAAAGAGTATTATGGAATATGAAACGTTTTCACCCTGTCCAAAAATGACCATGTTGTAAGCAACTTAAACAAGCTTGCCATCCAACCATATCTTTGTAAGGTGATGCAAATTGTGTTGTTACATTGTTTATAAGAATATGAGAATGGTAAAATCAAATGGCACATACCTATAAGATTAACAGGAATTTTGACTGGGGGTTTACATGAACACCTCGACCCCCCAGTTGCTACGGCATGGCAAGTTGCTGAAAACAAGTTTGACTTGTTCGGATATAATAAGTGAACTTTTCTGTTGCAGCCTATGCTGAATATGTGTTTTTGGGGCTCTTTATAATTGAGATGTTCGTGAAGATGTACGCACTGGGATTCAGAATGTATTTCAAATCTTCGTTCAATATATTTGATTGTATCGTAAGTATGTTAATGTATTTGCACTTTTAATCATTTTTTGTTGAATTCATCTAATTATCGTTCATGATTCAATTAAGAAAATATTTTCACTTTTGTCCTTTACCCCAATTCTTTATTTGAAAACTGGGTTATAATTTGTATAATTTGTAATTTCTTCATATTTATTGAATCATACTTGTGACAAAAATGTTGAGAGCCAAGGTTTATAAATGACATTTACAGTCTTCCTACGGCATGCTGTCTCTGATTACAAACCCCAATGGAACTAGAACATTCTGCAAGATTCTATTTTCTTTTGTAGGTAATCGTAGGCAGTATATTTGAAGTAGTTTGGTCTCACTTTAAAAATGGCTCCTTTGGCATCAGTGTACTGAGGGCCCTAAGGTTGCTCAGAATATTCAAGGTGACAAGGTGGGTGATTTAACTCAATTTTTTTTTATCGATAATCAATTTATTTCATCTCTTGTATACACTTAAGTTTTACTTTTTGTCATAATTAGAGCTGTAGCCACTACTTGCCAGGCATGAGAGTTTCTTTTTATCATCGTACCACAAAGTTTATTGATGAATTTGAAATAAAATTTATGTATTTCCACAATATGCTCAACAACAAATATCAACAAACCACAAAAAATGAACAAATATCAAGAGACCGCAAACTTTGATAAAATGCAGAAACAATGATAATTAGAATTTATATTGCTTCAGTTATTAATGAATTCACTCTTAACATCATCAATTAGCTAACAGTTACTACTTTAACAACAATTTTCGATAAAAAACTTTGTAATATAGCATAAGAGATTCACTCGAAAAGATTCACCATTTTAGTGCACAAAGGCGATGAAACACCTTTGGGTGCTGTGAAGATTATCTTTTAATATCTTTCATGCTCCTCTATATCACTATTAACATTCAGAACACATTTTGGTATATTCTAGTATATAAATACTTTTTCAAATGGGCCAAAATTTGATGAAAATTTGTGTGTTAGGATTTTACTTTAGTTTTCAAACATGCAATCCGTTTTTGGTAATATTGAATAACAGGGCTACTACCTAAATGTATTCATTTTTCCTTGACAAAGTACAAATAATACAATCAACTTTCATGTCTTACAAGTTTCTCAAAGTCTGTTGTTTGTTCATTCCATTGTTTTTCTCGTTTACAATTGTACATGTAATTTTTTATTGAAAAGACAGTGAAGTGTAATCAGGGAGTGGGTCACAAGGGCCTGGCACAAGACAAGCATAATTGAAAATGAAAATGTTTATATCATATAATGACATTATTGCAAATAATAGAAAATATCAGTGATTATATTTTGTCATAGATAACTGTAATGAATGAAACTGATATTGAAAACTGAGGTCTGTATATGTTTTAGGTACTGGTCTTCATTGAGGAACCTTGTGATCTCATTGCTCAACTCGATGCGTTCCATCATCTCTCTGTTGTTTCTACTCTTCCTGTTTATCCTCATCTTTGCTCTCCTGGGGATGCAGCTATTTGGGGGCGAGTAAGTATAATTTTGGTATTTCACCCTCTTCTGGTTTTTTTTTGGGGGGGGGTACAATTTTTTGCCCTCTTCATTATTTAGGTATTTGTACAATATTTGTACTTGCCTTTTCAGTCTTTGGGTTAAATATAGGGTACAATTTGATATCATTAAGTGTCTGAACATTACTGTCATATATACAGGGTGGTCCAAAAAAAATTGGAACATTTGTTAATTGAACGCAAAATCTTTATTGTTCTTCTAAAATGTACCAAACTTTTACTGAGCATAGTCCAATCACTTATTTATCTGATGTAAAATTTATAGGTGAAAACCACAAAGTTAATGCATTAAACTAGTCAATAATTCTCCCTTTCGCGGTTCGCTCTTTGAATCAGAACGTTCGCAAATATGTTCTGAAAAAGCACTCAAAAAGGACAAAATTTGATTGGTCAATATTTTCCCACTATGCATTTCCCGTAGCTATTTGCGTGACCCGAAAGTTCTAAATCAAACTAATTACGCAATTTTGTTTTTACACCCGCACGCTAAATAAAACAATGACACCATCGGAAGTATTCTTCTTTGTCATTGCTTTAATAGTCAGTATACCGAGTTTAATCAATAAAAGATTGTACAATGAACAACAAAATTCGGAAACGAGTACTATAGATTTGCTTTCGGACCACTGAACAGACTGACCTAGATAAAAGCGACGCGTCTTCTTTGGTCTACTGCTCAGTTGTTTGTGGGTTTTCAACGTTACTCTATAATGTAATTTGAAGATGAATACTTTTATTCAGTTGTTGCATCGATGTTGCAGTTTGTAGTGCGGTAAGATTGGCATGAAAGTATTGAAAGTCGAATGGAATTGTTTTTTCCAATATGGCGACTAGTCGACTGATCACGTGACCTTCTCTTCCGGAATATTTTCTCACTTTTCAATCGTCGTTTTCACCACGCTATGAATCAATACAATGAAAAAAAAATAGCTGTTATATTAAGATTAATAAGAGATCAATCGTTTCTAATAAATTTTTCTGTACTCTCGTACGGGAATATGAACGAATATATCGTTTGAAAAATAGGTGTGAAAATCCCCATGTAAAACCTATGAGGGAAAACAAGGAAGTATAAATTTGTTCCTCCGCGAACTGCATCATGGGAAATATTTTGACCTTATAAGGAAAGATTTTCGCGTCTCCTCTTTTGAAGAGGGAACAACGATTTCGAGAATTGATAGGACCCCTTTTCTTAAATATACACTTGTTAATTCCGCGGCTACTTTTTCAAGTATTATTTATTTCAAAGCTTTAATGCACATATTGATTGCTATAAATATTTTATTAATCATATTCAGTTGACAAAGGGTATTTACATCTGGGGTTTGCCAGAAAAATATTGTGTTAACTTAAACTTAAACAATACCCAAAATGATCATTTTCATTTAAGAGTGGGGAAGAAAAGGGGAGGGGGCTTCATTTACCAGTCAAATCAGACTGTCCCGGCCTCTTTCTGGAGAATATTCAATCAGTAATACACCCAACAATAGCCATCAAAACATGCTTGATACTCATGAATTGGGTAAAAAATGTTGAATATGTTACTAGATTTGATCTTCCAAGGCAAACAAATAGGAAGTTTGATCAAGCTGAAATTTTTAATGAAGATGGCTTGGACAAAACAAACGAACAACAAACTAATTGAATATTTACAAATCTGAGCCCCAGGCTTCAACTTGTAAGTCAGGAGAAGAGGGGTCATATCAAATATCGACTAGTTTAATGCATTAACTTTGTGGTTTTCACCTATAAACTTTACATCAGATAAATAAGTGACTGATCTATGCTCAGTAAAAGTTTGGTACAGTTTAGAAGAAGAATAAAGGTTTTGCATTCAATTAACAAATGTTCCAATTTTTTTTGGACCACCCTGTATATAATGTATAAGTAAAAACATTTAATGCTTAGCCATGCGGTGGTAGTGAATTGTGTAATGTTTTGATCTCCCCAGGTATCACTCAAAAGAACAATAAGTCCTGCAGTGCTCATTACATGCGCATGTGTTTTCAACAAAAAAAGCTCATTCAAGCGCACTAACACTTACATAATTCTTTTGAAAGACATCACAGTAAATTGCAATTGAACTCCTGTAATGCACTAGCAACAAGCCGGTGCGGTTGACACACGCCAGCAGCTGACAAGGTTGCCACAGTGTAATTAGCAGTTGAAGTGCGCTTGGATGAACTGCTTTTGTTGAAAACGTGTTAGCATGTAATTTGCATCGCATGGACTCATTGTTCTTTTTTGTGATACCTAGGGGGAATACGTATTATATATTATGCAATGCATTTGCCCACAGGCAGTTTAAAAAAAACGTAGCCCAAATCTGTTTACTTTAAAAAACATCTCTTATCATCAGTGTTATTTTTGATAACTTTATTCACTTATGCAAAATAGAGTTGTAAATCGTACTTCCAAATTCAATGCGCTTGACATTACAATGTTTGGTTAAAGTAGAACTTAAATAAAATATGACAAATTGGAAATAATGTTTTTTCTAAATCATAACTCATTTGAATGATAACTATTAGGCAAAACAAAGGTGCATTCTTACCAATCACCAACCAATCACATTTGATAATGAAATATGTATCTGCACCTTTAGTCAGTTTTGTATTTAACACACCCACTCGACATTTAATAGCACTGAACATCTATCTGAATTTATATCTTGCAGTGCAGTATTATATAGCACATCACTCGCTTCCATAATTTTATTCGGAATGATTCAACTTACAGGTATTTAACTTTCCGTTCAGAATATAACAGATCCATATGATAAATTGAAATTGAAATAAATCACAGGGGATTTAAGTAAAACAAGGTATTGAAGAACTTAAGTAAATCACATGTGATTGAAGTAAATCAAGGTATTGAAAGAAATCACAGGAGATTGAAGTAAATTACAGGGGGTTGAAATAGATCACAGGGAATTGAAGTCAAACACATTGGATTGAAGTAAAACAAGGTATTGAAGTAAATCACAGGGGATTGAAGTAAATCACATGTGATTGAAGTAAAACAAGGTATTGAAGTAAATCACAGGGGATTGAAGTAAATCACATGTGATTGAAGTAAAACAAGGTATTGAAGTAAATCACAGGGGATTGAAGTAAATCACAGGGGATTGAAGTAAAACAAGGTATTGAAGTAAATCACAGGGGATTGAAGTAAATCACATGGGATTGAATTAAAACAAGGTATTGAAGTAAATTTCAGGGGATTGAAATAGATCACAGGGGATTGAAGTCAAACAAGGTATTGAAGTAAATCACAGGGGATTGAAGTAAATCACATGGGATTGAAGTAAAACAAGGTATTGAAGTAAATCACAGGGGATTGAAGTAAAACAAGGTATTGAAGTAAATCACAGGGGATTGAAGTAAAACAAGGTATTGAAGTAAATCACATGGGATTGAAGTAAAACAAGGTATTGAAGTAAATCACAGGGGATTGAAGTAAATCACATGGGATTGAATTAAAACAAGGTATTGAATTAAAACACAGGGGATTGAAGTAAATCACATGGGATTGAAGTAAATCACATGGGATTGAAGTAAAACAAGGTATTGAAGTAAATCACATGGGATTGAAGTAAAACAAGGTATTGAAGTAAATCACAGGGGATTGAAGTAAATCACATGGGATTGAAGTAAATCACAGGGGATTGAATTAAAACAAGGTATTGAATTAAAACACAGGGGATTGAAGTAAAACACATGGGATTGAAGTAAAACAAGGTATTGAAGTAAATCACAGGGGATTGAAGTAAATCACATGGGATTGAAGTAAAACAAGGTATTGGAGTAAATCACAGGGGATTGAAGTAAATCACATGGGATTGAATTAAAACAAGGTGTTGAAGTAAATCACAGGGGATTGAAGTAAATCACAGGGGATTGAAGTAAAACAAGGTATTGAAGTAAAGCACGGGGGATTGAAGTAAATCACATGGGATTGAATTAAAACAAGGTATTGAAGTAAATCACAGGGGATTGAAGTAAATCACATGGGATTGAAGTAAAACAAGGTATTGGAGTAAATCACAGGGGATTGAAGTAAATCACATGGGATTGAAGTAAAACAAGGTATTGACGTAAATCACAGGGGATTGAAGTAAATCACAGGGGATTGAATTAAAACAAGGTATTGAATTAAAACACAGGGGATTGAAGTAAAACACAGAGGCAAAAACACAGGGATTGAAGTAAAACTTACTGTCCAAGCATATTCAACATATATTCCACTTTATTTAGTATTTAATCATCAGTTATTTTTTTGATTCTCCGTTTATCATTACATATGTTATCAATAGCATTTCTCAGTTCTGATCTGATGACATTAGCTGGTATTGTCATAGAAGTGCCATTAGAGTCAAACCGTTGTGTATCATTGTTATACCACGACTGGTAGAAACATTTATTCCATTTTGCTAAGTACTCAAAATGCCAATTTCTCCCTTTATTTGGGAATAACTCAATAACAGTGCTGCCAATTGGTAGAAATATACTATAAGCTAATGCAGCCCCATGCATCCCAATTAAGATGTCTGTATTTGAAATTGTTCTCAATTGTTTGCCAATATCAAGTGCATCTAGCTGAATGCCTATAATGTTGTGACTGGGAAATCTTTCACGTGTAACATTCAGAAGTTCAATCTCGTTTGTTATTTTTCTTGAGATTATTCCATTTTTATTCCGTGGATGAGCCACATAGTCATGACGCCATACAAATAAAATATTTTGGTTGCGACAAGAGGGAATTCGGTTTGATTTCTGCCCAAATTGATTTAAAACAGTTCGCTTAAACTGGTCGAGGTACAATCGTTTATTGAGATTCTTTACATTGGGGTTTATCAGCGATGATTTCTGTATTGGAAATCCCCATATTAAATGTTCAAATTGTGTTAATGTTTTTAAATGTTTTAATCTGAAGACAGTTTTGAATAATTTCTTCAATAAATCATCCATATGACCTTGTGGATGGGCATCTAGTATCAGTAAATTAGTATTCTGAAAAGTATGGTTGAACATCTTCATGATGAGGAATGCATCATACAGTTCTATGAGAGTAAAGTATAGATGAGCATAATCCTCTCTTAGCATAGCAATAGTTAATCCAGTGATGATCATATTCGGCTTCATCACCAAAGGGCTAATTTTCAAATAGTTGAACCAGTTTTGTAAATGTAGTGGTTTAAATTTCATATTTATTTTAGATGCATTGCATTGTATATTAAAAGCTCCATAATAGAAATTATAATATTCACGCTCTTCTTTTTGGTCCAATGTTTCTTTTATTGTTTCGCCTCCTCTGTCACTTGGTGTGATCTTTGTTCTATCTATAATACTATCCTTAAGATAAGCCATTTGTTGGGCAATTTTTATAAATTTTCCATTACACCATTTTTTATCAGAATATATGGGGTTTAATATTTGATTTAAGTGTTTGTGTATATGATTATAATTTATATATTGTTTTAAATCAATAGTGTTCTCTTTATGAATCATTGCATGTTCTTCTTCTTCCTTATGTTTAGCACTATGTGGAATTGTAACTTTCACTTCTTCATCACCATCATTCAGATCTTTATGGACATCATTTACATTATTGGAAGGTTGGTTCTTACTGTTTCCTTTTTGAATAATTTCACTTTGAGTATGATCAATGTCACTTCCATTCACTTGGGCCTCAACGATACCTGCATTCCCTATTCTGGCACTCATGTTATTCTGATCTCGATACCAATTTTTAGTTTCAGGTTTATTTTGCCAAAAGTTGTCCTTATTAAGTCTTGCTAGGTGGATTCTTAGGGATTTATGGTCAAATAATATATTTGAAGATTCGAGGTAGAGAAATATCAGTGTATACAATACAGCTATGGTTAGAAAGGCCCATTTCTGAAAAAGAATTAAATAATTATCACGATGTAAAATCAAACTAGTGTCAGGAAATATGATACCAGTACATGTACTTTTATAGTCTGATTGTTGGAGGTTTCAAAACAATTTTACACCCTTTAGACCACCCTGTTGACGCTGGGTGAGGCTTTTCACCAGATGAAAACATAGGGTTTCTTTTAATGATCTTTTACCAAGATTTCACAGTTTTAATTATCCTAAAATGTTGGGCTGTTTTGTCTGAGAATGATACAAAATATCCAATACACGTAAAGAAAAAACTCATAAGCATTTTCCTGGGATTTTACTTCAATAATAAATCAGTTGAATTGAATGTATTGGTTAGCAATTTTTGAATAATACTTTATATTAGGAAATAAAGGTGATTTTGAATGGAAAATTCAATAAATCAAGATGTACATGTACTTGATGAGACTTGTTTGTGTATGAACAAATACAAACATTGTATATTTAAACCTTGTAGATTTTATCCCTGAGATGTCACATATATGATTTTTTCACTTCTTGAGTAAATCAAGTTTTGAATATGATTTGAACTGATTAACGCATGTTTTGTCATAATGTCAATAATGAGATTTTCAAGGTCAGAAAAGGTAAAAAATTATTTTTTCACCTTGCTTCAAATTGACCAATTTTTTTTCAAATCACTAGAAGTTATCAGAAGTTCAAATCTGACTTTAGATTTGAGATTTAACCTTCAATGACCTTCTCAAGGTCAAAAAAGGTCAAAAAGGTCTTTTTTCAACTTGCTTCAAATTGACCAATTCTTCATTTCAAAATCATCTACAAGTTATCAGAAGTTCAAATCTGACTTTAGATTTGCGATTTGACCTTCAATGACCTTCTCAAGGTCAAAAAAGGTATTTTTTCAACTTGCTTCAAATTGACCAATTTTTTTTTTCAAAATCATCTACAAGTTCTCAACAGTTCAAATCTGACTATAGATTTGACCTTCAATGGCATTCTCAAGGTCAAAAAGTCTTGCTTCAAATTGACCAATTTTTTTTCAAATCACTAGAAGTTATCAGAAGTTCAAATCTGACTTTAGATTTGAGATTTAACCTTCAATGACCTTCTCAAGGTCAAAAAAGGTCAAAAAGGTCTTTTTTCAACTTGCTTCAAATTGACCAATTCTTCATTTCAAAATCATCTACAAGTTATCAGAAGTTCAAATCTGACTTTAGATTTGCGATTTGACCTTCAATGACCTTCTCAAGGTCAAAAAAGGTATTTTTTCATCTTGCTTCAAATTGACCAATTTTTTTCAAAATCATCTTCAAGTTCTCAGAAGTTCAAATCTGACTTTAGATTTGAGATTCCACCTCACCATTAAATGCATGTTGGCTAGTATGTATTTCAAAATCTAGCTCTAAATAAAAAAAACTATCAATACTTGTCTGTCATGATTCATGATAATAATGTTTCATTAACATCAAATCCAAATACAGCATATTAGTTAGTTGAATTGAATGATTGAGATATTGTACTTACAATTATTTTATTTTTCTTCATAATGACGGAAAAGTTTTTCCTCTATCCTCACTATAACAACTTTACAATCAGAATGATGTCTTAACTATTTTTAATATCATGTCTATATCATCTGGTACATTATATGATGTATTGAAAATTAACCACATGGCAATTGTTTATTATTCCACTCACGGTGGATACAGGTAATACAGATAACCTCACATACATATCTAAAACAAAGGTTTGGTGTAGTGCAGATTACGATTGAGGCTACTTCAAATGAAGGAGCCAGTTTATCCCCCATTTCCAAAAATTAAAGTTGTTATGTTTTGATACAATGGTTCTAAATGCCGTTATAGAGGGCGTGCGGTTCACAAGCACTGTCACGTGATCAAAAAATACAAAATGTCGTTTGACAAACTTTTAGTTCCTGAACAAGTCATCTTGTACTTACACCCCAGTCACATTTGTCGTACAGCGGCCGTATGTCGACCGCAGATCAATTAGATCAGTAAATTTCTGTGGCGAGCGTGGGAAAACTATGGATGCCTTTTTTCTTTTTTTTTTTGCTTTTCAGATGCTTTAAAATTTTATTTTCCATACATTGTTTACGTCTAGCAACTAAAACAATATTTGGTATTAAACATAACAATCTAAGTAACACTTGTTCTACAAAATATAATTTGTAAGAAGGGTACTTCATAAAATTTAAAATAAACAACATTATCAATCTTGGTGAATTTTGGCAATGCTTTGAGAGACGTTACTGGATTTTCTTGTAATAGGTCCTTCATGAGCATCTTCAAAATACTTTCTAAATAAACTCATGAATCTTTACTGTGAGGAAAAACATATTAGAAACCAAGTTCTATTTTCATTAAGTGTGCAGGGCCTATTTCAAGAAAATTCCTAACCAATATGAATACCAGTGCACAAGATATATTCTTTGACTTTAAATGTCAAACATGTATAAGTAACTTTATGCCCTAAATTATCTGCAAGTCTTCATATATGTAAGGGACTAGGTCAATATATATATATATGTATATACAATTAAGTAATTCAGATTGACTTCCAGGTTTCGTATCATGAAAATGCAACAAAAAATATATTGTTTTTTTCAAATGAGTTCCAAATCCATCCCTCTCATGCAAATGTAATTCTGTTTGTGAACATACAAATATATTGCAATATATTGAGCTGGTCCCTTATGTGCTTAGTTATAAAAGGTGATGAATGTCATTGCAAAATGCAACTGTCATTAATGTGATGACATTGTACTCAATTGTACAAAAGCTATACAATTACTGTCAATTTCAGTGTCAGGAACAACATAAACATCCCATGATTTGTGAAAAGTATGCTTACATGTAATGATACATATATGCCAGAGATAGTATTAAGAGATTTGGAAGTATTTGTGTTAAAAGTTATAACTTATAAATATTGAAAGCAACAATTCCAAACCTCGTTAGAACCACAACTAGCAATTTGTCAAAATTGAAATAAAATGAACAGATTTACACTCAAATACATCACATTTATACATGATACAACTGATAATTCATAGCAGACTGGATTGGATCCATTTAGATAAAACAATATGTGATAACAGAAATCATATCACAAAATAAAAACAATTGATCACATTCAGATTTTAACCAAGAGTAAACAATTTCAATTGTCCAATAGCATCAAGCCCCTCTACTCTGTGGAACACAAAATAGTGGAATTGGCCACAGCAAGAGTAAGGAAATATACAACATGCCAACATACTTTCGATCAAAAAAATGAAAAAAATTAGGCTCTACTTTGAGAAAATCTTGTAGTGTCAAAGAATATACTGTATTTGCAACTTTTGGAAAAAATCTGAAAGTGTGTTACTTTTACATAAACAATGTAAGCTCCATGAAGGAGTATTGACATCTAACAATGCCACATATGACAAATAATCCATCCAGAGATTCAAAATGTCATAATAGGTATCGTTTAACATGTTCAGTTCATAATCGTTTCCATCGATAAGTAACTTTGTCAAGAAACATATCGATCCGTAGCTTACAACATTGTGGAGTTTGGACCCTTGGATTGCAACAGTTTTATGCAATCCCGCCCAAACTTTAACTTATGTATTTTTGTTTGCATATGTACACAGGGGAACATATTGAGTTAAATATTACGTATTGGCCATATACTGTACGTGTTACATTTCCTAACTAATCTGGTATCTGCTTTAATTTGGCAGATGATTTAAATTTGCTTTTTCAAGTTGAATCAAATTGAATCTTGGATGCCTGCGGTCTCCATATAGTGACGTATCAAGTTTTTAACAGGCCACATATAAGGAATGATGTAATGTAACAGACTCTAAGTGCCCATATAAACAATGATGTAAATTAGCAGACTCCAGATGTCCATAAAAATGACACAGATGATATACATTTACAAGACAATTGAGATAAATAAAATGTATAAGTAATGTAGCAAATTTCATTATTTGCATCATAAGTTGAAATTTTTATTATTTAAATTTTAAAGAAAATCCATAATCTACGTAATACACAAAAAGTTGGTTATAATATACCAATACGCGATAACGTTTAATTTCGTTCAGTTTAGCAACCTCTCGTTTGAAGAGCTCTCATGTATGGTACAACTTCATCTTCATCCGGGTTCTTTCCCATTGGATTACACAGGGGTGCTATTTTTAATGCCGCACTGCGGCTCTATTAAACATTTATGTAGAGTTTCATTTGCACAAACGATAGGTATGTATGTAATTAAGATATTTGACAAAGCAATTTGAGCTATAATCCCCAAATCCGAAGTAATGTGTAGTTAAAAATGCCGTCCAATTCCAGTGACGTCACTGATATCCCAGAAATTGCTCAGACGCCATCGAATATCGAAAAATATAAATAATGTTACTTTGAATCTCCGATTATCTTTCTGATTATTGAATAGATTGGATTATATAACTATGCTTGAGGGCTGATGGAAGATCAGAAGCTGAGAAACGTTCAGAGTAATCAACTCGTTCGGCGGGCCAATGAAAATTTGTCCCTTCCAAAGCGATGCATCATGGGAGATATTTATGTAAATTACCACCTGAACTCTTATCGCGAATAGGAGTATTGAAAGGACAGTCATTTGTTGGAATGTATTTTTTGGCAACAAAATACCATATTTTTTTGCTTTTTAACATTCCCTCTTGGAAATATTCTGTCCATTGTTATATTCCCTCGGCATGTGGTATTAGGATGAAGGTCATGATCGATGATGCTTCCTCAGGAAAATATTTTATTATTTTTTCTTGATGACAGTTAGTTCTCATATAATAATTGAAGTGATAGATCAATTGTATTCTATAAGGTACTTTATAAGCATCATTACCTTCCCTTAAATGTCATTTGATTGGAATTAATGTAAATAAGCATTGAAATAGCAATGATATTACGCATTCAAAGAGCAAGATCGCAATCAAAAGAGAAATACGATTATTATGAAAATGAAAATTTGTGACATTATTTTAAACTGAATATAGGTATGAGATCAAATATAATTATTACTGTTTACTAGTTATTATGGTTATATGTTGGTTTTTCTTCTTTCAATTTCAGTCACACTCTGGCTTTTTGCCCTATAGATACACACGAATAAAAATCTTTAAAATCAAGTATAATAGGTATAAGGTTCATGCTGCATCTAAAAACATATACTTCAATTATGACTTATGTTTATTGTAAAACGAATGGTTCATTGTACACAATGATAAAAGCCTCACCAGGTGAGCCCAATAATAATGCCATTTTAAACTCATCTTAATTTCATACTTTACAAATATTTGCAGATGGAATTTCAAGGAAGGAAGACCAGCTCAGAACTTTGATTCATTTGCCACTGCCCTATTGACAGTCTTTCAGGTAGGTACAGATTGGGTCAAAATATTGACAGTCTTTCAGGTAGGTACAGATTTGGTCAAAATATTGACAGTCTTTCAGGTAGGTACAGATTGGGTCAAAATATTGACAGTCTTTCAGGTAGGTACAGATTGGGTCAAAATACTGACAGTCTTTCAGGTAGGTACAGATTGGGTCAAAATATTGACAGTCTTTCAGGTAGGTACAGATTGGGTTAAAATATTGCTCAAACCAGTATCATTGTTTAAAAATAGTTCATCTGTCCTGAAAATGTCAATATAAACTTTTTTCATAACATTTTCAATCAATTGAAATACATATCCTTTACCCATTATCCCATTATATATATATAACATCTCCAAATCATGAAGAAATGTTTTTATTCTTCAAATTATGGTTTATTTACCATTAAATATAAAATAAGTTAAGATTTTAAACTATTTTAACTTGACTTACAACTTAAACAATATATTTAATTGTACATCTAATTCTTGAAAACTATTACATAGTTCAGCTTTAGTTTTGTCTTCATTAAAAAGTTTATCATCAGCTATTTATGTATGTGTTATGTACTATTTTAACTAATGAATGTTATCAAATCTAAATAGGAATACAATAAAGAACGTTTTTTAGAGATGTTTGTTTTTTCACCCTGCTAAGATTTGGCCTGTCAACAGGACGTTAAATATATTTTTAACTTTGACTAATTTTATATGGTTTCCCTCTATATTTAACATTTACTTGTTAATTAATGAGATGTTTTGTAATATCACCATAACCCCATTTACATTCATTATATACTGGAATTAATCATATTAGTAAAGATGTATTCCATGAAGAACATTTGCATAATAATGTATTAATATATCATTTTTATTGTTTAGATTTTAACTGGTGAAGATTGGAATGAAGTTATGTATAATGGTATTCGCTCCATGGGAGGTGTCAACTCGCAATACGGGATGCTCTTCTCCATATATTTTATAGTTCTTGTGATATTTGGAAACTGTAACCTTTTAAAGAAGAACTTAATTACACAATAATTTTTTATAGATGCGTGTACAAATTTTTATATTTTTTATGTTTTTTTATTTTAGTCATGAGTGATGCACATATTGTCTTTGGTATAGTAGATTATCATTCACTTTTAGGTTCCTCTTAGAGGCTATCATCATGTAGTAGTTATATTTTGATGTAGATGTTATACAAGGGAACATTTTGATGAACTAATTATAAATTTAACTTTTTTTTCTTTTTTCTTTCTATTAAACTGGTTATTGAAGAGAAATTAAATATAAAAAAGTATAAAAATGTTTATCAAATAAAATTGTACCATTCAAAAGATGACCATTGTATTGCTTATGTGTAACCTTTCAGATTTTTTCGATAACTGGTTTAAAAGAAATTTTTTTGAATTAGTTCACCAAATCGTAATAGGTCCTTTGTGTATAGACTTGGGGTCAGGCAGTTTCAAAATTTTCAGTTCGGTTTGGTTTTAAATCCCTTGGTTCAGTAATGCTGTTATTGTCATTCTCGAATATTCTGCTAAAGGTAAAACAAAATTTGCCTTTATGATTATTATGTATTTATTCTCATGTTATAGACTATGTTAAACTGTAAGATAAAATATGTGTCAGCTTATATCTTTCTCATTTATCCCATTATTTTAGAGAACACACATTTACAAATGGTGGTTTGTTTACCTACGTTCTGTTAAAAAACTGAACTTAAAGATTCTCCAGGCCAATGATGATTGAAGTTCCATGGCTTCGATTAACCGTCTGACCCCTAGTATAGACCAGGTGTAGATATAAACTGTACAATATTAATAGTCATAGTATAGCATTTACACAATTAACTTCCTATCATTTAATATGTCACTACCGATAAGTGGTAATATAATATATAATATAGCTACCCTAGCTCCACCCTGTGACCAGAATTCACCATTGGGCCAAAAACAAATATTCCATTATTTGGTGGTGACATGCTGTTATGTTAATGCCTTTTCTCCCCATTTTAACCTCAATTCTTCTTAGGTTATATCAAAGATGACGGATATTTCATTCCCATAACGTGACAAGAAGCATGCATTTCCATCTTACATACAACCTTTTTAATGTGACTTATTTGACAGAGCTAAAAATTTGGGTTACCTTCATCTTTTATAAATTGTTGACGTCCTTGATGCAAGATGATTTTAAGTGCTGCCTTAGATTTTTGCATTGTCACTGCAATGTCATATGCTCTGGATTCAATCCACTTGCTGTTAGGTTAACTGTTATCTGAATAGTTTTCTTATACAATTAGTGCTCAGTGCTCATTTATCATTGTGATTTGAACTTGTTATGTTTGAAAAATGATTATTGGTTGCTAATGATGCCTTAAAGATCGTTCACAACCAGCCTGTGAGCAATGTTATACATACGTGATATATCTGTAATCAGTTTTGGGTGTTTGGGTTGGCATATTTGTTGTTATTCAAGTATGTGAGGCAGTAACTAGTAACTAGTCCATGTTTCAATTTTTTTATCTAGTTGACTAGTTATTTTATCCAGAAATCTCAATTTTATCCAGATCCCATATTTAGTAAAATCCTGGTGAACAATATATAAGCACATATTATCAGCACTTGCATATACTTATAGAGCACATATGATTAGCACAAATATATTAGTTGCACATATTAATTTTAATAGTTTTTACTGGCAGATCTTAACCGGGGAAGACTGGAACGAAGTCATGTACAAGGGGATTCAATCATATCGTGACAAAATGCCTGGCAACTCTGCAATGGTCCTATGCCTATATTTTATTGTTCTAGTTGTCTTTGGTAACTGTATCCTTAGTGACACTAGTTAGTACTTGTACATTAGTGACCTTTTGATACAGGTTAATCAGAGAACATAAAATGCTTAGAGAATCAAAACCATGGCTCACACTATTATGACTTTATAGAGGCCCTGAAGACTTAGTAATGAATAAAATTTCAATGTATATATATAAATTATACAACTATTACATTTCATTCATTTTTGTACAATAATAACATTTTTATAAGATAAGAAGGAGGGAAATTAGCGCAACAGATTTTGGACAGTCATATGTTGGATTTTGGCCATTTTCTGAGGATTTAAACAATTGCATATGTTAGGCCAATGCATTACCTCCAGGAAAATCACTTCTAGAGACGATAAAATAATTTGGACTTTGAGACAGGGTAGATGCAAACAACCCACCCACATGCTTTTTCTGAAATGTTTTCCTAATTTTGGACCCCTTCCATCCCTGCTTTTTTAATTTTTTGCATCAATATGTTGCATTTTGACACATAGTTAACCACTTTAAAGGAATAAGTGATTCCTTTTGGGGTTTTAAAGATACCCATTATGGGTGACCAAACTTAGCTGAAAGCAATGATTTTTTCTATGGGAAAATAACATGGGAAAAGCGGTTTTCCACTTTATCTAAAAGGAATCACTTATTCCTTTTAAGGGATTAACTGTGTGTCAAAACGCAACATATTGATGCAAGAAAAATTAAAAAATCAAGGATGGAAGGGGTTGAAAATCAGGAAAACATTTCAGAAAAAACATGTGGGTGGGTTGTTTGCATCTACCCTGTCTCAAAGTCGAAATTATTTTATCATCTCTAGAAGTGATTTTCCTGGAGGTAATGCATTGTCTAACATATGCACCTGTTTAAATCCCCATGAAATGGGCAAAATCAAACATATGACTGTCCAAAATCTGTTACGCTAACTTCCCTCCTCCTTTATTCAATTTGTTTCCCATTTTTTATTCCATTTTGTATGGTTTCATTATTAATAAGACTTATGGGCCAATTTACATGTATCATAAAGTAGATGCATATTGCAGGTTTCATTCTCGAGAATACTTCTATCAAAAGGTCACTATGTTCTTAGATGCACCACATAGCTTTGTTTTTGGGGTAAACATTTACAACTTGGAAGTGATTCATTTTGGGTCTAAATCAAAATGAATAACTCTCCTGTCATTCACATAGGCTAGAGGGGAACTTGAACATAGGGCACAGAATTATGAAATGTTTACTTCAAGATCCCTTTAGCCTTTTTAGATTGATTGAAACTGCTTATTAATAAGAAATTATTACGATATGTACTGTTATTGTTAAAGGCTTAGCTATTTGAGCCATTTAAAAATATTGCTTTAAAAATGTAAATGAAGGCAAGAAATTCAAGAGCAGTAGTATGATATCTAAAATCTTATTATTCTGTGATTGGTCCATCAAATTGTACCCGCATCATTTCTTGTATGATCCCTCACTTTGGTTAGAGGTGCCATTTACACAATTTGTTGTTTCCTTGAGACCAAACTGAATTAATCATAATTTTCACATATTTTCGCTTTTTCAAAATTTCTCCATTAAAAGACATTTATGCCTGGGGAATTTGATGGATCGCTCTCACTGTAATTTATTTGTTCAGTTATTATCATGTCACTACCACATTTGGCATTTGGTGTTTGGAGTTCGACACAAATAGCAGGTGGTGACATTTTAATGCCTTTATTAGTTTGAGTTGCTTACACTTCCTTACATTGATTCGCACTTCCATTCATTTATTTACTTAGAATAAAACTCATTTTGTTTCAGCTTTGATTTTGTTTTTGATACTTGTCATTTTTTTTATTTTTAATCTTCTTTATAGAATTTTTTTAATACAAAAATCGTTGATGATATTTACCTGTCTCTTTTTTGATTTTTTATTATGCAATAAAACCATCTATTTTTATTTATTTATTTTTATTGGTTTATTCTAAAAATATGAATATTAAAAAAAAAAAGAAATTCCAATGAACCTTAACTCCTGACCAGACACACTGCTTAATGTGTTCTTGGCTATTGCTGTTGACAACTTGGCAAATGCTCAGGAACTTACTGCCGCTGAAGAAGAAGAGGCGCAAGAAGAAGACCAGGTGAGTCACATGACCTCATTTACATATCACATGACTTAATTTGATTTGCCTATCGAATAATTAATTTACATGTGATATTTTCTAATTTCAATACCATATGTTTATCATAAATTGGAGTTTACAAATGATGTAATTATATTACAATACAGTGTATATATATATATTTTGGTTATAATTGTTCTAGATTGTGACATATTGTAGTCCCACCCCCACTTAAATGTAGTTTATTGTGTCATTTGGCTGTAACAGATTGTTTGGTCTTCATATATGCCGGACATTCTAACATGTATCATCTGTGTGTTCAGTGTTTTCAATGTACCATTGTAACCACTAAGGTAATTTTTACACGGATATGCCGAATAATGAAATAATGCATCATTATTTTCATTATACCTTATGTAACCCATATTTACTGTAATTTAGGTTAATTTTGCACCCCCCCCCCCCCTCTGTATTGGTCATTTGATAAATTCACCAATTAACATCATCTTCACCAAGAAAAGATACCCCCCAGAAAATTCAATTAAAAACTGCCAAAATTAACCAGAAAGTTCTTTGTACTCCATTTATTGCTTTTCTGTGCAAAACATGCTATACAAATGCCGTGACTTAATGTGTGTGACAGAGATAGCTTTCCTTGGTACTGCCACCAAAAAGCAACATTTGTCTTCATTTTATCATCAAGATTTCAAGATGCAGGGTATTAGAGCTCACTCACAAGTCTCTTCTCTCCAAGTATAGAAGATCTGTGGCTGAGATTTAGAAAAGGGAATGAGTTACAGTTATTGAAAAGAAATATCCAGTTGGGGTCATTGTCCAATTCTAAAGTGTTTAGCTTCCAGGGAACATCCTCACTTGATTTTATACTATTTTTTGTTGTTAATATTTATATTTTTGTTTTTTTTCCATGGTTTTAGTCTCCAAGTAGCTTTCCGACATCCTGGTCCCGAAGTTTTCCTTCATCCTGGTCTCGCCAAAGCAACATTGCTTTCAAGAGAATTTCAGAAATGCCTTTTATTTCAAGTATTTCACAATATAATCTCCAAGAAAAGGTGCAACCAATTTGGTGTCTATCATGTAGAATATAGACCTAGAGACCATGAATATAGACCTAGACAAGGAATATATAAACCTAGAGAAATAGAATACTTCGAGAATCTAGAGCTCAAGAACTAACTCTAGAGGCAAATAGAATTTAAAGGCCTTGTGTAACTTTAATTCGGGCTTTAAAGGCTAGAGATATGAATGTTAGAGAGAATATGTACCTTAGCTATAATCCAGTAGATAGTCTTAGATACATTTAGGGATGTGACGGGGAATATCTATGAATTTCTAATATGTATGTTCATGAACAATAAGTTGATGTACAATTCTCTGCAATCTACTTTAAAAAGAGGCCACTGAATATGCTATTAAGATTAAGTTAAATAACTCCTCCCAACCTAGCCTCTGTTTCATCCCCCCCCCCTCCTTTCTCACAGTGACCTAATGCCCCTTATCTCTTCTAATAGATGTTACCGCTTTAAATGTGTTTTGTTTCCTAGTACCAATTATATGATTTATTTGAATCAATATATTGTTGAAAATGTATGTTTATTAAGATCATCTGGTTATTTTGGACAATCTGACAAGTATACTGGATACCAATGTATTATAGACTAGCCTTATGCATATTATACCATAGAATGTGTATTATAGTATTATTTGGCCATAGCTTAATTGGTTTTTTGGGTGGGTCCAAAATGTGGACCCTCTCTGTTGGGAACACCTGTCTTAACAAGGTACAATTTTTGCAAGTCCAGAAAGTATCCCTTTTTTCACAGGTTTTACATATATAGCCCTCGGATACTAGACTAATGACCAATATGTTATTGGAAATACTTGTAGCCCATAAACACTAAACCAATATTCTATAGTAAATACTTGTAGTCCCAGAACACTAGACTTATGTGTTATAGTATATGCTGCTCATGAACACTTAGGCCAATATGTTATAGCAAATACTTAAAGCCCATAAACACAAGACCAATGTGCTATAGTATATAAGTATGCCTAAACACTAGATAAATGTGTTGTAGTATTATAGCCCCTGAACATCAAACCAATGTGTTATAATTGTCTAGCCCCTGGACACTAGACAAATGCATTATAGTATAATATACTTTTATAGCCCATAAACACAAGACCTAATGTGTTATAGTATACTTATAGTTCAAGAACACTAGAGATCCTAGTAAATGTTGTGTGCGTGCCTTTGTTGTTTGTAGAAAAAGCAAGAGTACCAAAAACAGATCCAAGGTCAACTAGGAGACCCCCAGGTTATCTTCTATGACATCACAATAGCTTTTGATTTGTGACTATTATATATGTCACATCACACTAAATATATCACAATAAGGCCACTTGCACACTTTCACCATGCAGCAGCCATAGTTATAGTTTTGCAAAATTCAAAATAATATTGAACTCCAATCAATGGCGCCTCTATGGGGCATCAAAATCAAGGAGTATGTTATTTATTCTTGCTCTTTTGCCCATTCATTTGTATTGGGGCAGATAATGTGTGATAAGCGATATGTCAAGGAGACACTTAACTTATAAATTACAACATCAAGTCAAGCTTTCCTAGTAATATTTTCCAAATCTGAGAAAGTAGTTTCGAGGCAGTGCCGAAAATACATTATTTGTACCTGATAAATGTTCACATACTTTGGGATACACTGGAACATGCCTTTCAGGCTGAAAATTAAAAAGTCATTTGCTGACAAAAAATTGTAAATTGTTACTTAACTACATCAAACTGCAACTATGGCTGCGTATTTATATATTCTAAATTGGTGATGGTTTGGTGGTAGAATTAATTGATTAATTTATTAATTACACTTTACTTTTAGAAGATTTTTAGATATTGAAGAGAGACTCTGTTAACATTTTGCATGTTCATATGAACTCAAGAGTCAGTTTTGATCATTATTTTATTCAGCTCAAATTAAAGGTAAATGGAAGTGGTACCTGATAGAATAAGTGATGTCATGCCATCTATGTCTGTATATATACTTTGGGTTCGCCTTAAGTTGCTTAGCTCTTAGCTGTCTTGGCCATTTCCCTGGTATAGTCATTCTGATACTTGAGGATAGACACCAAGGAAGGACCCACAAAAAGGCCAATGAACTTGACAATAGACAGCTAAGAGTTAGCATAAATGCATGAGAGAAATTGAAAAGTCTTTGGTCTTTCTGAATGGGGTTGGCTTTTGGGATATCTGTTTTATGATAATTATGGGCCTCCTTAATAAACCATCATATAGTTAGTAAACACCTAATAGACAGATTTGTATTGCTTGTTATACAAATAGATTTAATTTACCTCTGGAGACCATAGGTTGGTTCAAGGTTTAAAAATGCTTATTCAGTATTGCAACATTTTAATTTATTATGCATGGATGCTTCCTTAATATTAGATCACATTGTTTGAATCAGATGTGCATTTGGAATATACATGTAGCTATTGGTTAATTTTTATCATTTTATGGTGCTAAATTGTAAATTTAATATTAATTGCTTTTAGATTGTATAATTTAATCAAAGTCATCAGTTTAATTTGTTTTAACCAGTGTTCCTTGTCGTTAATGATTTTCATTACCAGATTGATTTTGTAAGCCTTATTCTAATCATTTAAATTTATGTTGCCATAGAAACCATTTGTTTCCATAGCATTATTAATGTGATCTTGTTGTGTTTAAACCTCTATTTTTCTTCAAATCAGTTTAAGCTTCTTTGTTTAAAAAATTATAAAAATCTGTTTGTGTTTCTAGCGTGCCGCAGAACTTGAAAAAGAGGTTGGCGATGCCTTTGGGATTGGTCACGGACCACCTGGGATTGGACCCCCCATGGTGAACATTTGTCCACCTTCTCCACAGAATAATGAAGACCGCAAAACAGGAAACTTTAATTTGTAAGTATTAACTTCAAATCTTATAATTTCCCCATTTATCTAATAATTATATGTTAATATTAAACCTTAATAATAGATGGCATGGTTTTTATTGTATTTTTTTATTCATTCCTCAAAGTAAACCTCGGTGAGCTAAATGGTATATTTTTTCCAAAATTATAAATCCAAAAAGTAAAATTATCAAAAAAGTTATCGTATTACCTGGTAGTGTGAGCATTAGGTACAGTGAGATGAAAATTGAGTCAGTTCCTAGTTGACTTATTAGAGTGAATGAAACCATCTTACAAGAAATGCAACCCTCCATTCAATATGATAACTACCACACTGTATGTTATATGTATATACGATAGTTACACCATTCTAAGACATTTTTTCATTCACAGTATTTCTTTCAGTGGAGAGAATAAAACGGACAACAGAGACAAGTCAGTCAGTATAACAATGGACGGCAAGAAAGAAGGAACAGAAGCTGATGGATCCGATTCAGGTAAGATACATATTTTCAAATTGATAATGTTAATCAAATAAGTACAAAATTAGAAATTAAATTTCTTTTTGAGATGTTTAAAAGGATAAATGTTACTGTGCCTTGTCTGTTATTCAATCTGGCAAGGGTCTCAAAGTCTTATTTAAATCACATTATAATTCTTGTACTTTTGATCATTTTAGGGAAAAAAGATGGTAAGGATCAGTGGATCGTCAAGCACTTATTTGTGTGCTGTGCTGATTATTGTTGCCATAGCAACATGTATTTTAGAGCCTTGTACATTTTTATGTTGTTCTTATATTAGATAAATTCTTATAGCTTATTACATGCTCTAAGTAGTTATTTCACAAATAACCTCACATTCATCATTCAAGTTTTAATAGTTACTTCACATTCTAATTGATACTTCACATTCTACTAGTTACTTCACATTCTACTAGTTACTTCACATTCTACTAGTTACTTCACATTCTACTAGTTACTTCACATTCTAATAGTTCACGTTCTAATAGTTACTTCACGTTCTAATTGTTACTTCACATTCCAATTGTTACTTCATATTCTAATAGTTACTTAACGTTCTAATTATAACTTCACAATCTAATAGTTACTTCACATTCTAATAGTTAGTTCACATTCTAATAGTTTATCATAAGAGAATAGGTGGATTTTCTTCATCACTCTAGAATTGTCCATATTCTGTAGCCGACACCATGTACGTGCTATTTCGACTTTTAGTGTCGCTGATATGGGGATCCAGGCCATGTCACCTTCCATGGCTACATTAGGAGCATGCTGGCCTACTCCTAAGAAAAAAAAATAAATAGTTACATCTTGTTCTTATAGTTACTTCAATTACTTCACATTCTTAGTCACTTCAAGTTTAAATAGTAACACCTTGTTCTTATAGTTACTTCATATAACTTCACATTCTTAGTCACTTCAAGTTTGAATAGTAACATCTTGTTCTTATAGTTACTTCAGATAACTTCACATTCTTAGTCACTTCAAGTTTAAATAGTAACATCTTGTTCTTATAGTTACTTCATATAACTTCACATTCTTAGTCACTTCAAGTTTAAATAGTAACACCTTGTTCTTATAGTTACTTCATATAACTTCACATTCTTAGTCACTTCAAGTTTAAATAGTAACACCTTGTTCTTATAGTTACTTCATATAACTTCACATTCTTAGTCACTTCAAGTTTAAATAGTAACATCTTGTTCTTATAGTTACTTCATATAACTTCACATTCTTAGTCACTTCAAGTTTAAATAGTAACACCTTGTTCTTATAGTTACTTCATATAACTTCACATTCTTAGTCACTTCAAGTTTAAATAGTAACACCTTGTTCTCATAGTTACTTCATATAACTTCACATTCTTAGTCACTTCAGGTTTAAATAGTAACACCTTGTTCTTATAGTTACTTCATATAACTTCACATTCTTAGTCACTTCAAGTTTAAATAGTAACACCTTGTTCTTATAGTTACTTCATATAACTTCACATTCTTAGTCACTTCAAGTTTAAATAGTAAAGTAACATCTTGTTCTTATAGTTACTTCAGATAACTTCACATTCTTAGTAACTTCAAGTTTAAATAGTAACACCTTGTTCTTATAGTTACTTCATATAACTTCACATTCTTAGTCACTTCAAGTTTAAATAGTAACATCTTGTTCTTATTGTTACTTCAAATAACTTCACAATCTAATAATTCATTCATGACATCAAGTTTAAATACATCATGCTCTCTCAGATAATTTCACATTGAAATAGTTACTTCGCATTCAAATAGTTACTTCACATTCAAATAGTTACTTCACATTCTAATAGTTACATTACATTCTAATTCTTACATCACATTCTAATGGTTACTTCACATTCTAATTGTTACTTCACATTATAATAGTTACTTCACATTCTAATTGTTACTTCACATTCAAATAGTTACATCACATTCTAATAGTTACTTTACATTCAAATAGTTTCTTCACATTCTAATAGTTACTTTACATTCTAATAGTTACTTCACATTCTAATAATTACTTCACATTCTAATAGTTACTTCACATTCAAATAGTTACATCACATCCTAATAGTTACTTCACATTCAAAAAGTTACTTCACTTTCTAATTTTACTTCACATTCTAATAGTTACTTCACATTCTAATAGTTACTTCACATTCTTATAGTTACTTCACATTCTAATAGTCACATTGTGCCCAAAGCTACTAAACATTCAAAAAGCATCACAAACCTTTTTGAAAAAAATATCACTATCAATGCACCTGGAAGAATTCAAAACTTAAAATCAATTTTATTCATTAAACACTTCTTGAAATGATCGTTGTATGTATGTAGCCTAGCTAGATTTACATACACTATGTATTTTGTAGATGTCACCATAAGTCCTTGAAATAAGGCAAAAATGCAAATATTGTGAGCACTGTCAAACACAACACATCTCTATTCATTACTATACAATGAACATTCAAGCTGAAAAATGGTTTTCACAATTTATTAATTTCCAATTTGATTATATAATGCACCATTTTGATATCACATTATTTTGAAAATATCTTTAGTATATATCAGATTGATTGATAGCATGATAGAATTTAACTCATGTAATCTTCAAATCCACATTAGGTTGGTTTACTTTCCCACTTATTGTTCAGATTAATCTTTTTTTATTAACCCATATTACATTGTGCAATAGTTAACTTATAAATTATATAAGATTATGTCTAAATCGATGCATTAATGTATGATATTTTGGCATTTTCGAAATATTTGATCAATTCATTTCATTTTTCAAAATTATTGGGAATTACAATTTCTGAAATTCAATTATCTTTCATGATGTTACTATGGCAATATCATTTAAGTATATTGAATTCAACAAAATATTTTTGAGAGTGATTCTACGCAGTTTTTGCACATCCAATCTGGGTTCCATTTATCTCATTAAATTATTTTATTTTAAGAAGTCTTCAAATTGATGTATAACAAAATTTTCTGATTATACCAAATGTGTAGTTCTAAGTAAATGTACGAGATATATGTATATACATATGATGTTCTTACAGCAACTGTTTCTAGTGGGGATGATGGGGAAGATGAGGAAGGAGGATTTCTCAATGGACCCAAACCCATGCTCCCATACAGCTCTATGTTTGTCTTTGGACCGACAAACCCGTAAGTAAACCAATATTTCAACTTAACCTAATGGATCAAAGTTATATTGTGATATCAGTATTTATGACTACATGAAAATGGTCTTAGTTTATAGATATAATATTATCTCATACAAAAACCGTATACAAGAATGTGAATTTCAATGTAAAAAGTATTACTTTAAATGTTTTTAATGTACATATGAGGTGTATATGATTTGTTTTTAATTAATCATTTTAATGTATTTCAGAATCAGAAGATTTTGCCACTTTGTTGTGAACCTACGTTATTTTGATTTGTTCATCATGATAGTCATCTGCGCTAGTAGTATTGCCTTGGCAACAGAGGACCCCGTAAATAAAGACTCACAGAAAAATGCAATCTTGAACTATTTTGATTATGTCTTCACAAGTGTATTCACTGCAGAAATGATACTCAAGGTAAAAATTATGAAATGAACCGAATCTGTAAAAATTTAAAAATATCTATACATATTAATGTCATAAGTTATATTAAAAAGTGTATTGGACATATTCATTAGAATTAAAGTATATAAGGTTTTAACAGCTAAATAATCTGTCATCTGTTCCAATTCAATATATTCTAATTTTCTAGGTGATAGATCTTGGTATTCTGTTCCATCCTGGTTCTTACTGTAGGGATCTATGGAATATTCTAGATGCGACAGTCGTCATTTGTGCCCTTGTTGCCTTCATATTCACGTAAGTTCAGCGTCTCCGTCATTTTCACAACTATTGCATCATAAGGTTTTCTGAAAAGTGTTGTTGCTGAAATATTATTTAAAGTATTGATATTTTGAATGTTATGTGATGAAGCCTTATTAGAGATAATGAGTTTTGAAATAATTTCTGACCAGTTTGATCTGCTTTAGTTTTTTACAGTTGTTTTTTATTTATTATAATTTTGTGACAATTGAAACTTGTATATGTATAATTATAATTTGACCTACAATGAACTAGATAGATCATTGACCACTTATTCACAGTGGACTATATCAGTACAGCTTTAATATTTGTCTTGAATAGTTTGGAGTAAACATTGTAATTATGTAAAATTATTAACTGACTGATATACTTAACTGTGAATGGTCTCCGAATCCCGATACCTCTTTCCCTCCCCCTCACCTCCCATCTTTCTGCCATGTTATGATAGCCCCAAATAAAATTTAATGAAATATAATGTGAAACATTCCACCATATTTTTCAAGCGAGAAATTAAAGATCAGTCTCTGAGTTAATATTGTTCGATATATTTTTATATAAAAATGCTTTTCTGCAAAATATCGAAGCTTGGAAAAAATGAAATATTTTTTTAAACTTTTATCTTTGTTCATAAAAGAATGTTTATATGATATTCAATATTGGGATAATTTTTGATCAGAATCACAGAGACTGACCTTTTATTCAATTCATCGATTTTGTCGTGATACTGCTTAACTTTAAAGAATTATTGGAGCTCAATTAAAAATGTTGATATCAAAAGTTATACAATAATTAATGCATGATTATTTTTGCTCAAACAATATAGTAAAACGTAAGAAAATCAAGTAACCCCTCTCTAAGTGTTTCACTAGATTTTTACAATGTTTGATCCTTTAAACACATCTGTCTTACTTGACTGCTCTAGATCTTAATCCCATGACTGCATCTTGAAGTTTGACTTTCCAGTGCAATGCATAGATTAAGACAATATTGTCATATCTCAGGAAATCTCTATGAAAGTTGATCTTACATCTTCTCTGGACTATTTATGTTTGGCAAAAACATCAAATTCTTGACCTCTTTCACCGAGGCAAGTATATAGTTTCAAATAGAAACATGCCTAAACAACCAATTCAATGTGAAGTAAGGTTTGCAAAATTTGCACCTTAATTCCCAATTCGATTCCTGCTATGTCCTTTTATTTTGTCAATTCCAATTTGTTCAGGAAGCAGTCATACCTTTAGCCCCTATTTAGTATATACATCTACATGTCCTAGTATATATGTGATTTAGGATAATTTTTTCTTGTATTTCTCATATGTTTTCATGTATGCATCTATATTAACTGTCAATCAGGGGGCCATGCATGCCCCATACATATAGATATGTTTGTGATTTAACAACTGCATGAACTGGCCACCAACCAAGATGAATGCAAACTTAATATATCTCATTCAAGCACATAAAGCATGTGTTTGTACAACTAATATGTCCCCTTCCTATTATGTTAAAACAGAGAGTTCAATAAGTTTTGATAAATTCTCTAATTTTGGAGAAGTGATAAGTCTACAATGTACAATTGATACAGTTAACTCATGTACATGTACGGAGAAAATATTTTTTTATTTATCATTACTTATTGAACATCCTGTACTTGATTATTAACACAGTGGTTTGTATTGTAATCAAATGGCTTTATTAAAAAGCTCTTTGATTTAATAGTACAAGAATAAGATATTAAAACCTTCATATCTTTAATGTTAGCACTTCAAACCTACAATTGATAATGATTATCAACAATATCAAATATCTCAAGCTGAAAACCCCCAAAAATCTTTATCAATATATGAAGGTTTTATTCTATTATAAAAACCGATGGTTAGACTTGATGTTTCTTTTCTAACATTATATAGATACCTTTTTCGGTAAGTTTTTTCCTCGAGTCTCACATCACTGAGACAAATGCTGCCACCTTTAATTTATTTTGAACATCTTCAACAATCATTTTTTCGAGGACAGTTATAGAATTTATGTTAATGCTTCAAACTGATGTATCTTATAATAGATAATTTTCATGAAGAGAAAGCATGCAGTATTATTCCTTACTTTGCACATATATTAGTTATACGTCAAAATATATATATTATTATTAATCACCGATTCATTTTAAATTGACCCACGTCAATCAGCTTTTAGCTGCTATTAGATATAATACTTTTAAAAGATAAATTAAAGCACAGTTTCAGCAAACACCTTATTGTCAATTGTTTCAGTAAATATTCAAACTAGAAAGAATTCATATTTTGATTATACAATTCTTCAATTAATAGTATTTATAAACTCACTATATCACGGTAAAGGTAAAGCCCCATTGGAATACACATTTACATTTGGTATACAATGATGGATTAGAATGTTATATATGATAACTTCAAACGGGCTTTTACACGACCGAGGAGAGATTTAAACACAATGAATTCAACGATACCAATTCAACACATAGATACAAAGATTTAAATTAATCTTCTATACAGAAATATATTGTTTCTGTTAAATATATTACATGTACTTACACATCTGGATTTCCATTTTTTAAGATTGTGAAGATTGAACTTAAAAAAAGTACACAAATAAAATGTATGTTTTTAAATGCAAAATATGGACACAGAAGAGTTGAGTCATCAGTAGCAAGCGAGTGAACAGGCATATTATTAACACTCCGTTGTTTAGAAATGCCAGAAAATAAGGCAGTTCATATCATGTGAAATTTAGCGAGAAATTTTGTTTAACATTGGTTCTTAATACCCACATAGCAAGATAGTAATCTCTCTAAGTGTGGAATACTGTATTTCTATACCAAGAAAGTCTGGGGCAAAGATATTTAGGGCAAGTTTAACATGTTTAAGATATAGACTACAGAGGATATAATTCTACTATTGGGCATCATGTTCATAGGCCCAGTTGGAGAATAATCAAAATATATATTATATTTTTCTGGTACATCCTGCCCAAAACCTTGTTACACCCATGAAATCTTATAATATGAAGTGCAAATCTCTTGACCTTTTTAGCTGATTCAACTCTTGTCCATGCTATAGCATTTATCAATAGCGAAACATTCTCACAATATCTGAATACATCTTCTATAGGGACAGTGGAAGTACTGGTGGTGCCAAGAAGAATCTCAACACGATCAAGTCTCTACGTGTACTCAGAGTTTTAAGACCCCTTAAGACAATCAAAAGAGTTCCAAAATTAAAGGTTTGTAGATTTTTTGTTATTTATTAACCAATATTCTTGTGTATATATTGTAAATTGAAAATTTGTGAAAATTTGACCTAGATTTTGACCTTTGACCTAGATTAAGATTTGATTTAATTTCTCAGCAAGTAGATCACGTACCCTAATTGGCAATATAATTACTAGATTTACTCAGAGACTTCCAGTTGCTGAGAAAATGTCTAGTAAAGAACATGAATACAATCAAAAGCAACTGACTCTTGATCTGGAGTCTAATAATATGTATACAACTAAATGCTAATTTAATAACATAATACACTGTAAATGATTTTATTTCCAGGCTGTGTTTGACTGTGTTGTGAACTCACTAAAGAACGTCCTCAACATCCTGGTAGTTTATAGTCTCTTCCAGTTTATCTTTGCCGTCATTGCTGTACAGTTGTTCAAAGGAAAGTTCTTCTATTGTACAGATGAGTCAAAGAGAACTGCCGCTGACTGCCAGTATGCTATATTATTTGCATTAGAATTAAAAAAAATTCTGAATATGTGCTAAATTGCTTTAATATTCTTAAATCATAAAATGTATTTTCACATGTAACTTTTGAGTATATAAAATATTGATCAATAATGTAAAGCATTAATAAAACCCTGAATTATCCATATATAAATAATACTGCACATTGTTTTACATAGATGTGTGTTTGCACTGTTATTTGCAGAGGAGAATACTTTGACTATTCTAACAGTGCCTCAGAGCCAGAAGTGAGACCACGAGAATGGAAGACACAGGATTTTAATTATGATAATGTGGGACTAGCTACTCTCACTTTATTTACTGTACAGACGGGCGAGGGTTGGCCTGCGTAAGTGAAAGCAGCACACTCTCCATGTTGTATTGTCATATTTATGTCCCATCATAGATGGTCTAACAGAGCTTAGTAAGGTACCAAAATCAAACATTTGAGGCACTGTATTCCTTTATACTTTTAGAACTTTAGAAGATTTGCGAGACTTTTAATCCACCAAAATTTTAAATGCCAAACTTATGTTACATTGAATGGTACTCTATTTAATTCTGTCAGACCCACCTGTGAATTACCCTACTGTATTCTGTCTAGTCCTCTGTGTAATGTCTAGACACTAATATTTATTGTCAAGATGGATGTTGCAACTGAGACTCATGTATGCATTATCCAGACACCATCTAATTTCCTAAATCCCAAATTATTCCTAACCCCCCTCTTTTACTATTCCATATCTAGTTTACCTGTTGTCAGTACTTGTAGTTAGTACTTGTAGTTAGTACTTGTTGTTAGTGCTTTTCTTAAGTACTTTTAACATTAATTCCAGAGGAGAGTATTTAATTCATGATGATGATACCAGTGAGGTTATAATTGAACAGCGGGAGTGGAAATTGCAGCAGCTTCACTATGACAACATATTAACTTCTCTCCTAACTCTGTTTGTTGTTCAGACTGGGGAGGGTTGGCCAGCGTAAGCTGTGTGTTGGATTTACCAATCATTATATGCATGTGTACCTCTTTTAAGAAGTGTGTTTAGGACTAGATCAACTTGTAGTCTTTATGAAACTTACAACTGTAACTTAGACTCTGATTCTCTGATGTGTGTCTTATATTAATGTTTAGATGTTTAGATCTTTGTTATTGGTGCTGTAGTTTTAAAGATATAAATGATGCCAAAAAACATTTTTTGTAGAAATTTACTTTTTATTTTGAACTAGACTTCAAATAGACTTGGGCTATTTTAAGTATTGAACACCAATTCAATACTGAATAGAATAGACAAAAAAACTTGTTTCTCTTTCTCAGATCCAATATTATCCAAAGCTGGATAAATAGTTCCTTAGTGTAGTTTAATAAAATATATTTACTCAGTTAACTTATGAGAGTATTTAAATAAATTTAGAAAGTGATTCCTTCATTGCATCAACAATCTACAGGGTGACACATATTAATTGTTGACCTCAATGTTCATTACAGGGTGCTCCAGAACAGTATGGCTGCCACTGAAGAGGATCAGGGGCCACAACCTGGGAACAGAATGGAGATGTCAATCTTCTATGTGGTCTTCTTCATTATCTTTCCATTCTTCTTTGTGAACATCTTCGTTGCTCTTATCATCATCACGTTCCAGCAACAAGGAGAGAACGAACTCGTTGATCAAGATCTCGATAAAAATCAGGTGGGAAAGAAATTGTTAATTTAATGTCAAATAGAAAATTAATTCCTGTTTTTGAATAATTTTAGTAGTGTTTTTAATTTTTGTATGAAGAGTTTTCTTAATGAAGACAAATTTTGATTAATGATTAATAAAATCAAAAAGTATGACATTTAAGGATCGATGTTTAACCATAGGCTTTTCTCTCTAATAATGATAATAGTGTTTAGAAAATGTTACTCTCTCTCTGTACTGTTTTGTGGGACACTCAACATTACAAGTTACATAATTAATGTGCATGTTTGAGTGACAATAAAGAGATTAGCTTTTAATCATTCATATTCCAGAAACAATGTATTGACTTCACTATAAATGCACGTCCCCTGTGCAGATATATGCCAAAAAACAAGGACTCTGTGAAATTCAGAATCTGGCGACTTGTGGTATCTGCACCATTTGAGTATTTTATCATGGTGATGATTGCGCTCAATACAATTATACTTATGATGAAGGTAAGGGGTCTTTATTTCTTTATCGATATATTTATGAAGGGATATAAGGATAATTCAATAATATATAATTTTATATATAATATCTGTCTTATGGGATGTAATAAATTAACATAATTGTACTTTTAATTATTACTAATGTTGTTTTATACTCATTTCATTATATTTGAATAACTTTTGAATTTTAATAAATAATGAAGTACATATTATTTTGACTTGTATGATTTCCTAAATTCCTATGTTTATAGAAATTGAATTTTTCAAATTAGACGTGTTTTCCTCACACATTTTCCACACAAGTTTCCCTTAATAACAAAATGAATTTTATCAGCCCATCGTCATGGTACTGCTATAAGTCTACATCCATTTTAATTCAGAGGTGCCTTATTTAAATTACTTTTATTACAATTTCAAGTTGAAGGTTATTACTAAGTGTCCTTATAAGGATATTCTGTGCAAATTTTGTTTGTTTACTTTACTAACAATTACTAATGATGGCGATGTCCCCAATTGATATTATACAAAGTAAAATAGAATATCATAATTTTATGTCACCACCACCATATTACATAGATTAAATAGAATATCATAATTTTATGTCACCACCACATATTACATAGATTAAATAGAATATTATAATTTTATATCACCACCACATGTCTCCAACTTTTTCTGGAGGGGGTCGGTATTTGGCATTGGGCATTTGGTGTCTGTATCAAATGATGGGTGGTGACATTTTGCATATAATTGCTTTGTCACCTTTTTGACACTCTGTATACATGTCTATTGGGGATACTTTTCCATCTCTTCAATCTCTTAAATAATTTCCCTGCTTTACATTTAAAGAAATACAAGTTTTCTACATTTTTACTTCTCTCAAACACATGAACACAAATTGCATGTATTGGGTAGTTGCTTTGTATCTTAGTGATCTAGATGGGTATATGTACTGGACATGGACTATTATTGATACAAATACAGTCACTTAATTGCAAGATTAAAGGGAATTGCCCTGTATCACTACAACCTGTACACAAAAAGTGAATTTATCATCAAATCAAACTCTTGAAATGAAATTGAACCAGTAGTTAGCAATGGCTTCTAGGACTGTCAATAGATGGCATGCTATTTAGTGTGTCTAATTGTATGCATTTTATACTGCCATCTATATCCTATTTCCTCACAGCATTCCATTTAATTGATGAAACCAGTGTACAGTGATCTACCCATTTAGAGCATCAGCATATCACACACATTAATACAATATATCAATGTTGCAGCTACATAACATAATGTCTGTTCTGTATCAGATACATACACTGTATTCACTTCAATATTTATTATTGTTACTATGGGGATTGTGAAGTTAACAATAGAAATATTTTAGAAATGCAATCCTGTTGTACATGTTCAAGGGTGGCTATATAGATAGACCTTATGATGTGTAGAAGCAATATACTAGAATGCACAGTTTGAGACAATATTGTATAGGATTAGAATAATACTGTAGATTGAATTCACTCTCATATCATTTTGCCTTCTCTTGATACATTGGCAAATGCTTCTTTGATACATAGGCCAATTTCAATTGATGTATAGGCTAATGTCTCCCGATAGGTTAATGTATCTTGATTCATAGGCTAGTAACTCTTGATACATAGACTACTGTCCTTTGATACATAAGCTAATTTCCCTTGATGCATAGGCTAATGTCCCTGGAGACATGTCAATGTATCCTGATTCATAGGCTGCTAACCCTTGATACATAGACTACTGTCCTTTAATACATGAGCTAATATCCCTCGATGCATAGGCTAATGTCCCTTGAGACATGTCAATATATGTTGATACATAGGCTAATGTCCCTGGAGACATGTCAATGTATCCTGATTCATAGGCTGCTAACCCTTGATACATAGACTACTGTCCTTTAATACATGAGCTAATATCCCTTGATGCATAGGCTAATGTCCCTTGAGACATGTCAATATATGTTGATACATAGGCTAATGTCCCTTGAGACATGTCAATCTATGTTGATACATTGGCTAATGTCCCTTGAGACATGTCAATATATGTTGATACATAGGCTAATGTCCCTTGAGACATGTCAATATATGTTGATACATAGGCTAATGTCCCTTGAGACATGTCAATCTATGTTGGTACATTGGCTAATGTCCCTTGAGACATGTCAATATATGTTGATACATAGGCTAATGTCCCTTGAGACATGTCAATGTATGTTGATACATGGGCTAATGTCCCTTGAGACATGTCAATCTATGTTGATACATTGGCTAATGTCCCTTGAGACATGTCAATGTATGTTGATACATAGGCTAATGTCCCTTGAGACATGTCAATATATGTTGATACATAGGCTAATGTCCCTTGAGACATGTCAGTATATGTTGATACATAGGCTAATGTCCCTTGAGACATGTCAATCTATGTTGATACATAGGCTAATGTTCCTTCATAATGTACATACATGTATGACCTGCACTCTGTATTTGTTGAATTTCACTATTAAATTTGGTTTAATTTTGTAGCACAGTGAAATGGGTATAAAAGAGCAGGATGCATACGATTACATAAACACTGTCTTTACGGCACTCTTTACCATCGAGGGTTGCCTCAAAATACTTGGTTACGGTTTTAAGGTCTTCATTTGATTCATTTATAACATTATATATATTTTTTAAGGCATTATCAGATATGAGATATGCTTTTGTTATTTATGTTAACATCACACCACCAGCTAATGGAATAGTGTTTTCACATTTACTGCATGATTGTGAAAATTACTCCTCCAATTTACTTCAAAATCATAGAGGTTTTAGAGGGTAATATACTTCTATGTGCTGATTGACTTGTTGGCATCAATTTTGGCTTCTATGGAACATTTTGGATTATTATATTTTTCGTTATTGCAGTTCTAGGAAACATATTGTTCAGTACTTAGAATTTGTACAGATGTGGCCATCATTCTAGCAGTTATTTTTCTATCAATCTTGCCATTTAATTTCAGGATAACTACTATTTGATTTACTTAAATTTGTACAGATAATAGATGTAACAAGTACCTGTATTTGTTACATTTTGGTGACCATTTTTGCTGGTTAACTTATGGGCAACCATTTGGGTGTACACAAATTGGTGCCCATAAATTTCATCGATTACTAACCTGAGCCTAACTTGGTGGTGTGATATCATAAACAATGTGGCTTTTTAATCAATTTCAAATCAGTTTGTTGTCAAATTTATAAATGTGGTTTGTAAACAAACATGATATTGTGGTGAAATTTTTTGTGAGGATGGCAAAAATTCCCTCCCAGATCGATGTCATAAATATAGATATATTATTGGCTCTTTGATGTCATATTTAATTCCCCTAAATGTGCAAGCTTGACATTATGTTAGTACTCTATTCTATTTTTATCATATCTAAATTTAATGTCTTTATTTTCATTTTGTACAAAAAATTATTTTGTCAATATTTTGCTTGTGGTTTCTAAGGTGGTGGTTTAAAGGGGTATGGTATGTTTTTCAATTTTGCAACCTTTTAACCAGGCTCCATCTAACCCACTAACAAGAATAGATGGACTATTCTATAGCTATCCTTGACTTTCATGTTTCATGTCCCAAAATATTATTGAGACAACTGCAAGTTTTCTATATTCTGTTGATTTGATTTTAAGTTTAATTTTGTTGTTCTTCTCTTTGTCATGGTAAATGAATAATCATTATTACAATACTTTTGTAATTATTCTACTACTATTTTGATAATCTGAGCTAATATTGCATCATCTGAGTATATCCCTAGTTGTATAATAATGGAATAAAAACCTTTAAATCTTGCTTTAACCTCAATATATATACCTCCATTTATAACCTCAATAAATTGGTTAATTTGGCAATAGGTATTCTCCAGTAAAGTTGCATTTAGGCAAGCTCAAGTTTATTAGTTAAAATGGCATCTAGTTTATTCTCCTGAAAATCAGGTAACTTTGGCATCGAGACTAATCTGGCAACTAGGCATTCTCCCTTAAATTGATTTACCATTATACTGAGGCATTAGGAACGTGACATCATTTTATTGACTTGATACGATCTGAATAATGTTTCCAACCTGATATTTTGGTAAATGAATAATGAAACTTGTTTTTAACATTTATTTTTTGATTTGCATGCATTTATTTTATTTCGTCTTTGATGTTATCTTTCTTTATTAAAGGAAAACTAATTATCCCATCGAACGAAGTTCGGAGGGATATAGGGAACGCCTCCGTCCGTCCGTCCGTCTGTCCGTCCGTCCGTACGTACGTCCGTACGTACGTCCGTCCGTCCGTCCGTCCGTCTGTCCGTCCGGGCAATAACTCAAATACCGTTGGCCCGATTTTGTTCATATTTTGTACACATATACCCTATGGGGGTAGAAGTTCTGCTCGAAAGCCGATTTTCAAAATGGCCACTCATTTCAAAATGGCGGCCATTTTAGTGCCGATTTTACAGTAATTTAGGTGTAATATGTAAAACTGTAATAGCAATATGTTTTAAATGTAAAAAAATTATAAAGGACATTAATAATGCTACAAATATAGATATTAAAGAAGCACATGGCAGCCATCTTGAAAAATGGCGGCCTTTACTCGTCATTTTACGATTTTTGCTATAACTCAAAAAATAATGGAGCGATTTTGTTAATATTTGGTATGTGAATACTATAAGCATTGCACACTGTCTAAAGACACTTTTGGTAGAAGGCGGCCATTTTGAAAATTTTTTTGAAAAATGGCCGCCATTTTAATGTATTTTACTATAACTCGAAAAGTAGTGGAGTGATTTTGTTCATATTTGGTATGTGAATACTATAAGCATGGCACACTGTCCTATGACACTTTTGGTAGAAGGTGGCCATTTTGAAAAAAAGTTTGAAAAATGGCCGCCATTTTAATGTATTTTACTATAACTCGAAAAGTAGTGGAGTGATTTTGTTCATATTTGGTATGTGAATACTATAAGCATGGCACACTGTCTATTTCTAATGACACTTTTGGTAGACAGTGGCCATTTTGAAAAATGGCCGCCATTTTAACGTATTTTACTATAACTCGTAAAGTAGTGGAGCGATTTTGTTCATATTTGATATGTGAATACTTTAAGCATGGCACATTGTCTAATAAAACTTTGGGGAGTAGTCGGCCATTTTGAAAATGGCCACCATTTTTATGTGTGTTATTTTACAAGTACGTGTGCGATTTTTCAAAAATTTTACAGGTGGCTACTTAAAAGCATATTATTTCTTCTGATGACAACTTGGCTAGTGAGCAACCATTTTGAAAATGGTGGCCTTTCTGGTATGTTGTTTTATGATATTTGCTATTCGTTTGTAAAAATGCCAGCCATTTCTGTTCGATGGGATTCGCTACGCTTTGGCGTTGCCGTTGTTCTGGTTAATTACTATTTGCTTGGCATCAAGGGACATTTTGGACACCCTGTAATGTTTGCCCCATACTCCCTTACATTCATGCTGTTCATACTGGGTGATAGGTCTTCTCTATATTATGTCTATTTAAATGGAATCATTGCATATCCCTTTTTATTCAGGAACAATGGAGGCATTCCTAAATATCTCACGGAGCTGACCTATTTACTCTTGCATGAATATAAGAAATGAATAAGTGCTTACAAAATGTCATGGATATCTCCTCTTCATTTCTAGTAGGCTTTGCACTGTCTCAGAGAATCAGTCCTATATTTAGGGGTGCAGCAGATACATGGAGCAAGCCATAATAGGGTTTCAAATGAAAATAATTGTATGTGCTCATTATGTCACCATCAGAAGTGGTGACATATTGTTATAGTCTCGAACTATGTTGTGGACAGTGTTCGGTAGTCGGTGTCTGTAACTTATGGCAGGTGGTAACATTTTGCATGTTGATGCCTTGTGTTATCCATACATTTAGGACTGATATTTAACTTTCTTAGAATTGCAGCTGCTAGCTTTGCCCCCTATTAACAGCTTCTAGATCTAGAGACTAATTGCTCATTTTTGTTGACAGCACTATGGCGAACCTCAATACATGGAACAGATCATGCACTTTCTGAACATCACATTCACTGTGCTGTTCACCATAGAATGTATACTCAAGCTGCTAGGCTTTGGCATAGGGGTAAGGTCAAAGGTCAAGGCCACAGCCAGCCAGCATAGTTGTGTTGGGTGTAGATGGTTGCTTAGAAACTAGAGGGGCATTATGGGTAGAGCAACCATCTTGAATTGCTTGAGCTTGTATATTATGTAATTAGAGTAGTGTGGGACACATATATGAAACAACACACACATTTACTAACATCAGCGAATATAAATTATGTAAGCTAATCATTACTATTTACCTGACTTTCCAGTTTAAATTCATAATACATCAAGATGTAGCGCTTAAAACAAAAGACCAAAATAAATCATATAAATGTGCATGATTTCATTAATTCAATCCCTTGCAGATATCAAATTAGGTGTTCATAATAAAATAATTCTTGAACTTGATTTTTGATGAGACATGAAATATAATCTTTAATTCAAAATTCAGAATATAATTGAAACACCCCCTGCCATTGCATTTATGTCCCTGATTGAGTCCGTTAAATGATTCTATGATAAATCAGTACCAGTTATGTTAAATATCCCTTGTGTGTTATCCTAATGAGGTTATGTTGCATTGTGGGCTTGCTCAGCCCTCTGTGTTAATCCTAGTTTTATTTGTGGATGTGTCCTTACAATGCAGTCATGTTTTCTCATCCTATAAGCTGTAGGATACAGCTGTGGTCCAACTCGACAGCTGTACCTTTCAGATTTTCCAAAGTCCTCAATGAGGAACTATTAAAATATGTATTAAAGTGGATTATGAAAACGAATTTTGTATCAAAATAAATGATCATTCACACTTGCCCTAAAAACGTATCCACATTTTTTAATCAAAGATCACTACATTTGTATATTTGAACTGATTTCCGTCTAATCTGCAGCCTATAAAGTACCATTCCATTTATCATCTACAGGGTGTCTCCAAAGTATTGTCTCTCAAGACGTATGTGACACCCTGTGTGGATGAAGGATATTCCCAAGGAGAGAAACATGACAGTTGTTTGGAATGCAAGCCTCTAGCATAATTGTTTATTTTTCCACCAGCATGAGAACCAAAATCAATCCTACGAAAACGTGCTCCACTACCTGAATACCACTTTCACTCTCCTGTTCACTATTGAGAGTCTGCTTAAGATTCTCGGCTTTGGATTGAGGGTAAGATCTGTTACCATGGCAACAATGTGGTCTCCATGACTTCCATCGGTTGTTGCTATGGTAACATATTGATGTTATGGTCACCCTTGGTAGCAGTGTCGACTAGTGGAATAGCATTACTTAGTAGTAGAAGGAAATAGTCAGAGATATAGGGAGACCTTAAAGTATCTTAGATAATCGTCTGTAGTTATGGGTTTGCAAAACATCTTTGGTTGTTATGGTGACTTGGAATCCATATTTAAGAAATGAAATGATATTAAGATTTTATAACATTTAATTAAATAATTATTGATCATTTTCGATTATTTTTATTCTCATTTTGATTCTTTTAAAAGTTACCATGACTACTAATATGTCGTTGCTGTGGTTATATAAGGGGGGGATAATACAGAGATTTTTGCTAATTATAAATCAGGACATATGTATAGACTAAAGTAATTCACATAAACATGCCCAACTAGTGGTGCTATGCCTTCCTATGATTGCTGCAATGTAATTGCATTAAAGCTTCATCCAAAAATGCTTCAGTTGCTTAGCTTCTAGCAGCATATGATCTTGTATGCCTCCACTTGTTATTCCACTTATTCGTCTTATTGTGAATCTATCAGTATTGTATGTGTTTAATGTAACTGTCTTCCCATATAGAGCATGCATAAAACTCTGAATTTAAAATTTATATTGTTTTAATTAAGATCAATTGATATCTCTTTGATGTATAAAGAAATCTCTCATCATTAAAATCTATATGTTCAATAATAAACTTTGATTCTATAATTGCTGACCGAATTTTGTTATTATAATATATATATATGTATGTGTTCAACAGCTACTGTACCATAATTCTAATGGTTCACATCCTTATGAGGTGACCAAATTTAAACTTGTGTGGGATGGGATACAGGTCAAGGTCGCATTGAGGTCACACTGTATATGATACCAAGAATATTTTGTTGTCATGATTCTGCTATATTATGCTGTTACACGGTGGGGACTTTGTCACTGTTATGGGAAATATGTCACACTATGGGGACTTATTATTATCCGTTTGTAATTCAAATGCATATTCTCAAATGCATATTCCATTTGTTTTCTTCTCCTTGAAGAAAAACTATGGCAATAAATTTATGTTTAACATGATAAAGTTAAATGAAGTGAATTTACAAATATATTCCTATGATGGAAAAAGAAAATAGAATTAGAAAACAACTATAACAAATAAAGCTACAACACCCTTAAGTGATATAGAAATTTGTGAAGACATGAATAGTATAATTGTTTTGAAGTTTCATTCAACCCAAATGTACCAATAGTGTCACACCACGAAAATTCAAAACTTGGAAAAGAATGACTAGTAGGTATCTAAATTGAAATTCAAAGATAAGCTCTAAAGAGGTAATGAAATATAAAGATGAGTTGAGGTAACTTTTTGAAAATTCTCATTGTTTACGCTGTTTCTGATCATAAAAAGTCCAGAAATTAAAACTAAAATTACATCTTGGACACTTTTAAGGTCAAATAATAATAATTCTGAATAAACTTCCCCTTTTACACTCTTTATCCTTTACTGCTTTTCTTTCTCAAGATTCAATTAACACTAAGATCAAGCCACATTCATGCCTCACCATTTCGCTTTATATTCCCACAGGGTTGGTTTGAGGGTGGAATTAAGGGTAGATTTTACCTCAGAGAACTATTGCTGGGTTATTTGATATAAAATGCTTTACCCAATTTTTTAAAATATGGGACCATCACCACCTTAATCACATACTATCTGGCTGCTGTTGTGAATCATTTCTAAATATTCAAGTATTTTATTGTATCGTTTGTAAATCAAAAGCAAGTATGTATACTGTATATTGTTCGAAAATGTTTTAATGTGAGGTCCTTCTCAATTTGTCAGCAAACCAAAGTGCCAAGATCTGATTAGTTTTGGGCATGCTGGGTAAATTACATGGTGGTCATTTTGAGTTTTTCCATAAAAAGTGTGATATGTTTCTTGTATGTTTTTATCTCATTAAGGTTACAAATATCTACAAAAAATCTGCCATTGTGTAGAAGTATTTTATTTGTTACAGTATATGTCTTTAATACCTCAATTTTATTTCAATGAGCTTTTAAAGATTAACAGATAAGAAGGCCATGTTTACTTTGTTAAAATAATTTTATGTCACTCATTTACTCAATTGAAGAGTACCATACAAGTTTTTGACAATCACAATCGTTCTTAAGTATTTGATTATTGCTAGCCTTAATGGTGAGACAAAAATATACCCATATATGGAAAGAGCTGACTTAATTTCAAAATTAAAAATTATTTCAGATTATCCTTAAAAAGCATAGTTGATACATTTTTAATCGACTGGGAAGAAAGATGTGTATTCATTCAAATTTTGGACTCCAATTGCACTGAAAAACCCAGGTGTTTGCCAAGTTGTGACGGACCTAGCATTGATTTTATGAATAAAGAACTATGTACATGTTGTACTTCATTTACATGTTATAATACAACTATGTACAGCTATGAACATAGTATATGCTTCTCTAACTTAGTACTGATGTAAGTAAAAAGTTGTTTTAAGAATAAAATTTCATTTTTTGCAATTCAATCTCAAGCTATCTCTAAAAGAAATCATGAATTCTGTGCCCTGGGATTCACAGCTAAAACACGATTTGAATATCTAAGTTAAAAGTTTGTTCATTACATAATGTACAATTATTAATTTAAATAACCTGTGATTTACATGTACATGTACTGCATCACTTACTAATGTTAAAGGAAATCTCTTATTTACATGATGTAAAAATCATAAAATTTAATTTCAGAATTATTTCCGAGATAAATGGAACGTGTTTGATTTCATCACAGTCATAGGGAGCATAACTGATGTACTTGTCACACAATTTGGGGTAAGTTTGATTGTTAGAACAGTCTTTTATATCTGAGTTGTCTTATTTGTTTCATTATGTGGCTCTTACAGCGTTTAGAGATCGCTTTTAAAGATCCAGTTGTAGTAAATGAATGTTTAAAAAAGAAATATTTATATGTACATTGCATACTGTCAAGTTCAATGTTTAATACCAAAATAGCCACATTTTAATGAAATGACAACTGAGCGTATATGTAATGACATTTTAGAATTTACAATTGTAACTTTAATACTTTGTTTTACATAAATATTAAAAAAAAACTTGAATAGATGGTATGGACAATTTAATGTAGATGTTGAACATATTCTTATAACTAGAATTTGAATTATTGTTACATGCTATTATTTATTTGAAATGCAAAATGTTTATTTGTTTTGAAGCATAGTTGAATTGAATTGCTTCTGTAAAGTTGGAAAAGTTATAATGTACAATGTACATGTAGATGAGCTTATTAACATGCACATATTCATGTCATAGTCACATGCTAGTTTTAATCTTTAATGTGATATTTGTATTGAATACCACATTTACATCAAGTCACAGTTTCAGCTCTTCGCCACATTTACTAATTTGACACAGCGCTAGTTTTCACATTGACATGAAACACTTATATTTATCATAACTGATATTTTATCATTCTCAGGTTCTTATGTAGTTGCCATAGTTATGTTGTTGCTATAGCGATTGTAAATATTTTCTTCCATTGCACATTGGATTTGCCACTCAAACAGGATGTGAGAGGCTTTTTAGTTCTTTTCACAAGCGTGTGGTTTTTCACCATTGTGTGCTTTTTTCCATGATTCTGTGAATTTTGCACCTTTTGTGATTCGGTGTCAAGCTCTATGTTCATTGCCAATTTTCCATTTTCCTGTTTAATTAAGTCACAAACACACTGTCTAATTTGAACAACATGCAATTACCATTCCAACAATCACCTTCAGACACCACAAAATGATAAAAATAACATCTATATTTGGGCACTCAATGCTTATCATTAGGAATTATATATAAAATAAACATTCACTCCAACATCATTTTTTAGAACATACAATTCATTTGACTGGTTTATATACAATACATACCATTTATTTTTTTGTTATTTTTATAAATATCTCAATTGTTTATTTTTCTCATATATGTTTCATTTGTAACTTTAATAATATACAATATACAGTTCATTTGTAATTCATATAAAGTACACATCATTTATTTTGTTTTGAATGAAGCTTACAGCCATTCATCAAACAACATTCAACTTTCCACAAACAACATATATCTTTTACCAAACAGCATATAACACTCACCAAACAAAATATAACACTCTCCAAACGATATTTTCTTATTCACCAACACAACAAACATGCACAACAAACAATATTCACCAAACAACATTTAACCTTCACTTAACATCACAATATGCATGCTTTATCTACATGTACAATGAAATTTTTCCTCCTATCAATCATCTCAAAGATCTTACTTGTATTGGTACATTACCCCCCCCCCCCCCTTGCAGTGCAGTGTAAATGGTATTATGCTTAGTTCTGCTGTTGTTTGACCCTGATTTAACGTTGTCTGGCTATAGTCATAACTAATCTGCATGCATTTAAAATGAATTCAAATATAGCGCATCTTAGATAAAAAGGCAAGTGTTCCAGTGAAGTTCCATTGCATAATCCACGTATCAATGATTTTAGCTAATGGTCACGTAATATTTTGCTCTCTCACAACATAATTAAACACAAATAGTTAGATTTTTAATACACTCATAGACTAGAGTTGAAGTTAAAGGCCCTGCTTCACAGAGATACAATAGGGTCAGATTTTCACAAAATGCATGAGTTTTTTGGTTTCGATTGCCATGGTAACAAGCTGTTTCTATAGCAACATGGTGTGTTTGCAGCCTCAGGGCAGAGTGTCTTACAGTGTAGATCCTGAATCTATAGAAACTTTGCTAAGCAGTCGCAACAATCAAACACAGAGTTTAACAAGCCGTTTAAATAAGCATATTAAACAGGTGATATTAAGCATTTCAAACGTGACCATTTCATCAATGGACAAGGAGCGATGAAAATCATTTAAGATATATCGATATGACCAGTTGATGTTTAATTGTAAGATCTGTATGTCTCTGTATGTAATGCTATATTATATTAGCTTCATGAAATGGTCATCAGATGTGGCATGCTACCATATAGCCAATAGGAGTTACTATATAGAACTGCTATAGTGCATAGTGCATGTAAGCAAATATGTCATGATAATACATATAGTGATGCCATATTGAATTCTTGCATATTTATCCCATCGAACAAAGTTCCCAGGGATATGTACTGTACAATGCCATGGTCTCTTCGTCCGTGTACATCCAAACTCAAGTACAGATCATTCAATTTTGTATATAAGCATGATGCCTTATGCGTATAAAAATTCTCATTGAAAGTCACTCTGCTTTAAAATAAGCTGTCATTTTAGCATTAGTAATTTTTAATGTTGCATTGTTTTAACTGTAAAATATCATATTATCCTTGCCATCAAATAAATTAAAAATTTATCAAAACTTCAATTTTTTATGTTTTACAAGGAAATACAATTGTGACATATTATTTCCTGAAAATTTCCTCAATAAGCCATCCATTTTTAAAGAGGCTGTCAATTCCAAGTTTATGATCTATTCATGAGATGTTGGATATGATGGGATTTGCTGTGTCCCTGTGTTCTTGATGTATAGTTAAGTCTTCATGATATTTACATACATGTACAATTGTATATGTAATTTTTAGTATTTTTCAAATGATAATCTGTTCCTATTGTTACCAGAAATATCTCTTGGTTATGGGCACCACAAGAATCAATTTTACAGTGCCCACTTAACTACCATTTCTTTTTAATGGTATTCGATGAATTTGTGAATGTACAGTAAAACCTGTGCAGACTGAAATGTTTTGCCAAGAAAAAAGGTAGCTGTTCAATTCACTTCAGAGAGGGTAATTTATACAGAAGTCAGCCGAGTATGTGCAGAGTTAGGGTGTCCACTAGAGAACGTTTTTTACTAATTCATGTTTTACTGTAATTCTAATCTACAGGGTGGTGCAGAATAATTGACCCCACATAAAAGTTATACACCTAAGTTATATACTAATGTCCTGTCATGTATATCACTATTTTTATTTCCATTCGTTATTAATCTTGAAAATACTGTAACCCTACATCTATTAGTCATTCCTTGTTAAAATCAGATGTATTTACTGGCAGTATTCAACCCTCTTTGGTACCCATATTTAGGATTTATCCCAGGGCAAACAGTATGAATAATATATGAATAATGAATACTAACAAACAATGAGAACCAATTATCAAGGATTGTGTTGATGTTTTATGATCAGGGGATCAATGAAAGAAACCTTTCTTAACTAAATTTAGAGTAGAATATATGTTTAATAAAATTGAAAAAAGAGAGCTGTTTGGATAAATTCAGCCAAAATATCTGCTTTGGAGCGCAGGTCTCAGAGCTAACAAAGCAGGCCAAATCCAATATTAATGCAACTTGAATAACGCAGATGCGAGTAGGTAATTACCAGATTCACCACCAGGTGGCTCGTTCGGGTCAGATAGCATGGCGGGTATAGGAGAAAGTTCCCTTAAACTTAAATCACATCTGTTTTAATGATTCAATTTTCATATAACCCTTATGTATCTAATAGTTATGCAAACTGAAATATGTCCAGTAAAAGAAAATATTATCTATCCAATACAAGAAAAGATATTTCACTTTTGTGATTTTGTATCATGGGGTCTATGGGGAATCAACCCGAACAAGAAGTCACATTTTCAAAAAAAATTAAATTTTCAAAGTTGATAAACAATTTTCGAAACCATATTTTTAGATGTACTTTTACATGCAGATTTCAAATATGACATCACTTTGACTGAATTTTGAATTTTTAATGACGTAAATCAAGATTATTTCTACTCGCATCTGGGTTATTTCACAAGGAAGACCTGAAGCAAGAGAAAATAAAAAATTTCAGGATAACTGTTAAAGTTAAAATACGATAATAGTGATATTTGACATCACATGACTGTACAACAGGGTGTATTCCTTTCATTATATATTAGGGTCAATGTATAACAGAACTTTGACAGAACAATACTAGTTTATTTTATATTACAGATATTTTAATGCTGCAATGTATTTGTTAATAAACAACATTATCCACTTTTTTTTTTCTTTTTGGTAGCTTTGGAATCTTTCAGGATATCAATTAAACAAGATGTTAATTTCTGAATCTATTGGCTTTAGTTATCATATTCCTATTACAACATGCAGAATTCAATATGGTCCATTTAAAAAAATACCAATAACTTGTCATAGTTATCCTTATAAATATGCTAATCTCTCTTTTCACGCAACCCTAAATTATTTCATTCCTTGTGATTAGACTGTGAGTTAGAGTAGAACAGATTAGCTTTCACAAGCACTGTGTAGTTATGCCATGAAACACTATATCAACAAACTTACTTTAAAAATTCAACAAATTTAGTTTTAAAATTTCAGAGTATAGTATTTTCGTATAGTATAATGCACCCAATTTTACATTGCAAAGGTGTAGGTATGTGATACCACAACTTTGTCCAAGTGACGCTAACATGTACATAAATGAGACACTTACATGTATATTTATGAGACACTGACATGTACAAATTTGACACACTTATATGTACATATATGAGACACTAACATGTACAAATATGAGACACTAATATGTATAGACACTTATGATGTATTCAAAAGTGCACAAGACACTTACATGTACATATACGAGACAGTTACCTGTGAATTGTAAGACACTAACAAAAACATTTATGATATAATACAAGTACATGTATGAGACACTTACATATATATATATTTTAGAAAATGTATGAGAGACATGCATGTAATATGAAGCACTATCATATATATTTATGATACACATATATTGACACATTTGAGACACTTACATGTACATGTATGAGACGCTTACATGTAAAATTAGACATTTACATGTACATATATGGACCCTTATGTGTAACTTTATGAGACATTTATTTTGTACATATACATATGTATGTGGACTCTTACATGTAATATATGAGATACAAGTACATATATGAGACACTTAGATTTAAATTTATGAGACACGTACATGTACATAAATTAGACACTACATGTAAATTTATAAGACACTTACATGTTCATATATGAGACATTTACATATATGATGCACTTATACAGGGTGTTCAAAAAAAAACGCAACCCAAAGAAATCGCGATATCTTGGAAAATACTGATCCAATTATGTTCATATTTTCAGGAAAGAAAGAAAAGACTGTGTGTGTATTGCCCCTGTTGTTATTTAGTTGTAAAACATGATGTCTTGGACATTTGCTCAAAAGACAGTTGTACTAACAAAATACGAAAAATGCGAATGGAAAATAACTATATCTTGGAAAATACTGATTCAATTATGTTTATTTTTTCAGGAAAAGAAAGAAGAGACTGTGTATGTATAGCTCCTGTTGTCAGTAAGTTGTAAAACATGATGCCTTGGACACCTGCTCAAATGACAGTTGTACTAGGAAAATATGAAAACGCAGTCAGATGTGACTGCCACAGCAATAAAACCAAATAACTTTCTAACCATGGTGTTTTGGCACTTCAGATTTGGCACAAATTTTATCATACAGTGAATGAAGATGGTTTGTGCCAAATTTGAAGATCCAAAACACTATGGTTAGGAAGTTATTTAATTTTTTTGCGGTTGCAGTCACCCCTGACTGCATTTTTCGCATTTTGCTAGTACAACTGTCTTTTGGGCAGGTGTCCAAGGCATCATGTTTTACAACTAACCATTGACAGGAGCTATACATACACAGTCTCTTCTTTATTTCCTGAAAATATGAACATAATTGAATCAGTATTTTTCAAGATATAGCAATTTCTTTGGGTTGCGTTTTTTTTTAACACCCTGTATATAAAATTATGAGAAGCTTATGAATACATATCTGAGACACTTACACGGACATTTATGATACATTTACACGTAAATTGATGAGATACTTACATGTACATATATGATACACTTACATTTACATTTTTGAGACACGTACACATACAAATATGATGCACTTATATGTACATATATGATACACTTACATTTATATTTATGAGACACTTACATTTATATTCATGAGACACTTACAAAGATGTGAATGAGACGCTTACAAAACATTTACAAGTTCATGGATGAGACACTTACAAGTGCATGTGAGACAGATGCATGTACATATCGGAGATACACCCAACGTGTAAACACATATAGTTTAATCACGTAGTATTTCAATTAGCCATCTACATATATGAGTTAATCCCAGATATATTAACAAAGTGTGATTTTATTTCAACAGTTAGGTTTTACGTACATTAATTGCCAAAGTTTCAAGAATGAATCGTTTCTGAAAAATAGAAAGTAAAATGTTGAGAATTGTGTATACTTGATACTTGTTAATAGCACGGATGATTGTTGAAAAAATGAATGTACAAGTTTTTGGAAAATGATTAAACAGAATGTTGCCAATTAAAATAACAAATGATTCAAATTAATTTAAACTTAATTCGAAATATCACTGCCTTTTATCCAAATTTTATTTTATTTTGCATGTGTGTTCTTAAATCAATGGATTTTGGGGTTTCTTTTTTATTTATATTTATATTTTTACCTTACTTATATAAAACATGGAAATTACTTTGTATGTAATGTGTAAATATTTGTAAGTAAGATTTATTTAAACATTAAGACATATTAGTTCATTAAAGAGATAATGTTACTTTTTGTTTACCAAGAATATTTCATAATATTAAATCTTAAAGCAAAGGTTGTGTCAGTAGAATGTTAGTATATTAGTATATGTATTTTCTTGTAGTTTTATATGTTCTATCATTAGTATTCAAACTTATTATTGTATGTGCTTTATGATTTACCATTTTTTCTGACAGTATTATTTAACAGGGTCTACTGTCATTTATACCTGTCATATACATGTACCACCTTGTTCAGTTATCTCAAAAACTCCAAAGAAAAGTTTTTGGCTGATTGTGATGGCACCACAATTTGTTAGTGCTAGTAATCAGCGATTCTGATTGAGATTGAAAGGGTCATGGCTTGAGTGTATTCCGCCATGTTGTATTGTAGCTGGGATGTGCATGATGTCTGCTGCTGGTTGTTTTAGCTTATTAACATGCTCGTATCTCTTCACAGAACAACTTTATCAACCTTGGTTTCCTGCGTTTGTTCCGTGCCGCCCGACTGATCAAGCTTCTGCGCCAAGGCTACACAATTAGAATCCTCCTATGGACTTTTATACAAAGTTTTAAGGTAAGATGTTGAACTAACCAGCCTCTAATTCCTTTCTTTCTTACCCAGAGTATGTATAAAACGTTCACATTTGGTCCGTTGCGCTTGTTCCGGGCCGCAAGACTGGTGAAGCTGTTACGGAAAGGGTACACGATTCGTATACTAGTATGGACATTTATACAGTCTTTCAAGGTACAATGTACATATCAAGAATGGAATGCTGTGACTGTGCTGAGCTTTTTAGCCCCCTCTGTATGTGGAATGATGTACTAGCTTCATGTACTATTATAAATATGCTGAGAGAGCCTACATATATACTGATATATAAAGATTCCTATCCTATACCATCCCTTTCTTCGTGAAGCTATACTCAAATATTGCCCACTCAATACATGACAGTGTTTGATTATCAGGAAATAGAGCATGAATGTAACAGCCATAAAGAGGAATTACCATATTAAGCTGAGCTTGAAGCAGGTGCCTGCATCAGTTTTAATGCATATATTTAGTCAATTAGATGCGTAGTGCATTGGCCAAGAGAAGATATCAATAATATCCCAAGGGACATATCCTATATCTATCCAGAATAACCAGTTTATAATATGATTGTTTTCAAATAAATAAAGGTTAGAGGTTACTTACTGGGAGGGATTCAGCATGGGTTTTGTTCCTTGTGACAATATCATATTAAGTCATGAGGAATAAACCCATATTTAGTCCAGACCAGTACATAAGCTTTTGATTCCATGATGTTCATGACTCTTCATAAAATCATTAGTTCAAAATCCATATCTGATTTTTGTATGAAACAAAACCAGAGTATATATTTAGCCTACAAATTATGACTTAACTTTACAACATTTTGAAATATAAAAATTTTATTGTAAAACATAAACACATCAACAGCAAAAAATTAACAATACGTATACATGTCCATCACAAGGCATTAGCATATTGCTCAGATTTCTATGATGTTGACTGTCCGTGTCAGAGCATGATGATGAAATTACAATTCGTCTAAATACTTACAATCTTCATACTTCTGACGTTTCAAAATCTCTATTTTCAATTTTGTTTGGAAAATCTCGCATAAGAACATCAGTATAGCACACTTAATTGACCCGAGTGAACGTAATTGAAAGCTTGTGGAAAGCTAGAAATGTGAATACCATTTTCGTGAATGGGATTGGGAGGTGAATACGATTTTCGTGAGCGGGATTGGGCAGGACAATACGATTTTTTCAATATCATTGGATAAAGATTCATATTGGGCAGATAAATACATTTGAAGCTTATACTAAGTGCCAACTAAAACATAATTTAATAGATCAGATAAGACGAATTAGATAAGCCTAGCCTGGAAGGTTGTCATCAAGACATTTCATAAAAATTCAGTTCAAAGGCAATTGAAATTCAGAAGTTCAAATTCTTATTTTGTATTTGTATTCCGGCAAGATATTTTTATTTTGAATAATAGTGAGACATATTAGTACCCGTTGTATTGATTAAACTAAATACTGAAATATTTTAGTTACCATTATTTGATGATGTATCCTAATATGTTGGCCTACATATGATAATAAGCAGAGGCCTGGAAAGACATGAAAACCATATAAAAACTAACCTCTGTCTCTCTTTCCAAATGTGCGAGTGGTATCATGGGCAATATTTGTTTCATAGTCTAATGTCTGTATTCATCATTTAGATATTTTCATTGTAGGTCGCTCCCTCAATTTATTTTATATCTGCTACAAGTTGAAAATCTTAAAATGTACATGTATCAGTCTGTTCCCACACTGGCAGCTTTTGTTGACATCACTACAATGTTTGTTTACATAAGTTTAGCTCAAATGAGTGAGCTATTGTAATTACCCACTTGTCTGTCCATTCGTCAATCCTGAGGCCCAGGAATACGTTAAAAATGTTTAAAAATTCCCTTGTGTACTGAGTTGGTAATGCATGGTGTATACATGTATATTTACTATATTACTTACATTGAATAAGAATAAGACTGATTTTTTATTAATGACTGTATACCCGGGCCTCAGCGTCAATCTGTCTGTCCATTTGACTGTCAACGCATTGGTGGCACAATTGTAATCCTTCACAACAATCCAAATGGTTTCATTTTTAGATATTAAAGTCTTCATTTGACCAATAGGTGGCATCTCAAAAGCTTGCCTCATTTCAAAATAATGTAATTAGGAGGCCCTCCTGAAAGGGCCTCATAGCTTTTGTAGCTTTTCTTTATTCTTCTATCAAAGCATTTTTCTCCTACTTCCAACTAGCTTTCAACTACCTACTATATGATCTTACTAGGGACCTTGGCTGAAATTGGGGGGAAAATATTTTTTATCTAGGTCAAGGTCAAAGGTCAAAATCTAGGTCAAATCTAAGTTTTTTTTAAGTTTCTCAAGTTTGTCATTATACTTCATTATTTCTTGCGATGAATTAAACTGAAACTACATTTAAGTATTCTCTACAAATTGTTCACTATATGTCAGCATTAAATTTTTACCGTTTTTGAGATATTTGACGTCAAAAAACGGTCAAAAGAGGTCATTTTTCAACTTGCTTCAATCTGACCTAATTTTTTTTAAAAATCATGTACAAGTTCCCAGGAGTCCAAATCTGACTTCAGATTTGACCTTTGACCTTTAGTTGACCTTCAGTGACCTTCGAAAGGTCAGAAAAGTTGATTTTTGAAAGTGAATCTTTGGATTCAAATTTAGGTCAATCTAATTACAAAAGGCCTACTGAGGTCTAAAAAAGTAAAAATTTCAAGGTCAAAGGTCAAGGTCATCAAATTAGGTCACAAACTGTGCTATCTAAGTTTCTCATAGTATAAGACTACAAATCAATATTTCTAATTGAAAGTCAAGATATACATTCTTCTAAGGGTTCTTCACATATTAGTCATTGACTATTTATTAAAATTTTGTCCCAGTTTTGAGATATAAGAGCTCAAAAACTGAAAAAGGTCAATTTTTCAAAGTTTATAAGGTCAAATTTTTTATTTCCTTCAAATTCACCCAACTGTTTTTTAAAAATCATCTACAACTTCTCAGGAGTTCATATTTAGCCTCAGATTTGACATTTGACCCTTAGTTGACCTTCAATGACCTTCGAAAGGTCAGAAAAGTTGATTTTCAAATTGAGTTTGGATTCCAATTCAGGGTTAGCCTAAACATAAAATACCTACTGAGCTCTAGAATAGTAATATTTTCAAGGTCAAGGGTCATGGTTATCAAATTAGGTCAATGGTCAAATCTAGGTCAAATCTAAATTTTTTTTCAAGTTTCTCAATTTTGTCCTTATGCTTTATTATTTCTTGCGATGAATTAAACCGAAACTACATTTTAGTATTCTCTACAAATTATTCACTATATGTCAGTATTAAATTTTTACCGTTTTTGAGATATTTGATGTAAAAAAAACGGTCAAAAAAGGTCATTTTTCAACTTGCTTCAATCTGGCCAATTTTAAAAATCATCTACAAGTTTCTGGGAGTCCAAATCTTACCTCAGATTTGACCGTTGACCTTTAGTTGACCTTCAATGACCTTCGAAAGGTAAGAAAAGTTGTTTTTTCAAATTGAGTCTTTGGATTCAAATTTAGGTCAGCCTAATTACAAAAGACCTACTGAGGTCTAAAAAAGTAAAACTTTTCAAGGTCAAAGGTCAAGATCATGAAATTAGGTCACAAACTGCGCCATCTAAGTTTCGCAAAGTTCGAGACTACAAACCAATATCTTTAATCCGAAGTTGAAATATACACATTCCCCTAAGGGTTCTACACATATTAGTAATTGACTATCTAATAGAATTTTGTCCCAGTTTGAGATATAAGAGTTCAAAAGTTGAAAAAAGGTCAATTTCGAAATTTTTCAAGGTCAAATTTAAACTCGCTTCAAATTGACAAAATCTTTTTTGGAAAATCATCTACAAGTTCTCAGGAGTTCACATCTGACCTCAGATTTGATATTTGTCCTTTAGTTGACCTTCAATTTGTCAAAAATGCCTAAGAGGGCCTCTGTGAGATTGCTTGCAATCTTTAAAAGTCTAGTTCATTTTAATTCCCAAAAATCTTTTTTGAGCTCTTTTTTTTGTCCAACTCTAGAAGTATCAAATATTGTGCATTTACAGTATTTTATAACATTAATGTCTACACATTTTGGCAAAATATTCCTCAAAGATTCAAAATGCCTCCCATTTTTATTGTTGAAGTGTCACTTTTACCTTATAAATCAAGAAGTATTGCATTTGATTGGTTTGCTTGAAATTATACAGGCAGCTACGAATATATAGGTATACAATAATGTATCAAAGAATTGGCAAAATATCTTCAAATTTCAATGAATCAGTAATAGAAATGACACAGAATGCAAGGCACATGTTATGTCAGCATTATATACCCGTATATACATGTACATGTATTTAGATAAAATATTTATGTGCACATCTTATGAATTTATATACATGTATATTTTTATGGTTGGCAATAATATTTTAAGCAGAAAAATTATTGCATGACTAAATTATTGATTGCCCATTCCTGGTATACCATAGTTAATGAACTCAGTTATATCTGTGATTTTCTACAAAACATGATATATAAATATATTAACAAGTGCTGCATAGATACCTTGTTGATAAAATATAGATTATTAATACTTCAATGATGTAAAAATGCTATATGCATATGATAGAACATGTTAACAGAGTAGATACATAATGTCAATGATGCATAGATGATAAATGCTCTTCAATCATGCAAATATGCTGCCCATTATGCATATGATAGAACATGTTAATGGTAGATATTTGTCAATGATGCATAGATGATAAATGCTCTTCAATCATGCAAATATGCTGCCCATTATGCATATGATAGAACATGTTAATGGTAGATATTTGTCAATGATGCATACATAATGTCAATGGTGACGCATATTTTGTAGATATTTGTCAAAGATGCATACATAATGTCAATGGTGATGCATATTTTGTAGATATTTGTCAATGATGCAACAGATATGTCATCAATGATGCATTAATTATGTCATCATACTAACTTATTAACTATAATAACTGCTGCTATTAATAATAGAAATAACACAATTTGTATATGTGCATGTGTATTTATAGGCGTCCATTCTGTACTAATAAATCATCTTTTATACATATCTCAATATGTTTATCTCGATAAGATTATAAGACTAAGAATATAAGATTAAAACATGTAGTAGTTTACTTCACATGTATTTATTTATGATATGTAGATATATTAAAACTTACATGTACATGTAATGTATGCCATTTACTATTGTATTGATATTCATGTTCATTGAATGTCCTTCAAAATAAGTGTCTCAAAATGGTTCATTGCTCATATTTCAGGCTCTCCCATATGTTTGCCTCCTGATTGGAATGCTGTTCTTCATTTATGCCATTATCGGAATGCAGGTTAGTGATTGCATCGTTTACTAAAATTCTACAAAAATATGAGAAAACAGACATTACAATAATACCAGTTTTTACGGTTACTTGCTGGATTGGCAACCCATACATATTTATTTAGATTTAATGCTTGCTATTTTGCTTAATCACAAATATAATATGCAAAGTTACCTACCATGTTAGTTAGTTCCATTCAGCCATGGTGTGGTGACTGAACATTTATGCAGTTGGTTTTGAAATAACAAATTTTGCCAGCGTATATGTTGATTTCCATATGGGTTTAATGTGTCATTTGCATAGTTATGATGTCAAAATATTTAAGACAATTTGTAGACTTAAGTGATGAAAATGATGTTCTATACAGAAGTTGTGCCTCCCCTAATTATATATACAGTAAAAGTTCAGTGTTGGTAGGTGTCCACTACAGAGATGATGATTTATACAGAAGTCAGTAGAGTATGTGTGGAGTATGGATGCCTACTAGAGGCAGGTGTTCACTAAAGAGAGGTGTTCACCGAGACAGGTTACTTTACCTTATTATGTGTTTGTCTTTCAGGTATTTGGAAACATCATCCTAGACCCTGGCACAGATATCAACAGACACAACAACTTCAGGACATTCTTAGAAGCACTCATATTGCTCTTTAGGTATTCTTTACTTAATCTAAATAACACATACTGAACATCATAATAGATAAGTAAAAATGTTGGCCGAAACCCCTATAGTTTTGTGTTGTCTTGAATATATAAAGTTTCTTTAGTAACACTGTGAAAAATCATGAAAATAAAACAATACATGAAGCTACAACCAAAAATACAATGAAAACTGAGTGCCATTCTAAAAGTGAAATGATTCACTTATAATTTAAAAGAAGCCTTTTTTCACATTTGTTATATTTTACATTTTATTAGGAAGAATTTATTTTGTAGGTGTGCAACGGGGGAAAATTGGCAATCCATAATGTTGGCATGTGTTGCTGGTAGCACGTGTGATCCCGCCAGTCTTTCCACTGATACCAATGGAACCATAACGGGTGACCCGGATCAATGTGGGGACAACTTTGCCTACATGTACTTTGTTTCATTCATTTTCCTCTGCTCCTTCCTTGTGAGTAAACATTTTTTCTTTATTAAATTTTTTCATTTTGATTTGGTCACTCATTATTGATTTCGTGATTTGGCATTTTTTCATAACTCATTATTCATGCACATAACAGTTCATAATAAGCAAAATGAAAATATCTCTCATTACTATATACTTGACTGTAAATGTCTTTGAAAATGATCTATTTAGTTTGTTTTAGAAATTATTTTAGTACATGAGTCTAATTTCCTAATTTTATTTTCAATATTAATGATTTCAGATGTTGAACTTGTTTGTGGCTGTCATTATGGATAATTTTGACTATCTTACTCGAGACAGTAGTATATTGGGGCCACATCACCTCGATGAGTACAGTCGTGTGTGGGCAGAGTATGATCCTGGTGCTACGTATGTTTGATTTTATTAATTTTTTAAAAATATTGCACTCTATCTATACTCTCTGATACATTTTTGAATTCAAGATTTCAGACAGTAAGCCATAATGTCATGTTGTCTTCAGTATGTTCTCTTTAGATGATAAAATTTGAAAAACATTTAGTCATGCATGCAATAAAAGATCTGACCTGCTGTTTTTACCATCGATCTAGATTTCTTGGAATGTGACCTATGAATCCAAAGCAACAGTATATGTCAAATAGTGCTAATACTTTTTACTCCATACTTCATTTCCAGTTATAAACCTTAATTTTTGTCCTGTTGAAAAAGCCAGTGGTTTTCAATAGCATAGTGAGGCTACTGTAGCTTGAAGATATTCCTGTTTAATTTTAGGGGTAAAATCACCTATACAGACATGTATGATATGTTGAGAAACATGGAGCCCCCAGTTGGATTTGGCAAAAAGTGTCCTTACAGACTCGCATATAGAGTAAGTACTTTGTCGTAAGCTGTCACAAATAGATATTTTGCAAAATACAATTAATGACTTTTTTTGTGTGATTAAATTCCTCCATATTGGGTAACATATGTCAGTAATATCTACAATTATATTAATCGCTGTGTGATAAAATCAAAAAGAAAGTAACCCAACAATGTGTTTAACATAAGTATGCACATAAATGTTATTGTAGTATGCCACCGATTTAAACATGTATGTCTAAATTAAAAAAACACATGTTTCAGAAACTGATTCGGATGAACATGCCAGTATCAGATGATGGGATGGTTCACTTTACAACCACTTTGTTCGCTCTTATTAGGGAGTCTCTGAGTATTCATACTGGTCCAGGTAAGCTTTTGGCCAAATTGGCACATCCTCATCACCCCTTTGTCTAGAACTCCCTGCTAACATGTTAATCTGTGTCTGTTATGCAGTATTCTCTCTGCAACAATCATTGGATTCTTATGTGACACAACAAAACTCTAATAGATGATTAGGGCTTGAGCTAAAGATCTGAGAGGAGCTGGTGAAATTAGCATTAGCTATTTCCTACATTAAAATATCAGCTGAATAGTATTAAAAGTAACCTGACAATGACTTCTTGACCAACACTTAACTGAAGGCCAGAGAGGAACACATCAAATTTTGAACTATTTTGTGTTCATCTCTTTAAACATTTGTTGTGATTTACATAAGGAATACAAGGGAATTAGCAATTCTAGACTTAACAGTGAGGGATTGAAGCTGCAAATATCACACATCTTGTAGGAATATTTCAAAATCCTGGCAAATGCTTGAGCTTCAATCGAAAATCACACAACAATAAGATTAACCTGTACAGTAAAACATGTCTTAAGTGAACACTGCGAAAGTTTTTGCTTTGAAATGTATTCCCATATAGAGTTTAAGACAACAATGAGAAATATTGGGTTATCAAAACATAGAACAAAAAGTGTTCATATTTCAAAATGTTCACTTAGTTTTACTGTTTGGAACTTGTTGTTTGCCATGTACTAATACATACTAGGGATCCCAAGATACATTATACAGTATATTTATATTTTGACAACAAGTACCACATATTAAATTATGTCCAAGTGGAGAATATTTTTTACTGGAGCACATGCTGTTTGATCATGTATTGTGGGACCCCTAATACATACAACCTTCTTCCAGTTGTTGTAGTTGTAAAATGTATATTTGTGATGTTGAAATATGTATAATAGTCAGAAGTTCATTATGTTTATACCATTAAATGGAAGCCTATTTTAGCATTACTTGAACTATAGTGTAATTGCAATTGATCTACATATAATTCATGGATAATGTATTACCTTGTTTTGTGAATGGTGCTCATATTTTCACTTGAAGTATTCAAATAGTCAATTACAAATTGCCAATTAGTATTAGTTTAGATACCCTTCTGCTATGTAATGTCTGACGTGTCATGTTTAAAATTGAATATAACACAAAATTGAGAGAAATTAGCAAGGAGTGAATTATATTGGCTTGAAGTCGACACTATAGATTGTATAGAAATGCAAGAAAATTATAAACTTCATTCAAAAGTGAATTATAAATATGATCCGACAGACATTTGAAGCATGTAATTGTTACTTCCTGTTCAGGCTGTGTTGTTATGAAGATGCTGTCTGTCTCACTAACATAGAATATAGTCATCTATATACTGTATGTAGCTATGTATAAAATTAATATAAAAATATATGTGTTTTGTTTGATTGAATGTGAATTGTGATTAAGTTGATATTTTGTGCTTTTAGCTGAAAATAAAGATGGAAAAGGCTATGGTTGGTGTTTAAAAGAACAATAAATTCATTATTCATCATTTTATACCTTTATATTATATACACCTATTTATTTAAGGAGAAACACTTGTAACATTTTTACATGGTGGCGGAATTTGCAACGTTTTATTGAACTTTTATATTTCGTGTGTTCATTATTTTGGAAATGGATTTTCTTATTGTACAAGAGGAAGTTGGATTTCTTTCATATTCAAATGTTTTCTTTGATTCTTGCAAATTTTTTGTTATCGTTAGGTGTTCAATAGCCAGCCTGCTTTAAGCCATCAATCATACATGAAAGATTGGGAGTCATCATTAAAGCCAAGCTAAATGTTATCATGTGTTGCACTTCAAGACAATCACACGTTTATTCATCTTTTGTTTTATATTAGTATATATAATATATATTCCTGTTTTAAGTTAAGTAAAATCACCATCAAATTAACGACACCTTCTTGTAACTTTATGATTGCCACATTTCAAACAATACTATAACCTATTTTAGAAGTTAGATTGTAATAATATTAGAAATCATAATAACTATCTGGGTGGTTATATACATGTAAAAAGCTTTGCTTTTGCTTCTTTACTGTCTCATTGCAATTGATAAGCACTAGTACTGTCTGAGAAAGATTCTCAAAATCATTGATTGCAGATTCTAAAATAGTATACTATTCAAGAAATTTCTACATCCTTGGCTAATTGTAAGCAGATTTTCCCCTCTGGAAATTTAGAAAATACATTCAATTAAAAATCTGTTGATCAACTTAAATTATATATCTTTTAAAAGCACATTTCTTGATCACAATCGCTCATCTCTAGAATTACCCAAAATGCCATTGCACCATTGCCATAGTAACGTGTTGATTGTTTTTGTTGTAGTTGAGGAGATGAACCAGAAGGATGAGGATATGAGAGAGGTCATTAAGAAAATGTGGCCCATCCAAGCCAAGAAAATGATCAACCAACTGGTGCCTCCTGATGAAGGTTTGTCCAAAATAATAAAATGAAAGAGTATTCACACTTCGCTTGTACTCGCTAATGCAACTTTTGGCTGTCGACTATCAGATTAACCTACTATTTTATGACCAACTCATTTAAATATGAATGGAACGGTGGTTGGTACTACTCATATTTAAATGATTTAACCATAAAATAGTAGGTTGATCCAGGAGCCGAAATGCTGCATTTGCGGATACAAGGACAATGAGACCGAAATTCACAACCTTAAAAATGTAATTAATGGTATTTGAAATATCTTTATTTACAGTAAGGAATATTCATAATATCCTGCTTATGAGTAGTTTTTTGAACAAAATGGTTGAAAAAAAATGTTACTGAATTGTTTTTATTGCATATTGAAAATTTGGGGGAATGATCATTGAATAAATTGAAAAAATATTTCCAGAGTTGTCGTTTCAAAAGATGACAGTAGGAAAGATCTATGCTGGACTTTTGATAGCTGAAAACTGGAAAGCATACAAGGCTAGCCAGGCTAAGGGAGGGGGACGACCTGTAAGTGACTTCTATAATTTTGCCTGTAGTATCATGGTTACCATGTTTTTACCTGCATGGACAGAATAACATTAAAAAGCCCATATTATTTTAACTAAAGTAGAGATCATGAGGGGGTCACAAAATGCAGTTAAAAATGTCAATCTAAGATGACACTAGGAATGTACGAATTATTTACTGAGCATATTCTCCAGTACAGTTATAACAATGTTGCATTTTGGAAAACATGGTACTTACTACTATAAAGAGCATGATGCTTACGATGGTCATCATTCACTGTAGTCATATGATCAATCATCTTCAAGTATGATCACATATTCACCATATATTCATAATATTACGATGCATTATAATCAGACTCTGACTGATTTGTAACATAAATATAGTATTCGAGCATTTTCGTCTAAATGTATCCAAAATATCAAAATGCTTTTAGATAGTTGGCAAATGTCTTTAGACAAACATTTTATTTTGCCATTCATTCAATTTGGGCAAGCAAAAATAGTGTGAAGCAAGAAAAAATGAAAGAAGGAACATGTGCATGTCATTCACATTTTCCAACCATTTTAGTAAAGAATAATGTGGGAGATACATAATAATTTCATTTTAAAACATAGAGAGGTTTTAGATACAGGGTTTATCCAGAGGGTAATATGTGTATCCTATCATAGTATTATTCTATTGGTTACCATTGCAGATCATTGACCCTAGTAAAAAAGAAGAGGTTAGTTCGAATGTTTGACTTCAGATGTCATTTTGGTAGTTCCTAGAACCCTGCACTCTGAATATTCAATTTGTATTTCTTTCAGAGGGATATAACTACAACATCATGCTACAAACATATAGAATCTCATTCTTTCTGATTATCTTTGTAGCATGTGTAGTCTTATTTCTCTGTTATTGAAATGCATTGAAGATTTCAAGAGAAGGGTTTTGTAATGGGAACTATTTGATTTTACTTCAGCCGTTCACACGCTTTATCACCCTTTATACACTTCTACTTTTTCAATTTCTATTTTTATATGGTTGCATTTATGAATCTAGCTTGCTTTTTATTTAGTGTCATCTTTTTCTACTTCCATATTTGGACTGACAAACAGTATTATTGGCTGTGTTTTTGAAAATATTGTGAATTCATCAATTTTTAAGAAATGGTTTCCTTACATGCACATATATATATATATAATTATTCAATGAATTGTGAGTCTTTATGCCTGTGAGTGGCAAGCTATATTCTCTTATATTAAACCTTTCAAAACATTGTAGCTGTCGACCACCTTTCTGAAAAACACTTCTGTCCAAACCTTTCTCGTAAACATCTCTCAGAAAACACTTTTCCGTCAATAAACTCTTCAACACTTTTCCGTCAATAAACTCTTCAACACTTTTCCGTCAATAAACTCTTCAACACTTTTCCGTCAATAAACTCTTCGACACTTTTCCGTCAATAAATTCATCCCGACAAACAACTCTGAAAAACATTTTTCTGACAAACATCTATCTTATCTTTTCACGCAAATAACTTTCTGCAAGCCCTTTCTGTTGTTCATATTGTACCTGTATCATTTTTGTCATATTGCTCTCTGTCATATATTAATTGAGAGACTATTGAGGTAATTGATTGACCTTTAACCTCAAGGATTATCATAACTAGAATTTTGAACATAACTGTTTCCAATTTGCTTTGAATGTGGTGAGAGGTGCATTTCTTTTTTGTTTGATCCATTTCATTCATTACTTACGAGGCCTGGTTGGGTATATTTAAGTCATGGTATTTTCAACTTTAACCTCTCATTATTATCAAATATTGGTTTGGAAAGGTCGCTTGACTTCAATTATTTTCTTTTTATTACATCTGTTTATGATAAACTGAGTAGAGGTAATCTCAGTATTGAATATTGAAAAATATTTTATTGCTATGCTTGCATTTGAAATTACTTTCTTATATCTTATCAAAAATCTCGTTTGTCAAATTTGAATTTCCAATTCTCATTTATATTCTTTAATGCATGTTTGTAGATACACATAATGATATCATTCAAATATTTTTAAATACTCATAGTTGTAAAGACATCTAAATCGTTCATTAAGTAATCCTAGAATAAGTTAACTAAATCATATTAGATTACATAAACTTTATCAAACAAATTGTATATTCTGTGTTTTGCTTGTTAGAAAGATAAAATTGTTTCAGATGAATGTTTTAGTATTATACAGATTGCTAAGTCACCAGGCTACCATATATGGGCATATGGAGATCTTTAAACACCATATATGGACATATGTAGATCCTCAAAGACTTCATGATATAATGATTATTTTAGAAACAATGACACAATATCCAAATGCATTAATCAATCCAAGGACCCTAAACATGCATATGGCATCACTGTAGCAAACATTGACAATAGTAAAACCCAAACTCCCCTTAGAACCATATGCAATCTACAGCAATCTACAGCTTACATACACCTCCAAAAACTTCTGGGAAATAGGGCATTAATTCAACAAACACCATTTAACATCTTCATTTTGCGCTCCCGACTAACCCCAAGTTCTATATTACAGCGACCACCATCATTGTTTAGACGACTGATGGGAGCTATGCAGACGAATGCCCCATCACTGAATAGCCTGGACTCTGCGGGGCAGAGCCAGGGGGGAGAGAATCATGAGGGGGTGGAAGGAACTAACAGGTCATTCATGTTCCATGTCAGAGGCCATTGTGACCTCAGACACACAGTAGAAACAACTTATTCCTCATCATCATGTATTTGCTACAAATCTACAATTACTGGAATATATCCGTGAATACAATTTTTAAGTATTTTACCTCAAAGAATTTTGTTCGGGATTTTGATTGTTCTCAGCTATTAGTCAGAATTAAACATTTACTCACCAAAGAGAACTTACAGAATTGTTAATTTGCCTATTGATAATAGATGGCACAGATTTCGAAAATATATCTAATATTTTTAAGCAGTTGATGAGGAATTAGAATTGTATCTCTGTTTGTATCTTGTTCACATCTGGCTTTTTGGGGCCAAAGTGTGGGCTGCTCAAACTGTAGTATATAGCGACATCTATGTTTGCCCCTGAGCTCCAATGGGACATGTGTGTCTGTCCCAGTTTTACAGCTTTCATCATGGCCAGTTTATATCCATCATAAACATTTGATTAGCAATTTATTGACTTCTCATTATCACTGGTCAATTTCACATTTATTGCTATGATTCCATTCCAATCAACAGATTTAATTTCTGATTCAGCTTACCCTGATCATAATTGTGTCTTTAATAAATGTGTCCTGGCCATGGTGATGTTGTATGAATGTCCATAGATACAAGTGTGTATTGTACTATACTGTATTGTACTATACTGTACCATACTGTACTGTACTGTACTGTACTGTAATTCCATGTTAGATGATGTTACCTAGCACTGCTAATTGCTATAGCAACTAATCATCTCTATTTAGGTCTACATGTTGTAACCATGTGCAACCAGTCTCCATGGTAACCATACCTTTCACTTCCAGTTGAAGCGCGCATGCGGTGTAGCTTTCTATGTGGACATCACTAACACCTAGTTTTGTCTGCATGTGTCAATCCTGGACACATGCATCAAGACACATGCAAACTAAGACACTTGCATTGTACTAACCTGTTGCCCTCTAGTGTAATACTTGTAGCTTATTAATTGTTGTGCTCTATTTAAATCAACCAATTAGCCCCCACAACAACAAGGAATTTTTGGCTCCATCCTTAGGTAATGATTTGAAATAATTGGCACATAATTTTCAATTTTCAACTTTTGTGATTTTCTATAATAATAAGATGGCCACATTATTTTATGTACGTTATGCGTTCAAAAAAATAATGCAGCAGAACTTATTTTTTGCGGTGTTTTGGATTTTACAGCTTCTCACTTTATTAGCACATGTTGGAATGTTACTATTTATAGATTGACTTCATTGGATAGTTTTTAATGGTGAAACCATTGCCATGGATACACCTGATTATTTTCACAATTTACCCCGTTTGCTTTTCCTTTCAACTGTTGTGTTTTAGATCTCACTTTTTTGCTTTTCTTTCACTTTTTGTAATATAAGGGATTGGTATTTGCGCAATAGTTTGTCACTTGTTGAGTCATATGTATGACCTATTGACCTTTGTCAATTCGGGAAATGCTCATGGTTGTTGTATACTGTTCATTATGGTAAGTCCTTATATATTGGTTTGACAGCTACCTTACAAGGAGGATTGACCTCATGATTTTTCATTTTGTTATTATGACATCGTGAAAGATCTGTGGGCGCTGGTCCTCTTGTTTTCATTGTTTCACTTTAAACACCTGCATGTTTTATTTGTCCATTTTGTCCTATGCTTTTAGATATTTTAGAGTATATTTGTGGTATTCGTTATATAGTAGTTTGATTACTGGCCACTAGATGGCTTGGACTTTTAACTTGGAAATTCCCCTAAGTCACCTGGTGATCTTCCAGGAATCAGTTAAAAACAGAATTGACGCTATTTGGTATTACATGTATGTTATGTAATGTATGATACGGTTTCCTGTAATGGCCTGCTGCATCATAAGCATTTTCGGAAATGTGTTTTCATGTGTCTATTTTTATTGTAATTATTCATATACATATTAATGCACAGAACTCTTATTACTAATATATTATATGAAAAAGAGAGCATTGATTAAGAGCATCCATTTTACTGTATTTTGATGTATGATGATGATGCTGTTTTTGAGAAAATGGTATATTAGGCCCCATATATCAATTATAAATTATCACTTACAGCATTGACAAATCCCACCAGAATGGAGACCACACATGGAAGAGGTCCTTCAGTTTCCTGAGACGCAACTCTAGTAAGAAAAATAAAGAGAAGGAATCGGAAGCAGGCCAGAACAACAACCAGGTAACTGTGTAGAATATTTGATTATTTTGTAACACGTTCCAAAATCATGCAAAGTAACATTATTTCTATTTCTCTAGGATCATGTGCACAAAATATCAAATAAGAACTGAGATAACTTTATCTACCTGTCCTGTAATGATCAATTACTGGAGACCCTTAGTTTGATCAAGAAATAATTGGGGCAATTGCCATCCTACTAAATACAAAGCCAATTCCAACTTAAGGAACTCCTGATATGTTGAGAAAAAAATATTTAAAATGGCCACCATTCTCAACTCAACTCCCAAATCAACAACATTGGATTACCTCCAAAACACTTGATGCAACAAGGATGCTTTCCAGAAAAATTGGAAATACCAACCTCATATCTTCATACTTTATATGGTACCAGAAAAGAACATAGGCAAACAAATGATCAAAGATCTACATGTCAATCAACAGTACTGTTTATCCAGGAACTATCAATATCTTAACTTTAAGTTAATGTGTTCACTTCATTGTATTATTAATAGCTGAATTTCATAATTATAATCATACAGAAAAGTCATAAATGTTCTTGCTGTCTGACTATATTACTTTCCTTCAATTACGCTAAGTTCTTTATGACATCTTTTTTTTATTATTACATATACAAGGGTGTGAACACTTGTTATTGGTCATATCAATGAATTGAATTGTGGGGATGTTTTTGAGAACTGACCTGCTGTGTATCCAAGTGCTTGTGAACTTTGTTGATTCATGTGCTGATGATTCACATTTTTCTGTTTCTTCTGTGTATTCAGAGGAACTCTGTCCACTTTGCAACCATAGAAGGTCCTCCTCAGCCATCTAGGCACAATAGTAGGGATGCTGAGGTAGTGCATTATCCTTTGTAGGCATCTCATTCAATACTCTGCACATTCCCTTATAAAAAATTCAACCTTGAAAGTCCGAATTTAAACCGTTTCCATCAATTATTGAATACTGATTGTTTCAACTACTAAGATCAAAGGAAAAACCATTGTACGGTGATAAGCAATCATTGTGCAACCATTGCGTTCAACCAAACAAAGTCAACTCTTTTTCAATGACTGCGCAACCATTTCTATACAATCATTGTAATCTGCAACGATTGTAAACTGCAACCATTTCACATTGAAATGTAAATGGTTGCAATACGTTTTGTTCAATGATTACATAGTTCAAGCCCTGCAACCATCCTGAATTGGTATCGTTCCAAAAAAGTAATCATTTTACTTGAATTAAAATTATCTTTAAGTAAGAATTTGAATCTACCTCTATTCAACAACAGTATATTAGGATATTTTTTTTGCAAGCATACATGCATGTTTATTATAGTAAATTACTAAATTCATATTCATATGTTTCTTTCTCCAGTACGGATTTAGGAATGCGATACCAGACTAGTTTTCCACTCAATGACATATGATAATTTATGTCCTCTGTCATTTACATTATTTACACAATTAAAAGTACCATATCTAATGTTTATTTCCCGTTATTGTTATTGCCAAAATAATGTATTTTTAATGTTAATTATGAAAAGAATTGAGCAAAATTCCAATTTGGTTAAGAAATTGACCAAGGAAAATCTCAAGATTTCCTTTAAACTTAACAAAATCACAAGATGAGACACCATTGTTTTTGTTCATGATTAGACTGATATACATGTATGATCAAAAGGAGCAGGGTATGATGTACAAAATAATACAAACATGTAATCACAAGTTGATTGCTTTATTTAGTGAAAATGTTTTTATAGTAATAATGCATTCAGGCACCAAAGACTTAATTTTCACAGTTTCAATGGAAAACATCTGAATTAATAATTTCAATTTTGTCAAGGTAGATGGATTATTGCTATTCCCATGATATACAAATAGATTGGTTTGGGAACATATTGATATCGGAGGGTTTAGCTCAGGATCCCCGCAAAAGTTTATATACAATGAACAGGCCAGTAGTCAGCCCCCCCCCCAGCAAAATGGGTCTTCAAATGTATCCATGTGAAGTTAACACCAAATATCAAGAGTATGACTCACTAAAATTTAAAAAATACAAACAAGAGGACTATTTTGATATTGACTGTATATTATGTGTGAAACACATTATTCACAACAGATTTAATTACCATGTTCTTTCTTGGCAAATATTTTTTATAACAATGCTCAACACAACAATACCTACTACATATTGATATTCTCATGGGTTTAAGAAAATCAAAATGCTTGAACAGCCAATTAAAACGGTTGAACAGCTAATTAAAACGGTTGAACAGCTAATTAAAACGGTTGAACGGCTAATTAAAATGCTTGACCAGAAAAAGGGTTCATAGTCCTAGTTTCTGTTATATCTATTTTCATCTTGTGTTATACTATATATTTATTTTAATTATCTATTTCATGCAGAGGGGGGGAGTTAAAATTTAAGAAGTGTTTTCTGATTTTTGAGGGTTTATTTCTTTATTCAATTACTTCAGTAAGTGCTGAGAAATCTCAAATAGCAAGTATATGAAACTGCAAATAATATTTTCAGAATTTTTTATTTCATTTTTATTTAGTTTGTTTCACCATAGGCATTCAATAGATTGAAAGTCCATGGTTTTACTTTATTCACTAGGGCAGAGCATTTGTACTGAAAAGTGTTTTCAGTTTAAATGATATGTGTTGACGATTAAAAAATAAAAACCAAAAACAGGGCTTATTTTTCAAAACTCTAAACTTGCAAAAATCTGGAGGAAAATATGGGAGATTTTCTTTGGCAAATTATTTATCAAGTTCTGTGTATGGAATAATTTAAATTACATAGGATGCTTCCTTTATAGCAGACTCTAATCAAACTGATATAATAAGGTTTGTTTTGCCTTGCCGAATTTTTGTTTTGTTTATGGATTAATGGATTAATAAAGTTTCTTTAGACACATCCTTCAAAGCAGACTCTAATCAAACTAGATAGACCGAGTCTAACTGTAATCAGAGTTTTTTAAGTTATGCTTATCGACTTAATTATTTAAAACACATCCTGTAATGCATTTTCTCTATCAAATCAAAAATATCAAATCAAAACAGATTATTTTCCCATTGAAGGATTTCTTCCTTCCAGACACATCTTCCTTCCTTTATAATTGCGATGATTGCAAGGTGAAGTGTAAAATCCAAGACTTGACCCAATCAAAATCTTTTTCAAATGATTTTGCAATAACTTAAAAAGTAGTGAAGTGATTTTGTAAAAATGATAGTCATGACAGCGAGGGGGATTTGCTATGCCTAAGCATTGCTGTTATCTAGATAATATACATGTGAGTTAGACAATCACCATCCTTCAAAGTTAGATGAAAATTGGTTCAATATATTTTCATTCACAAGACAAGTTTACTTAACTATTTCAATACTTTAAATATCTTTTTGATCAAACCATTTAAATTCTGACATGTACAGTATGCATAAAATACACACATTTGAAATATATTTTTTAAAAAGCAAGATAATTATTTTATGTTGTATTGAGATAAAATTGCCATGGTTTTAGAGGGTTGCATTCGATTGAAACGGTTGCAAGAAATGCAACCAAAATTGTCAAGCGTTTACAATGGTTACATATGATTGAAACATTTCAATGAGTTTACAACCAAAATTGTAATGGTTGCATCATAACGGTTGGCATGGTTGCATAAATGATCGGATCAATGATTGTACAATGATTGTGCAACGGTTTAAATTCGGACTTTCAAGGTTGAATTTTTTGTAAGGGTTGTTCTATATGTATCTAGCTTATCCATCAATAATCTGCATTTCTCTCAATACTTAAATCTCTCACAATACTTTGTACATCTTTGAATACCATGCACATCTCTCAATACTTTGCACATCTCTTAATACTTTGCACATCTCTTAATACTCTGCACATCTTTCAATACTATGCACATTTCTTAATACTCTGCACATTTCTCAATACTCTGCACATCTCTCAATACTGTCCACATCTTTCGATACTTTGCACATCTCTCGATACTTTGCACATCTCTTAATACTCTGCACATCTCTCAATACTATGCACATTTCTTAATACTCTGCACATTTTTTAATACTCTGCACATTTCTCAATACTCTACACATCTCTCAATGCTCTGCACATCTTTCAATACTTTGCACATCTCTTAATACTCTGCACACCTCTCAATACTCTGTACATCTCTCAATACCATGCACATTTCTTAATACTGTCCACATCTCTCAATACTGTCCACATCTTTCGATACTTTGCACATCTCTCGATACTCTGCACATCTCTCAATACTCTGCACATTTCTCAATGCTCTGCAGATCTCTTAATACTCTGTACATCTCTCAATACTTTCCACATCTCTCAATACTCTGCACATCTCTCAATGCTCTCCACATCTCTCAACAATACTGTGCACATCTTTCAATACTTTCCGCATCTTTCAATACTCTAATCACATCTATCAATACTCTGCACATCTTTCAATACTGCATTTCAATACCCTCTTAATATTCTACATATTTCTCACTGCTTTGCACATATCTGAATAAACTGTACATTTTCAATACTCCATATTACTCTTGTCTCATATGTTTTTAAGTAACTCTTTATTTATTTAGATACTACATAATACTGTATTGGATGCTCATACAGTTTCAAATTTCTCAACTTAAGTGTACTACTGGTGCAATTTATTATTACACCCAAATTGAATTACATTAAGCATAAAATTAGAAAGATAGCATAGATTCATAATATATTTGATATAATATAGATGCAGCCTGGGTGTATCAATTGCAGTTTGGAAGATATGATTTTACTTTGCAGACATACACCACTACCCCAAAACCGAGTTAGCGGATTTTTTACCTGAATTTGGGCAAATATAGAATTAGGCCTCCCCTTGTCAATTTCTCTGCCCACCCCTGGGTATTGGGACGAATAATAGAAGGGGTAGAATACAGGTAGTGGATATAGCCAGGATGCAAAGGAAAATAAGATTGAAGAAAGAACATAACCAAAGGAAGGGAATAGGGGAGACTAGGAAATGATAGGAGGAGCTGAGAGGCTGCTCCTTCAATTGCTATTAAAAACGGCAGCAAAATGTTATGAATCTGTGCTATACTTTCCTGAGTTATAGTTTGAATAATTGCCTGAATAGACTATAAAAAGTTTCATGTATCTCATCCACATCTGCATGCTCAGTCAGGAAAACAACACAGTGTTCATGTATGTAGACACATCTTTCTGAGCATGTCCAACTCTGTACTACACACAAAGTTGAGCAATATAGAAATTCAAATAACAAAGTTTCGAATTCAAACTGAGAAAGTGAACTGTTTTGTACAAATTATGCACATTGTACAATTTCATTGTTATATTCCAGCACTGGATGTTTCAGTTAAAAATAATGAAGATTTGAAATTTTTCTCAACTTTTATCTGGAGTACAGAGATAAGTTTTATATTTCAAAAATACAGTTACTGTTTCCCTTTTCCACGCACAACAGCAAGGCGCTATTTATTATATATCCGATGGTGGATACGATAATACATCCTTTGAGGGTGATGAACTTTCGCAAAAGGTACACCCTTAATTAACAAGGTTTCCATGGTGATGGGTTGAGACCTTAGCAAAGATGTTGTATACAATTAATGGAGCCTAATTGTATCCATGGTGACGGTTGTGTTGTGGATTTATAAGTTGAGGGATGACGGGAATTAATGGAAAAGAGAAAACAATTTTGTTAATAAACTCGTAATTTAGATTATTTTAACGTATACAAGTGTTGTTCTAAGGTGGTGGTAAAAATATAAACATTTTGAAAAGAAAACCTTTTGTTTTGGGTTGTACTGGGTGTTTAGTATTAATTAGTTAAAGTGTGAATTATATTTTACAATTTATAAATCTTATGTAACTGAAATTAAATGTTTTGAAAGGAATCATTGATTATAAAACATTCTTTACTTACAATTTTTAGGGTATTGAAATGAAAACAATGAATGGTAAATCTGATCAAAGTATGGATGTTGAGAGTGCTTTGATCACCATGGCAACCAATATTACATCATCCATGACACGTTTAAACATGACCACAGATGAGGTACTTTTATATACACAAAAATGATAACCATTTTGGTGTGATTCAATGAGTGAGTAATACATGTACTTGTAATTACAAATTGAGATCAAGCTATAATTTACATGTATTATCACTCATTTCATATTCAAAATGGTAAAATCAATTTTCTTATATTTTCTAAACTTTTATTCTACTCTGTTTTTGCTCTGTCTATTTCAGGGGTTGGAAATGAATCTACTTGGCCATGATGAGGTATAATGGTATTTCATATCACACATTGCAAAGCCATTGTAGTTCCTATGTACTTCTGTTGCTATGGAAACCTAAAAAGATATGTGTTGTCAGGCTGTTAGAATATGGACCTTTTACATGTTTTCAAAAAGAAGCACTTTGGTCTCCCAAAGTTTCATTTTTACTGCGTTCACTTCAATTTGTGGAGTATATTACATGAGTTACCATAGCAACATACTAAGTTACCTGGAACATAATGGCTTATCGATGTATGTATTGTAAGAATCATTATTTTGCTTTAACTCATTATCCAGCTAAAACCAATGATATAGCACTTTTTACTGCATTAAAATTTCCACATAGTTGAATCATACATTTAAAATTCAACACAATATGTATTGTAAGCTTTATTTCTGCTACTTACCTGTCATCTTAACATGTACCGCTACCAGGCCCGTAGCCAGGATTTGCCAAGGGGGTTCACGTTTTAAAAAATTCCAGAAAAAGTTCACTTCTGACTACTTTGGCCCAAAAAGGGTCAAAATCACTTAAAAAGTGCTCAGAATGGTGAAAACTGCATGATTTTAAAGGCATTTTTGACCAAGTGGGAGGGGTTCTCCCAAACCCATCGGACCTCCCCTGGCTTCGGGCATAACTACTTTTAAACCTGTAACACAAAACAATAAGCTGGGACTTAAAACTGTTCTTCTGTAACATATGTTAGTAGGCATATCATTGATTGGTAATTCATACCTCTCAACATATTATTGTGTGACTATTTGAGAGTTGTAACTCCCAACTTATTTTCCCCGTTCCTTGAGTGTTCTTATTTACTTGTGATTTATTATACCCTAATTGTTTAACTATGACCCAATTAATTATCTTTCTCTTTTCTTTACTCTTCAGATGACTGTATGATTTTAAGTTAATTTTGTTTTGGTTGCTTTGATCCCTTATGGTAAATACACAAAATGTAGAAATAGTATAAAAGTAGTAAACACTAATTTTTGTGAAACACCTTTGTATATATTTTCATTTTAAGATGCAGTAAAACCTGTCTAATGTGAGTACTCTTGGGAAGAGCTGAAATTGTTCCCATTCAAAAGTCCTAACAAAATTGGAATTATCATAATGAAATATCAAAAACATAAGCTGGAAAAAAGATTTCATCTTTGTGGGTTTTGAATAAAGGGTATAGTTCATTATACTCAGGTTTTACTGTTAGCCATATGTATTTACCATCACAATACTAGTATTGTCTTACATTTTGCTAAATGATCTGTTAAAAGTTTGGCACATTGAATTTGTTGGCATACATGTTTACTTTGAGTTTATATTGTTTTGTTATTCTGTTAGAATCAATATAATTCACACCTGCATAATTTCTTTTGTTATTGTGGTGATATTGATTTGTGTATCCACTACCTAAATGTATGTCTGAGTTTTCCTATTGAATAAAGACTAAATAAAATGACATTTCTTTATTATATTCTAATTGGTAGATTTCTATCCTTGAACCAGAAGCAGTTGATTAATGTTTGTGCAAATCTTATCTTGCAGTTGAAACAAAATGGTGGAGTGCCACAGAATCAGCCAACTACCCGACAGCAGAGAATTATGGATAAGGCTCTTACCCCTAAGAAAAAGCTATATGCTGCTCCCATGGCCCCTCAGTTTGCCCCCTCCTCCCCAGATCTTATCGATGGCGAAGTCCCTAAGGAAGGGGGCGCTCCAGTAGCCAGCTCAAGTGGGGCAGTTTTGTTTGCCACAGTACCATCTAATGCCACAAACACTACAGCTTCAACCTTTGCCACTGTGCCTTCCCCTGCCCCAGTTACTCACACCAACCCATCCCCCATGTTCCCAACTATTGACCCCCCAAAGCCTACATTCTCTCCTGTGTCACCAGGTAACCAACCCAGGCAACCTAATCCCCACCCCCAGGATGTATACACCACCGCCCCGGGAGCAGACTCAGCACTTAATACCCTTACAAATGTTATGAACAAAAGTGTTGGCAAGATTATGAGTTTGAAAGGTTTTGGACTTTTTTCATTCCAGCAACCACAGCAACCAACCACTCAACCAGTCAGCAACCAACAGCAACCACAAACATTCATGGGTGGCTTGAGGCCAACACAGGCTCGAGCCATGCCCACTCCTCAGCCACGCATGCCTGTAAACAATCAGACACGGCCCTCGGCAGCTACTTTGCCACGTATGTCGGCTCCCTTGCCTACCATGGGCATGAATGGTATGAACAATCAAAACCATGCCCAACAGCAGCAGCAGCAACAAAATATACAAAACTCACCTGTTCCAACTCAAAGACCAATGCCTACCACACCATCCCATAATGCTCGTTCCCCGACAACATCTCCACGGCAACTACACAATCCATTCCCTCCAAGGTCACCATCACCTAGGAGTGATATTGGTTTTGCTTCCGCAGTCACCAACATATGTGACCAGGTCCACGACATGCAAGACCAGCAGCATCCAGGCCGTAGACGTAGAAAAGGTATTGGTTGATAAGGTTACAGTTAAAAAGCAACACTATTGTTGCTATGGTTACCAGCCAACTCTAGGAGTTGGTTCCTACCAGGCATGACCAATCAATCATCTGGCAATTGCTCAATCTTCAAATTACACTGAGAAATCCCTCAACTAATTTAGAATAATAGATCTATCAACAATGAAAAAATATTAAAATGATTGAGCAATGAAAGTGATTGGTTACCACGCCAACTCCATTGTTTGCTGAATTTACAATTCTCGGCTGTACCTTATGCTTAACTGTGACAGATGTTTTACTATTGGCTGTGGATATAATGCACTTACGCTTAATGAAGGTTAAATTCTATGAGAGTGTATGGAGAAGGCACACATGTGGATATTGATGTTCCTCTTGTGGAAGACCGATAAAGCTGCATGTTTGCATGGAGGGCCCAACACATTAATACTTGGTTACTTCGTCGCTACATATCTTATATACGCTGATTGGTTGCTATGCTACATACTGGTTGCTATGGTGGTGGTTGCTATGACTTTTCCTATATACCTGGTGCTGGTTGCTATAGATATTATTTTTAAAATGGTGGTTGCTATGACTACACTATGTGCTGGTTGTATATGATTTTATACGCATTGTAAATGGGTGATGGTTGCCATGCCACTTTACAACACTACACTGATATTTGGACCTGCCTTGCCTGTAAACTTGCTCGGTAAAAAGGAAATTGATGCAAGTTAAGGTCCTGATTTTATGTTATTGATTCTTAACTTCAAAAACATATTTTGTAATTATACTTTGTTCACAATAAATTTAATTGACTTTGCATGCATCTTGTTTGTTTTACAATTGCCAGATGAAGCGATTGGTCATGCCTGGTAAAAACTTTAATTTACCCATTTCTTAAAACTGAAATTGGACTCAAAATCACTTTAAACCGAGTGGTTTCACAGTACATCCATATTTAGTATCTAACATAGGTACTTCAGCAAAATTATAACAAAAAAGGTTTCTCATCGTAAATAATGAGCTCCATGAATATTTTACAATTTCTTGTCTCGTTTTCATTACATTTTTGAAGAAAAGTTAATGGTTTTATCAAGGTTGATAAAAGGTTGATCTTGAGTCCCAGTTTGTTTGCATATAAATATTAAATATATGTACATTTCTGAATCCATAATTTTAAAAGAATGTAAGTTGTAATTTGTTATGTGGTTGCACTATTAAATTCAGCCAAATGGTGTCTCGGAGCTACATGTATCACTTGTAGTTCTCAGCTATTCACCTGGATAAAAATCTGACTTCAGTTGTCCCATCAATTTTATGCCGTACATTTAAATTATGCATTTTTGCGTGCATTGGTTTTGTTTTCTTTTTTCATGGAAATGAAAAAGCTTAGAAATCAATTTCAACTTTGAAAAATACATATAAAGACAAAAGAAAAATTACATATTCTGGAATTATTTATATGTTATAGGTGCAAAATGTCACATAAAACTGATGGGACAAAACAATTTTTCAATAATGTTCATTCTATTAAAAGATCTGTTGCATTTGATATCTTTCATGGGGCTATTATATTCTGAGTATATTTTCTTTAGTTCACACAAACTCTTGTAAAAATGTATAGCTATTGTCTCGTGACAAATATCTGGGGACACCTTCATGAGATCTCTACATGTGCCTCATATGTGCAAAATATATATTTCCATTTTATCAACATATAGGCAATCGCTATGGTATGGTGAGTTGACTGCGTGATGCAAGGAGAATTTCCAATATTTCATTCTATTCTTTTGTTTCTCCACATAGTTACAAAATTATATTCACAGTTGTTTTTTACCAATCACAAATCATATTTAATATGTCTAGCATCTGTTTTAGTTTTAAGCAATATCAATCATAATTTATAAACACAGAGATAATTTCATGTGGTTTATGCATGTCTGTTTACAGAAAAGGGAGGGTCTGTCAAAAGTCTCAGAATTTCTTATATCTACTTTGTTGAGTTTTATGTACATCTTATCACAATAACCTTGACATTGATTGAGGGGAATTCTTATATATACTTTTAAAACATAAGGTATAATAAACTGTTATCTTATATTCCATATCTCCAATTTTAAATTTTGTATTGTAGGACATCAAAACTTGGACTCTCCCCAAGGTAGAGGGCGCAACAGGTTACGCAGTGGACGGCCACCATTGACTGCCCAGCGTCAGGTCATTGGATCCCCCGCCCCTAGCCCACTACCCAGTAGGAGTGGAAGCAGAGAGCCTATCTATAGAAGCACTTCACTGGAGACTAGATCCAGAACACCATCACCAGATCAGACCCCTGAGCATACCCCTCAGCAGGAGTATTACGGGTCAAGTAATCTGACTGACAGATCCAGAAGCCCAAGCCCCACCCTCGTGCCTAGGCAAAGTCGCAGTAAGCGCTCCAATAGACAGCTCCCAGATGTACCTGGGAAGAGAGTACCCCCTTCATCTCTGAACTTGAGTGGTCCTAAAAAAGTTAAAGACAGAATGCCACATGTGATCCCATCTCCAACTATACCCCAGTCACATAAGTCTCCTGGGAGTATTAATTTCCCGAGACTTAGTGCGTCCCCTAGTCACAGACCACTAAATGTGTCACCTAATATCAGGAAGAGTGTTTCACCAGGGCGGCCATTACCCACGAGCCCAACAGAGAAAAGTAACATTAATATAATAAACAATCAGCTTCGTTCCACCAGAACCCCTCCCAGGGGTCGTGCCAAAGACAGAGAAAATAGAGAAGTGCAGGAGAGAAATTTGAACCAACCCCCTCCTCATATAAACAACAGAGACCGGTACCAGGACAATCGTTTTACTGATATTCAATATAATAATTCCCCTGCCCGAGAGCCAATGTTGCGAGGTGGTAGACAGACTTTACCCAATGGTTTTAAGCCAGGACAGCTGAGATCTGATAGGACAGAAATACGCAGCGGGTCAGTAAGACCTAACATGAGTGATTCCGATGACGAAGATTGGTGCTAGCCAATCAGAATGTACATGCAATTGTCGCCAGCCAATCAGAGTGCAAGATTTGGTGCTATTATGACATCAGCATAATAAACAATTGCTCACGTCACAGTAGAGTAGGTTGTTCAACATTCACATACATAAACATTTCTAACTAAAACATTTTTGGCTTAATATGAAACATCCACCGTGTGAATGTACATGCCAAAGTTTCTCTAAGCATGTACATTTAAAACAGTCAGTGTCTAAATTGGCATTTGAATGATGCCTGTTTTTTCTCTAAATAAAAATTCTCCAACTTTCATTCATTTTTCATTTGTAAATACAGCATGTTTTCAAGTATGATCATGTTTTATACCACTGGGCAGTATTCTTCTATATTGCCCAGGTGTAAGATGATGTTGTAAATTGGCTTTAAGAGGCTTGGCTACAAGACTTTGTGTGGTCTAATTTGTAAATAGAAATTATTTGCTGAGTTACCTTTAATTGGACACTTCATATAATAATATCTCAAATGTATCCGGAAATAATTCTGACATCTTTTGTTTGCTTTTGAAACTTTTAAATGCCAAAATTCTTGCCAAGTAGCTAAATTACATGTATTTGCATGTATCACATGTATGGTAGTTCCAAATACATGTAAAAGCTAGACGAATCTTCATATATCAAAATCTAAGAACTCTATTTTAAATGTGATATACTGAAACTCAATGGTCGACATCTTTCGGTTTGTTCTTAAAGTTCAGTGTGAAAGACTAATGTTAAAAATGTAACAGAACCTCTGAATCTCTAGACCTGACCTACATGTAGGTATACTTGTATTTACCAGGTTTCACATGATGCACTAAATAGTAGTTACTAGAAAATGTTACATCTCGTATTTGCAGGTTGTCAACCATCTCCAAAATGAAAGGTATAACACTGGTGATTACATTAAGAACTGTGCAAATATTGGCATCGCAAATTAGCCTTGTGCTTGCATTAGGAGATGGGAAATGATTGGTCAATACAAATATAAGCCTCTGTACAGTTAGGAAGAACATGATTGGTCAATACAAATGTGGTAAAAAGGACTCTGCACGGTTACGATTAACATGATTGGTCAATACAAATATGGTAAAGAGGACTCTGTACAGTTATGATTAACATGATTGGTCAGTACAAATATGGGAAAGAGGACTCTGTACAGTTACGATTAACATGATTGGTCAATATAAATATACAAAAACACCTGTTCAGAAGTTTATACCTGTATATAAATTATGTTACATATTTATATTCACAGAAACTTTCGCAGAAAGTTATTTCCATAACACATGAAGATTGATATAAACTTTCATATTTGCGCTTGTGTAGTGGTAATTTCAACAACTCATTTGTTAATTAATTATTTATTTAAAGATGATACATATACCTTCATTAAATATTTATTAATCAATATATTTATGAAGACAGAGATGGCAGTAATCATACAAATTGTAATACATTATTTCAGGGTTGTTCAATTAATTCCACCACATGAACTAAATTATCGATGATTACATATTGAACAACCCTTCAATAATGATTTTGTCTTAAATTAATGCTTCAACTGTAGAAATGTTGACCCATAATTATATAGTTATTTATTTCATGAAATGGTAGATTTATTTGGATATTTTGTGGAATAAATGATATGGGAAGTAATTTCACATGTTTCTCCTTAAATTCTACATGTATTAGGCCTACCTTTTGTTCGACAGTGAGATTGCCATTTGTGAATCCAATCTTTTCAAAATCAAAAGCATACCACTTTTAGCTTGTTTTGTTTACAAGGGTTGGTTTGTGGTTTAGCAGTTTATGAAACGGATAATGACATGTAGGATTTTGTGTGAAACTTATGAGTTAACAACTAGGGGTGTAACAGTCAGACATTGCAGGCAGTTCCTATGCAAAATTGTCATTGTGTTTTGTATATTTTTTTGTATGCTACATCTACATGATCTGTAGCAATGCACTCTATGTGAATAAGACAAACTATATAGTGTAACATAGCTATATAGTGTAAAACAACTATAGTGTAACATAACTACATAGTGTAAAAAGATGTAAAATGTTGTACATATAAAAACTATATTTCTAAAGCATTCCATAACACTACAACAACCAGGATGCACACAATAGTTAGAACACTTTAGTATGACACGTGATTAGTTTAGGACACTTTAGACGGACACATTGTTACAATGGTAGTATATAGAGCTATAGTAAGCATATTTTCTAGATCACTTTAGCGGGCACATAGGTTTAGAAATATTTTGAAATAGAACTAATATATATTTCCTTTTCTTGTATACTTTAAATTCTGAAAGTTTTAATTTCTCAAAACTAAATGCATATACAATGTATCAGTTCACATTGAAAACATTTTAACACTGTATAATTTGGTAATAGTTTTAATCTAGAGGTTAGGTGCCAAGAGGGAAATAGGGTAGCACTAGGCTAAAGTTAGAGAAACAATTTCTGGAGGTAGAAATCTCAGAAATTTTTTGCTTATGTTAATCATTTTATATACAATCGCAGTTTGGAGGGTTTCAGCGTATATTTCAATATTTCTGGAGAATTTCATCCATTAAGGGTAAAAACTTTAAGCTCTGGATTTTTGATCGACTAAAAATAGAATGAATGTTAAGATGCATGTCTGTCTGGTATTAGAATATATATGAGGAAGTGCAGTGTTAGTTGAAAATGTTCAATACATAGAGGTGTTCACCACTCTATGGTGTTTACAATTTTAAAGAAGTGTTCATCACAAGGGGTCTGCCACAGAGGTTTTAACCATATAGAGGTGTTCACCACAGATATATAAGTGTTCACCACTTCAATGGCAACCTTAAAGAGGTGTTTACCACAGATATATAGGTGTTCACCACTTCAATGGCAACCTTAAAGAGGTGTTCACCACAGATATATAGGTGTTCGCCATGGTAAACTTAAAGAGGTGTTCACTACAGAAATATGGTACTAGAGAGATGAAATGTAAAGAAAATGTATATTTTATTGTTGTGTTTGAATTGTATAATTTATTTCCCCAAATTTTATGACAACAGAATTCATTATAAAGCTGTGTGAACCTAACATTATATTGTATTATAATTTTCAAAGAAAGGTTAATGCTGCTAAACAGTGTATATTTTATTGTGTATATTAGACTATTTATGGTATCTTTTAGGTTCAACATATCAGGTCAAAGCTCTCCTTCCTTAAGATTTTGTCTTGAAAATACCATAGAAGATTTATTGCCAAGTCTGTACATTGTAGGGTATAATTCTTTTTTAAGTTTAAATGAGTTGCAAGGAAACTATAATTTACGACCATACGTATACTTAGGGTTGGGTTCCAAAGTTGCCCTCATTTCAACAATGCCACACTCTCATAAAACGTTGACCTTGTGATGTGTTGTATCTCAAAGAGTGTTTTCTCTCAGTGCACAATGCACAAAAAACGTCAATGTGTGTTAGTATGTTCTAAACATCAAACAAAGACGATTAACAATGTAAACAATACACACCAGCATTTCATGGGATAGAAACCCAACTCATGAAATGTTGGCATATATTGTAGTTTTTGCATGTAATTTCACACTAAGCAGGTCTTATTATTATATCTCAAGATTGGTTTAATCATATTTATTATTAAATACATATACTCATTGTTCTTTTTATGGCAGCAATGTCATTGATATAAATTATGAAATATTGTTACTACAATTTTTACATTTAAAAGCTTTGAATAAAATACTGAAGTATATTTTTTAGTGTTTTTGTTCATTTTTAAGAATCATCCTCAGAATCATTTTAACTGACTTCATATTTTTTATTTCTTCATGAATAAAACCAATGAGGACAAATTACATGTTACTTTTACTACATTCAAAACTTTACACAAAGCCAAAAACGTTGATCTTCAGATTTCTATGTATGATTTGAATTCATTTTGATGACAGCATACTACTTGGAATATCTAAATATAGTTCAACTTGTTTTATCTATCATTGGGTTATTCTTTGGGACACCATGTATATAAACAAGCAAAAGGCCATGGATCTTAAAGATGCTCTCCCAGACAATCAGTAATGTCCAATTATAATTTTAAATAAAATCTTGAGACCAACTTATGGGAACAGCATTGCGGATAAATTGAAAAAATTAACAACAGAACAACCAACTCAAAATTAATGGAATTTGAGCTTTCCGCGATCAAAGGGAATTCCTGTCATGTGACAAGAGTGTAGTTACGTCACATGACTTGAATCCAGGCAGCCGATCAGATTAAGAGTGGGTTTTTTCTAATGATTTCCTTTTGAATTTTTGACAGTCCCATTTATAATTCATATCAATCAAGCCTAAATGTAGATGTCGGTTCATGACAGTTGGCAAGTAGATGGATGAACCTGTTTTTAATCAAAGCAAAAATACCAAGCGTGTACTCTTCATGTACTTGTACATAAATAAAAAAAAATTAACACACTGACAGAAAAAAGATTTTGGAAAGAAAAGATTCTGGTCCAAAAAATATCATAGTTGAGAAATATCATTGGTTTCAGGGGAAATACATGTCAAGTGTACAAAGTACAGGTCCCCTGATCTTAATAGTCTCATCTGTTTTGCTGTGACTCACAGTCATAGAGTTCATTATTCTTTTTTACAAAGTCAACAACAGCTTTCAAACTTGTAACTACATCAGCTTTGTCAATGGGTCCCTCGTTTCCAACAGGCCAGTGTGGAGTCCCAGGATCCATAAATAATAGAGCTCTCATTCCCACAGTTTTAGCCCCATAGTAGTCATTCCTAATATGGTCTCCTATATGAAGTACACTTTCAGGCTCGTTATGTAGTCCTGCTTTTAGTAAAGCTTGTTCAAAAATTGATTGTTCGGGTTTTGAGCTTTTTGCCTCCTCTGATATGATCAAATGGTCAATGTATTGTCTCAGATTGAATATATCAAATAAATTGTGTAAGCGCTTTCCAAAGTTTGATATCACAGCAATTTTGACACCTGTTTTGGCCAACTCAGAGAGTGCTTCATCAGCATTAGAGAGAATTGTCCAAGCATCTGGAGTAACATAGTACTTATGTATTGCCTGAGCAGAATCTGTTAAACGGGAGGACTGATCCTTAGGAAAACCTGCAGCAAGGAGTGTCCTACTACAAAGCTGTTCCCACCACCCTCCATCTGACCAATCAGGTTTTGTTGTTGCCCCAAAGTGAGGGTAATGTTTGTTCATGTATTTCCATTCTGTGTAAAATTCCTTGTTTACCACATCCGTTTCTAGTTTTATGCCCGAAGTTTCAAATGTTTTTTTGACATATGTTTCTCCCAGTGGATAGGTCATCTTTAATATTGTGTTGTGAACGTCTAAAGTGACCATCTTGATTCGACCAAATGCTCCCATCTTATTATTAATGTAGTATATCTGGAAATTAGATAATAAATCTTTGAGAAATATTGTTATGAGAATCAGGCTTAGAAATGGGATTTGATTATAGGATTATTTAAATATAATATTTAATATTGAATATTTAAAGGGGCAACAAGGTCTGTAGAGAGAAAATTTGAAATATTTTACTTTTTCTTTCTTTGGCTTAAAATCTTCTTTGACATACGGAACCTATTTTCTTAAAATGTATGGTGAAACTATCAATTTTAGCATAATAGCACGTTGCAAGAGGAATATCAGCTGAAATAATGTTCATCCAGGGGGTTTCTTTGGAGATAATAAAAATATATGTTAGTCTTGATGAAATATCCAAACTAAACATATATTTTGACACTGATCCATGATCATTAAATAGCACCTCTGCACTACTTGTTGCACCTTTAATAATTACCAATTTGATTGTCTATCACTTGAACCTGTATACAGGATTTTAGGAATCCCCTTGTTGAGGTTGAATGATAGAAATGCAATTTAATCATGGTAATATACATAGACACTGTTGATCAACAAACTCTGACATTGTCTGATGCCAGTCAGTAGCGTAGCGTGGGTATTTTATGAGTGTATGCTATAAGTGAGCGAAGTGAACAAGCTTTGAGGGAGGGTTGGGGAGGTTCTCTCCCAAGAAAATTTGAAAATGAAATGGCATTTGAGGCATTCGGGGTCATTTTAAAATATGAAATTCTGACGAATATTGGACTAATAAAATGTAAATTATTGGCCATCTTTATCCAATATTTAATTATGTGAACCCATTTTATCAACTTTTCACTAAATTTTGAGAGAATGCCATGGCATTTTATGAGTTTATTAATACCCTACAACAGTGCCGGTGTCTCAGAATAGATATGTTTAAGACATCCCATGGATACATGTAGATCTACATTAGTACAGTTTATACATCAGTGGTACAATCCCGGATAATCAAAGAACATGTCACTTAGTATTATAATAATAAAAAGGAACAAGATACAGCTGACTATGAGTGCATAAAAGCTAAAATAAATAAAATGCTGATAAACCCAGACAATTGTGGATTCAACTACACAAAAATAATGCTAAAATACCAAGGAATCTATTGAAGTAGGTATCTTAGTGTAAGGGGCGTAGATAATTCTCCCAAGTTGTAATCGTACAGGCAAAAGATTGCGCTTGGTCCAGGACTCCGCCAAGACTATAGTCCTGGCACGGGATAACATTTAGCTATTGCATAGTCAGCACCATCTACACGCCCGGTGATCGTGAATATGGGACGGAGGGGGGGAGCAGGCAATTTCTGCTAGGAAATTCAACAAATCTGGAAGATTTATTTTTTCAAGAAAAAGTTTACTATTGAATTGCTCAATGGATAGGCGCACGGTATGGTTGAATATGTTAGGTTTTCTGGGATTTTTTCTGAAACGATACGCATCTAAGGTATGAGATCTATTAAAAAAGGCGCAAGGCCATCAACAGGCACAAATCAACGTTTTTGCTATAAATCAAGCAACAATGGTCTGGACGACCTGTAATAAATACTTGTAAGTGATGTTATCATAACTAAATTAATGTCATTGCTGAATTTATAAAATAAGTTTCCAAATGTGAAATAAAAAATAATCGAAAGTAATGAATTTGGGACGGAGGGGGGAGGGGACGGAGGGGGGAGCAATATGTATATAAGACATGATTAGAGATGTTTCGCGACTTTAAGTCCTTTTACTCCAAATGTCCCCATGTTTCAGTCTCCAGGGGTATATCATCCAGTTTCTTACTAAGTTAATGAGTTCATTTTTCAAATACAAGAATTCGTGTGAAGTTGTTTCACTTATTACTCCCCCCTCCGTCCCCTCCCCCCCCCCCCCTCCGTCCCATTTTAATTATTTTCGATTATTTTTTATTTTACGTATGGAAACTTATTTTATAAATTCAGCAATGACATTAATTTAGTTATGATAACATCACTTACAAGTATTTATTACAGGTCGTGTAGTCCATTGTTGCTTGATTTATAGCAAAAACTTTGACTTTTGCACGTTGGTTGTGTTGCGCCTTTTTTAATAGATCTTATATCTTAAAAGAGTATCGGTTGAAAAATATCCTAACATACCTAATACCTAACATATTTTATCATACCGTGCGCTTATTCAATTTGCAATTCAATCGTAAATTCTGTCTTGAAAAAATAATTTTACCAGATTTGTTGAATTTTCTAGCGGAAATTGCCTGCTCCCCCCCTCCGTCCCATTTTCACGATCACCGGGCGTGATCTATATCTAATAGAATATAATGTGTAATGAAGATTGATGGTGCTCACTGTGAGCTATTGTCCTGGTGAAATAGCTAAATTTGTATGCATCCGTTCTAGTCGATTGTTGTATATACCATAGGCGGCTAAGGGTTAAAGTAATAGTAAGCTGTATATAGAAGAGATATACAGCTTACTATTACTTAACCCTTAGCCTATGGTATATACTTAGAAGGATGATACAGTAGTGTTCTGCAATATTATATGCAAAAGTACTTCAAGGTCAAGTAATAATGCCTGAAACAACAAAAAGGGGCGGGTCTCATCATATTATCGCCCATCGATTATTTACCAAATTCCAAATCTTTTATAAGTAAGCAAATGTATCATTTCTACACCAGTGACACACTTGATTATGGCACGAATAGTTTCACAAAACTATATAATAGATACTGGTATCAAAAAATAACCTGAAATATCTATAATTACCTGTTATATTTGTTATATATCCAACAGAACAAAACATCGGATTCGATTTTTTTCTAACAAGTGTCAGCTTTTGCTATTTCTTCTTTCATAACAAAAAGTGACAGGAAAGATACCGAAATAAATCGATGTTTTGTGTTTCATGACGGTATTACACCATGAATGATCTCAACCAAGTTACTAAGGATGCTGAAAAGAAGTTTCCTGTAAGTATACTTTATCTTTTTGATATCTTTTGAGGCATATATGAACCCGTAAACTTCACAGATTTCCTTCAATTTATACCAAAATAGGGTGCTCTAAATAAATGACACCTGGATTTGCTGAACGTGAATTTCCAATCTTAAAAAGAGGGGAATTTTCAAGTGACCATACATTAGTAGTTGAGAGTATACAAAATTTAAAATATACAAAACTTAAGGATGTGTATCAATACATTATTGGAAACAGTATGGAGTCTCAATTCACCATGGTTTGGGAATGGTGCAGGTGATAGAAAATCAAGATGTCATTTATTAATGATGCGCACTTTACAGTACATCATGAAATGTGGATCATAGTAGATGATTAACAAAAGTCCATATTCAAGAAGAAGCATTATATACTCATACTAAAGTGCTCACCATAAATAAATGACACCTGGATTTTCTATCACCATTTCCAGACCATGGTGATTTGAGACTTCCTACTTTCTAATAATGTCTAGATACACATCCCTTAAGTTTTGTATATTTAACATTTTGTACACTCTCATCCACTGATGTATAGCCTTTTGAAAATTCTCTTCTTTTAACATGGGAAATCCTACTTCAGCGAATCCAGGTGTCATTTATTTATGGTGAGCACTGTAGGCTAAAATACAAATACATAGTATTCACAGTGGTATTGGTTAGCATCTTTGTACAGTCTCATCTCCATACAATTTTAACTCTGAACCAAAAATAAGCCTTTAACTTTAAGAGCATCTTTGTCTCCCATGTAAATTGTTTAAAGTACTAAATCTGTGTTGGGTCTATCAATTTAAACAAGTAAACATGTGTTGGGCTTGCTCCTTTAATTCCACTGGTGCTAAATATAAATTCCACCGAATGAGCATATTCAAAAGGAGAAAGGAAAGTATTGCAATAGATTTCGGACAGTCCAGGCCCGTAGCCAGGATTTGCCAAGGGGGTTCACTTTTTGAAAAATTCCAGGGGGGTTCACTTGTGACAATTTTAGTCTAAAACTGGCCAAAATCTGAATGGTGAAAAACTGCATGATTTTGAAAGATTTTTTGGCCAGTGGAGGGGTTCGCTCGAACCCATCGACCCCCCACCGTCCCCCCCCCTCCCCCCCCACCGTCCCCCCCCTCCCCCCTGGCTACGGGCCTGCAGTCATATGTTGTATTTTGGCTATTTTCTTAGGATTTAAACAGGTGCATATGTTAGGCCAATGCACTATCTCCAGGAAAAGCACTCATGGAGATGATAAAATAATTTTCGACTTTGAGACATGGAAGATGCAAACAACCCACTGAAATGTTGTCCTGATTTTCAACCTCTTCCACCCCTGCTTTTTTAATTTTTGTTGCATCAATATGTTACATTTTAAGACACAGTTAACCCCTTAAAAGGAAAAAGTGATTCCTTTTAGATAAAGTGGAAAACAATATTTCCCATGTTATTTTCCCATAGGGAAAATTCATGCGATCCTTTGCTTTCAGTTAATTTTGGTCACCCATAATGGAAATCTTTAAAACCTCTGGAGGAATCACTTATTCCCTTAAAGGGGTTAACTGAGTGTCAAAACGCAACATATTGATGCAACAAGGTACCTCATGTCCTTAAGCTAGGACATAATTTGACTAACTATGGATAGACTCATTTTTCACATTGCTTTTAGTTTAAATGGCCTGTGAGCAAACACTACATCAAAAAACGCATTATTTAAAATGATTTGTTTATGATTATGTTGTTATTATCCAGCATTATGGAGAATATGCAAGGTGCCAATCGAAAGCTCAGATGACAGGGGTTGTATCATTTGTTGTAGCTGGGGCAACAGCAGTTATTCTGCAAGAATTTGGAAACCAACATATAAAAACATTTTTCAAATCTCAATGGACCATCCCTCCAAAGGCTAGAATAGTAGCCCCCATGTTGTTTGGGGCTGCTGTGGCATATTATGTGACTATGAAACAATCAAAGAACTGTCAGTACATGTGGATGGCAATGGAAGGAAAACATACAGCTCTAAGTAATATAAATGGTAAGTTGGAACTACACTTTTACTCTATGCAGACAGAACTCGCTGAAAATGCTTTTTGTGGATATTAATATGTGCTCACAGTGCAGACTTAAAGGTCATTTTTAGATTTGTGATATTTTATATGCCCAATCTGTGTTAGGCATCACATGCGCATGATATCCCCACGAGCATTTTCTGCAAGCACAGTCTGCAGAGGGTCAGTCAGTTCTATAGTAAAGTAAACTTAAACTTTCGATCTTCAAGTATAGTACCTATGTTTCAAAGATTAGTTCAAGAAGGATATTTTGTCTCTTAACACCATAACACTAAGAATATTTTAGTGTTGTGATGGGTCCCATTGTTTTGGAAAAATATGAATTTATTAATTATTTTCAAAGAAATTAAAGGTTAACTTTGTAAATTACACATTGTATTTTCAGGGAATGGAATTGGAGAAAACAATAAGCAGTCTGTGTAATAACATTGTATATTACCCCAGAAGTGGTCAATCTAAACAAAAATGTTATTGAACAGCCCTCAACTCATCTCGAGGATTTATCAGCTCAAAATCATTCTATGTGTTCATCTTACAGAAGATGTCACACCAAGCAGTTAATAGCGTTATAATTTTAGAGCTAAAAAGCTATAGGAAAGAAGTGCTAAAGGCAATATGTTTTGTCAAGCTAAGTACAGTAAGAGGCCAGTAAATCAATCACTAAATAGTCAGCCTCAATACTTACTATGCTATGCATGTAAGAATGCATTTAACATTTGTGTTTACTTTATTAAGTTTAAATTGTAAATATAGTATAGTGTACATAATTTGTATGGAAATGTTGTTGACTAATTTTGGGTTATTTTTGGGGAAAACATATTTTCTATAAAAAAATTGAGGGTTAAGTAAGTTAGATCAATTCTGATACAGTATCTGATGGGAGGGGTACAACTTTCTCATTGTGTTGGTTATTATACATCTTCATTGCCCTTCAAAATCTCTATACATTACATAATGTTTAACATTTTCTCTTCTCAATATCATCTGTTTTATGTCACAACCATAAGTGGTGACACATTGTTATATGCTCCAACTTTTTGTGGATGGTGTTCGGCTGTTGGTGTTTGGAGGCCAATATCTGTTACAAGTGGCAGGTGGTGACATTTTTCATGTTAATGCCTTGTTTCATTATTGTAATTTTTTAAAAGGAATTATTGGCCTACAGAATGTAAACTTATGAATATGCATACATACTCGTGTACTAGTATGGTTTTCAATCTCATACCTTTGGAATCCAAGATACCATACATGTCTCACCGGAAAAGCCTGACAACGGTAAAGTTAGATACCGTTGTCACAAATGGCGGACATAACCGTCGCTTCAACTTATAATCACTTGGTTCTCATTTCATGGGATTTATCGTCGCTAATTCTGTGCATGTATTAAGCTCTTGTGATGGTGTATCATATGAAATCCCAATTTCGATCAAATTGGATCGTGAATCGCGATAATAGCGTTTTCGATATCGTCAATGACAACGGAATCTGAATTTGAAATAATTTACAAAGACAACGGCATCTGGTAACACAGTGTCCGTTGTCCAGTATCTCATTTTGATCGGTTAAATTGAAGACTTTGTATCGATGGTAGAACATTATTAACTGTACAATGAGTATAAAGACACTTTGATTGATTGTTGTTCCAAATGAATTTAGTCTAGGTGCTCTATTAAACATACAGTTCATGAAAATCTAATTGAAGCGACGGATATGTCCGCCATTTGTGACAACGGTATCTGACTTTACCGTTGTCGGGCTATTCCGGTGTGCATGTAGGTAGATGGTCGTGTGTTGTTTAGATTAATTATTAGTAACCAAACTAGTAACCAAACTTAAATTGGAGGAATTGAGTTTAAATTTTTAGGACACCTAAGATTTGAATGATAATATTTTGAAAAATGTTATACACATATGTAGTAAATGTTGGAGGCAATCTTGTCAAAAAGCAAATAGCATAAAGTTTCAAAGTAATTACGGCTACCTCTGCTAAAATTGAAATGTTAAGCTCCCTGACTGTGCATTGGATTGTTTAGATATTTTATTGTAGGTTTGAAATGAGATATTCTGAGAATTAAATCAGGAATTTGAAGTTAAAACACAAACATACTAATTAGATATCGCCTTTTATTTCCCTAAACGAATTCTATCCCGTGTGTTTTTCTAGTCGAAATAATATAAAAAGTATAGGCTTCAAACAAAAAATACAATTTGACGTATATACTGCTCCATTCCTTGTTGTTTGTGTTAAGTTTACATAAATGAGTGGATGTAGTATTTCTGTAGTTGATGTGTTTATTACACTGCCAAAAGCAGATTTGTGACTTCAGAAGTCTTACACACACTGACATATATCTATTTGTAAGACGTTGGTGTTCAGAACAATGTACATGTTAGTGTATATCGCATATATCTAACAGACGGACTAAACTATACTATCTTATTGTTTTCAACTGTCAAAAATTGATAAGTAAATAATTCTTTATGAGACCAATACCCGGGGATCAATATCTCTAAGTTTATTTGTTTATTTACTATATAGAAAGACATATTAAAATTTCAAAAGATTGTCATCGAGACTTTCAATCTAATATATACTAGCTATCATATGATCATATACTGAACGAAAATTGGATGATCCAGTCCCAGATCCAGTACAATTTTATGAGTATACTTTATCAGCTCATGTGACGAATAATTTTATAATGTCGTGATATAAGTTCTATTGAGAGACAAACCTTAGATGTAGGACTTGGAGACTTTAACTGCTGAAAAACAATTAGAGTCAAATATTTGTGTTTACACAAAGGGATCGAGGGTTGATGGATTGTTTCTTAATTACTGCAACTTGTAGTTTGACATACTGGTGTAGTTTGACCTGACAGCACTTAGCAAGTATCCTTTGCAAGACCTCGACTTCGTCTTCACTCTTTCAACAAGAGATAATTCTCGAATCACAACGACGAGTTTGCTGTAGATAAGTAGATAACGTTAATATTACACTACATCTCATAAATGATCACGAAAGATACATTTGAGATCGTCGAGGCTTGATTTGATTGAAACGGTAAATCTGCTGTTATGGTCAGAGGGTTTTGTCGTTAAACGAGTGGATCAGAGTAGCCGAGGACACTTACCAAACTCCCCACCTACATATTGAGGCTTTAAACATATGAAGATTTCATTTTAGAACAAAACCTGCAAGTCATTCACTGGGAGTATATGCTAATTAAGCGATGATATAAGTTAAAATCTGAAATGAAATAAACAAACAAAATCATCAAATTGCTATATTGGAATACTAGTAAATAAACAAATGAATAAATAAACAAGAAAAATAAGTTTATGCGGTGCTTTCGAAGCTGCAAAAATGTATTATTAACAGACTCCGGTATACATAAGAACTAATTTCTAGCAGCAACTGAGGAGTGTTCAAACCTTAGGCCCATAACTGATACGCAGGGATCTACTTCATTTGAAATCTAGTTTTGAGACTGAACAAGGATCAAGATGGGCACGGACGTGAAAGAAGGGATCAGTGGGATGGTGCAGTACGCAAAGAGCAACAGATACGCTCTGTATGTCCTCTTCATGTGTATGATGGCTTACCTGGTGAATCAGATGAACACGTACGTATACGCATTCAACTGGTACCATTGGAGGGGGGGGCAGGGGCACTTTTGGGCCTCATTTAAGAATGTTTTTTAAGTGCGAGAAGGGGAAACGCTGGAGTGGCAGGAGCAATTAGTCTCGAGAGCGAGAAAGGGTTTTCAAATTAACATTCCTCCAGATTCATACCCCTTCATACCGTTAGCTGGCAATATCATCGGCTCTAATCACTACCCCTTTGCAGCTATGATATCGAGCAAAATGACGATATGATAATGATATGGAGTTTGATGGTCAAGTGTAACGTTGAATCTGCCCTGCCAATGAATACTATCAAATCATTGTTTAATTTGGAATTCACCATAGGTAGACATGGTGTGTCCAATTCCAGCCAATCAGAACACGCTATTTCACGTAACTGCATTCTGTTATATAACCAATAACGCATTTGCTTCATGGATGTTAATGTGATAACTGCTTTGCCAACTTGCTATTTACAAAAAGTTTCATTGAAAATATATGTTCTTTTAGTGATTTTGGAGAAAATATTTTGCAATGTGCATTGTGCCGATTGTGGCTGCTCCATTCCACTCGGGTGTTGTTTCCTAAATAAAGATTTGGAAACAACACCTTAAATGGAATGATTCAGCATAAAGTGCATTGAGTCCAGGACTTGAATCCTTAAAAATATTATTTGCAAAGATTCTGCCCGATCCCATACTCAATATTGTCACTAAACTCTGGTAGTATTGGGTCAATGGCACTGGAGAAGATAAGGAAGGTTGTTACCGCTTTCAGAAGTTTGCGTTTAAACATTTAGTCAACTCTAGGCTACTTGCTCATTCAGAATTAGTTAATATTTTAAAAAATCATAAAAGTTTTTGAGTACTTTATAAATTGATGTTTAACCTAATATAAGCATTGTAATTATTGTTTCAAAGTCTAAATATAAGTGTCTCTCTAATACTGTCATTCTAGTCTTTTATTACTATTAGTTCCGATCAATCATTAGGAATGAATGATTGCAGCACGATTTATTTATGAAAAATAAATTGTAACAACCCAGGATGAAGAAAAGCAGTGCAACCACAGCACCAACAAATCATGCACACGGAAAAAGTTGTTTAAAGGGTGACGCATATCGTTTAGCAAATCGAACGCTCGTTTCTGGTGTTGCTCACCGTTTAGTATAAAAGGCCCGATCCCGGAATAATACTCAAGGGTTCACAGGTTCGAGATCGTTGTGTCAACACCTCTAACTGTTATATAGCATAAGTATATTATAGATCGTCACACATTTATAAAAGGGTGATTTTTATTTTGACAAATCAATTCCACATTTATGGATGAAGTTTCAGGATCTTCTATTTGTGTATAATAAGGAAAAATTGGCATCTAAATTTCCCCATAACGTAATAGCACATAGCTTGGCATATGAAATATCCTACAAATGAAACAAAGCAAGACAAACCGGTTTCTAATACAAGGATTTATATTGGCTGTTGTACATGTATTCTTTGAACGCAATCACTCGTTGGATAACGTTTTCAAAATCATTATAAACGGATTACTTTATCTCAAAGACAATTTCAATAAACTGGATTTTACAGAACTCCCCTTATTTCTTAAAAATGGACTGATCCAGTTGATTCGCCTGGAGCCGCCATATTGTTTTTATACGGGATGCTAATCGGAACCCTTTAAAGCAATTAAATGAACATCTATCTACAAGTTAATTAATTTATCCGGTTTTCTTGACCTTTGAACAAGTTCACAATTCTGCCATTTAAACTAGATAGTAATTTTTGATCCCATTACATATACCACGGTTGCTAACCTTGGCAGCCTGATATTGTCTGAAGTTGGTCTTTAAAGCTTAGACTAAAAACATACCTAGATGGTCTAGATGTATGTAAGTCTCAGGTCTTTAGTCTTGTTTCTCGAGCTCTACCCAAACAATACCCAAAGTAGAACTCAATGTTTAACAACACTTGAGGTAATATCACTTTGATAAATTTATATTTTTAGATTATGCTTAAGATGTAGAGTTTTAACATCAATTAACAATAACAGATAGGCCTGTTCTGACAACTTACATATAAATTGTACTATGCTACTTTACATAACCTACTTTTTCAAACGAGCGATGTCATTTGAATACAACACGTGCATTGACGTCATTAAACGTAATTATTCAGGTATTTTAGAGTAGAAGTATAAGTTTCAGGATTTGTTTTAGTATTCAAGCTTCAAAAATCTACTTTGAATTTTACATCTTTCAGACGTCTACACGAATATTTCAACCAACACTAAATGCTAAATGTTGATCCATTGAAAAAGCGCATTATTTTCATGGTTTTTGATAAAGTTAAAAAGTTTAATATCGATGAATTTAGCTGTTGACACTTTCCCTTGTTACCCTCTTCCCTCCAGGGGAAGACCTGCCCAAATAAACACATCAAATAATTTGAACGACGGTTTTAGGTTCAAGTGAGATCGCGCAGCCGGGGTTCGCGCATTATACCGAAACCCATTATACCGACGCGCATTGTACCGAAAGGCGTTTTACCGAATGCCATAATCGCTGTTCCACAACTAGTTACTTTGACGGAACGTCAATGTAACAAAATGGATGAGCTTCCAGGTTACGAATTTTTTGCTTTCTTGATTTAAACCTACTAATAAGTCAAGTTACAGATTATAATTTGGCCCAAAGCTAGAAAATATAGTCTAATTTGTTTTGTATTTGTTAGTCTTTAGTGGTTAAAAATGCAGATCTCAAATCTCATTAAAACGAGACCTTAACGAGATTTCAAAGCAATATGGAAAAGCCACTATTAGATAGATGCCTTCACTAGGCTATTCTCTGTACTTGTGTCCGTGCCTCATTTTGAGTAGCGAGTGTAAATTCTTTTCGAAAACATGATTATGTTTTCCCTGTAATATGAATTGGAGATATCTGACAAAATATAGATAGCCTAAAATATGAATTTTGTCTTTTTGAACATGCGGAAATATCTTGAACACTTTGAAACTGAATTACAGTTCCTTAATAGCCCTTAACAGGTCGTTCAGTTTTCTTGTTTTTGTTCTACACAACACTTGTGTTTAATAGCCACGCGTAATTATTAATAAGCGTAATTCCTTGACGTATCTACACAAACCTATTAACTTACCGTTATAGTGAGCGATAATTGTTTTCACTCATCGGCTTTAGTGGCCCGCGATACCTTTTATGTCATTCATTTGAGACGCAATTGATATATTGGCAACAAATCAAATGTTCTAAATGATTCTTCTTCATTTCGGAATGTTTCTCCTACCCGATATTCTAAGATGTGTCTATACTTTACATTGATCACGATTCTTGTACTTTCTGTCTTTACGACTCCCGTTCACATTTGCAAGAGTTGTTGATTGCATTGCCTTGATCGTTGGTCGAACTTCGATTCCAACTAAATCAGATTAATCAATTAAGAAATGTAATATCATGTTTATCCAAGCAAATGATTGTAACAACTACATTATTTTTTAGCAGTTTTAACACCTAAGCAGGGTAGCCTAGTGGCGTAGACTGAGGCTACTTTGCGGTTGAACGTCGTGGGATACGGAGGTCCCGCGTTCGAGCCCCAGGTACGGAGTTGTTGATCATTGTCACTACGGACACTCGGTCCGAAGGTCCAACCGTTTACCCGCCCTTGGCATGGGTTGGTTCTCTGGCCGCTCTTGCCGGAGACAGATTGTGAGACTGTGGTTGGTTCCTCCACTAACGTGCTTTAGTAAACTCCGGGAGTCATATAGTATGGTAGCGGGCCCCCACCAAGGGCAGTAGTGGAACGACGCGAATCGATCCCAGTATGGTTGCCTTGCAACTGAAGAGACTCGAGGAAATCATGCCATTCGCAGTGACCCAGAAAAGACTTTTGCTTCTTAATTTGACGTTTTAATTCATTTATTTACGTACTTTATTCATATTACTTTCCAGGCAGTTATGATTTTTTATTGGTCAAATGAATGAACGAGACATATAGATACTATTAAATACATCTAGATGGTATCAAAACCATATTTCGATTTGTCGGACATATATAAAATAACACTTGAAAACAAAACACACATAGCTGCAATATCCGTAGCATTTGGCACAATCGGTTCCCACGCTTTATCATTTTTGTGTCATAAGGAGGTACGGTTGATTGGACCATGGGCTTTCAACATAGTCAAGAAATTGGCATGGATACTTTGAGAAATGACGTAGCAACAAAACGAAACACCGGAAATAATCCAGAAATGTCCACATCATTGTTTTCGTTAGTTATGGCAAGGCCCCGGAGGAAAAACAGCATTCGTGGGTAGCTTAATTTTTGTACCAATTAGAGCCATGACTTAAACTCAACCAAGAACGGTGGAGCAAAGTCACTATGCGTCCCAATTGAGAATCAATTCAAATCAAAATCAGATTGAGAATCAGATGACCTGCTAAGTCAAGTATTAATTTGCCCCTAAATAGATATTAAAGGGGCGCTGAATATTGGACTTAGTAAATTAGCACCATTTTAAACTGCCAATTAAAACAAGTATTCAATGTTTCAAAATAATGAAACTGAAATATTGGAAATAATTGATATTTCGTTTGTGGAATGAAAACTGATGATAGAGATAATATCAGTAGCCAAAAACTACATAAGCAATTTAAACATGGAAATGATGCCAATTTAGAAGTATTATATGGAAAGAAATGTTTGTGAAATGAGAAAAAGAAATAACTTCAGAATTAATGGGATCATTGAGGCACACATTGATAAAAATCACACTTGGATTTGAAAAGATTTAAAGTAAAACAAATGAATGCGTTTGTTACTATCTCCATGACAACATATCTTGCTCTCTCTCCATGACAACAATATTTGGCCCTATCAGCACAAGATCGAAAATACAGTTATTATCAAGTTCAATAAGAAATGTGAAACTTTATATTTAATAGCACAATTATTTATTTCTACCAATGAAACAATACAGTAAAAATAAATGTTTTCTTCATTGAATACAGAATTCACCACGGTTAGATATATTTTATGAAGTACATGGTTTGCCATCATCAAACATAAATAATAGAATTGTGACTTTATCCTCTATGAAATACAGAAATTGATGGTTAACTGGAATTCAGTTTGTTGAGATGACCCCTCAATCCGAAACGCTTAGCATCAGTTAAAAAATTTCTGGCCGCAACTGAGATGTAAAGATGTTCAAAATAAATTAAGCTTTATCTGAAAATATGTTTTTGCGCGATAAACTTTTAATTGAATATGAATATATAAACATCAGATTGACATCCAGTCTCATATTAAAAAGTTTAAAGTAAAAATATATTGTGGAAGTAAATAAAAATGAATTTTTGATTTTCAAGACTTGTCTGTTCAATGAAAAAATCATGTATAATTTGAAACAAGGTGTATGATAAAGTAATATATAAACTATCTATTTTATATGCTGGTACAGTAGAATTTATCTTGGCTTTTCAACATAGCACCATAGTTGACTTTTCAGGCTCCACTTTTATTATTCTATGCCTATATAATGTTACTGTGCACTGCCATACATATACATAATCATGTGTCTACATGACGTTTTGAAAGAGTATAGAGCTAGATTCAAAGCACCGTTCTTGCGAGTTTCAAATGAAAATATTGAAAATGCATGTATTGAGGACTGCAACTTTTTATGTCTACACTGACAAAAACTTGAAATTCCCGCTGTAAAGATATAGTGCACGTTATAAAACTGATGGGTTAAGGCAATGTGCCGTCCCACTGGCACGGATTTCGGTACAACGCGCATCGGTAGGCCTTTTCTACGGAAAGCTACGGAAAGCGAAAGGGGATATACCGCAGAATTTAAAATTCAATGGAGTTTTAACATGGGAGTGATATCACACACCGCGGCCCAGTCAGATATATTTCTGCGCACTTTATTTATTTAATTCACTTTGCACAACGCGCCCCTTGTAATTCATTCAGTGCGCAATTAAAAATTGTTTATGAGTGATATCGCACACCGCGGCCCAGTAAGATCGATTTCTGCGCACTTTATTTATTAACTACGGAAAGCTATAGGGGACATGCGCATAATTCAAAATCGAATGGAGTTTTAACATGGGAGTGATATCACACACCGCGGCCCAGTCAGATAGATTTCATCGCGCACTGAATGAATTACAGGGGCCGCGTTGTGCAAAGTTAATTAAAATAAAGTGCGCAGAAATTCCGGCATTCAGTGCGCGATGAAAAAATGATTATCTGTGAATAAATAACGAATAAAAATTCGTGGCACCACGAATTTGATTTTTTTCGAAAGACTGCGGAGTGAACCAGCGAAATGACAATTTTGGATAATATTGATGGCTCTAACGAGGAGAACTTTGAAATTTCCCGATTCTACCGCGCAGCACATCCAGGACCATGATGCGCACTTTTATCAGATTCGATTCTAATATGGTGTCAAAGATAATGTTCATTAAAAGAGGGCGTATGCATACAGATTACACACGGCGTTATGTTGAAGTGACCCTTGCAAAGGGTTCCATTGAAAATATATTATTTTGGACCATTTCATATCTTTTAATTGATATTGTATAAAATATTTTCAATGTTTGAAAATTATAATCTTATAAATAACATTTTATGTAATAAAACTGTAACGAAATGGTAAATACGGAATATGATGCAATACAATGCAGTGCAATATGATGTTATACAATGCAGTGCAATATGATGCAATACAATGTGGTGCAATATGATGTAATACAATGCGGTGCAATATGATGCAATACAATGCTGAGCAATATGATGCAATACAATGCAGTGCAATATGATGCAATACAATGTAGTGTAATATGATGCAATACAAAGCAGTGTTATATGATGCAAAAAATGCAGTGCAATATGATACAATACAATGTAGTGCAATATAATACAATAAAATGCAGTGCAATACGATGCAATACAATACAGTGCAATATAATGCAATACAATGCAGTGCAATGCAATACAGTGCAAAACAATGCCGTGCAAAACAATGCCGTGCAGTGCAATACAATGTAGTTCATTTCAATACAATGCAGTGCAATACAATGTGGTACAGTGCAATACAATGCAGTGCAATACAATACATCGCAGTTCAATACAGTGCAATACAATGTAGTGCAATGCAGTGCAATAAAATACAATACAGTGCAATTCAATACAATGCAATACAACACAGTGCAATACAATACAATGCTGTGCAATAAAATACATTACACTGCAATAAAATACAATGCAGTGTAATAAAATGCAGTGTAATTCAAGACAATGCAATACAATACTGTGCAATACAATACAGTGCAATATAATACAATGCAGTGTAATTCAAGACAATGCAATACAATACTGTGCAATACAATACAGTGCAATATAATACAATGCAGTGCACTGCAATGCAATACAATATGGTGCAGTGCAATATATTGCAGTGCAATTCAAAACAATGCAGTGTAATACAATGCAGTGCAACACAATGTGGTACAGTGCAATACATTATAATACAGTGCAATACAATACAATGCAGCGCAATACAATGTAGTACACTGCAGTACAATACAATGCAGTGCAATAAAGTACAATGCAGTGCAATATAATATAATACAGTGCAATACAGTACAATATAATGCAATATAATACAATGCAGTGCAATACAATACAATGCAGTGCAATACAATAAAATGCAGTACAATACAATGCAGTGCAATTAAGTACAATGCAGTGCAATATAATATAATACGGTGCAATGCAGTACAATATAATGCAATATAATACAATGCAGTGCAATACAATACAATGCAGTGCAATGCAATAAAATGCAGTACAATACAATACAATGATGTGCTATACAATACAATACAATGCAATGAAATGCAATTCAATGCTATGAATGTACACCTTCTACAGTCAAATAAACACAGATAAAATTGTAATAGTATGTTAGTGTATGGAGTTTGAAGTGGGTGGGGGATACAATTACCAGTCTGCTGATTGATGACTTAATAACTTAGAAAAGATCTCCTAGCTTTTAACAGGTGGCACTTATGTCTACCTTATGTTCTTGAACAATCTCGTCTAAGAATACAGACCCGTATCCTGGATTAACCTGGGGGAGTGGTTTTACCAAGGGGGAGATTTTGCCAAGAGGGGGGAGCTTTTTGACAGTTATGGCAAAAAAATCATGCGAAAAGTGCTAAGAATGGTGAAAAACTGCATGATTTTGAACGAATATTTGGCAAGGGGGAGGGGGGTGAGGCCCCCTGGCTACGGCCATGGAATACATATAGGAACTTTCCTTCTCCCAGAAGAAATGGTATACAGGTATTATACATCAATCATTCTGGTATTTTGTATACGAAGGTCTGTAGTTACTTTATTGAAAGATGGCAGTGTACACTGTGTACTACCATTTTGAGGTTAGTTTGACTTTATAATTCTGCGCACTATAATCTGTAATTCTCATAGATATCCTCTCTAGAGGCATCACTGTGATCCAAAATTACAATTTCGCAGGTCAAGTCTGCAGTCTTTCGAAAAAAGTTGAATTCGTTGTGCTACCCTTTCTTGTTGGGCATTTATTAACAGAAAACTATAATTACATCGCGCCAGCATATACAAGCTTCAGCGCGATATTTTGAGTGTGTTAATAAATAAAGTGCGCAGAAATCGATCTTACTGGGCCGCGGTGTGCGATATCACTCATAAACAATTTTTAATTGCGCACTGAATGAATTACAGGGGGCGCGTTGTGCAAAGTGAATTAAATAAATAAAGTGCGCAGAAATATATCTGACTGGGCCGCGGTGTGTGATATCACTCCCATGTTAAAACTCCATTGAATTTTAAATTCTGATGTATATCCCCTTTCGCTTTCCGTACTTTTCGGCACAATGCGCGTCGGTATAATGGGTTTCGGTATAATGCGCGTCGATATAATGGGTTTCGGTATAATACGCGTCGGCATAATGAGGTGATCCCGCGCAGCCTCGTATCAGTTTCATTCTAGAATGCATGACAAAGATGGTCTGAAATTGATGTTGACATGTTATGCCATCTTCTTCCCGTCGTCGGTCTAACAATCTGCTATTATTTGCATCTGCAGCACTGTCGAAGGCTGAGTCTGGACACATTGTGTTTATAGGAAGAACAAAATGTCGTTTCATTTACACATTTGGACAGCTTAAATGGTGTACATATAGTCTAGCTACAAGGCCTTGTGAGCCATCCCCACGCACCCCCAACTTGTGTTGGTGAAGTCTAGATAAAAAGGGGGTCCATAATCTTGAGGCAAGCCTAATCAGAGACATATAAATTGTTTATATGTCTCTCGGCTTAAGTAAGTAGCGCCTTCCACCTTCCAAAAGTTGGAGCCCTAACAGAAGCCTTGTCAGTGGATAGCAAGAACAGACCAGTCCACTGACTTGTATTATAGCAGCAAATGTGTTTCAGGTTTGTCGTGGTGGCTACAAACACGTCCATGGCGCAGGAACTGCAGTACGGTGACAGGGTGTGTAACGCCACAAATGCTACAGCAACAGCTATACTGATAGCTGAAAGTCATCCCAATGTAACTGCCAATATATACTGTCAGCAAAACAACAACTTGTGAGTATTATGGAATAGAAGAATGTTATATCAAAAGTGGGATTATACAGTATATAGTATGAGTTTCATTCTTAGAAAATTGTGTTTCTCAAACGTAAATGAACGGTATTTCTTATGGTTTTCTATGCGATCATTGAATGCAACCAAAACAACAATTGACTACAATGGTAGATATACTTTTCTATTCTAGTAGACAAATAAACAAATCATATTGTTATGAGCATTTGAAAATAAATTGTTGTTAGTAGAAGCTAACGAAGTTTCACAATGTTACAGATGTGACCGCAACACAACGGTTTGTCAATGGAAGTACCTTGGTACTGGGATCTTGTACCAGTTACTGGCAGGCCCACTTTACATTGTCTTGTACGCAGTCAGTGGAATACCTCTCGGTACGTATACATAGCATTACATCGAACATTGACATCCATGCGGTCCATTGTCTCAAGCTATTTTGGTCACCAATTACCCATACACGATCGTTTGCCATACAACTATAATTTCAATTGCAGTTTTTATTGATTTACGCATTCCCTTTAAAAGGTATGATATCTGAGTTGAACAACATCAACAGAAAGCTGATTCTAGCTATATGTGTTATACTATGGTCGGTGATGACACTCCTTAGCGGTTTTTCACAAGCCTACTGGCACGTCGCTGTATGTAGGCTGGCCCTTGGAATATTGTAAGTATGTTCAGAAGGTCGCGAGTAAATCTCAGGCACGACATGGAAATCTGAAATTATAGAGGGCGCATTTTCATTTTACACACGGCGAAATGAAACAAAGATTTCCCGGGAAATTTTGGACAATACTAGTATATTAATAGTCTATTGTACATTGTACAACCACATTTGATCAGCACGATCACAAATCACATAGGGACCAATTAATATGATCTAAAACAATCAACCACGTACTGACCGAGCTTAGTAAAGAAAAATATCAAGGATCAAGGTAAATCACTTGTGATCAGGAACAATCACCTAAACCAGGGACAATCAACTAAGATTAGAACAATTGAGTACAATCACAGTATCAAAACAAAATATTAAGAATCACAACCAAACAATTGCCCAGAAGAGTCAAGAAAAATTTAAAGTAATAAAAACAATCACTTAAGATCAATAACAATCACCTAGGATCAAGATTAATCACTTAGAATTAAGAACACCAAGGGCTCACAAGAAATTTTTGGATCGGGAAAAATCACTTAGTGTGCTGTTAATGGGTTCAATAATGTAACTTAAAAGTCCAATATAAGATGATATAATGCATTTTTATTTGAGACATAAATACTATAACTTGACAGACATCTAGCAGCCCCTCGGCTATTGGCTAAAACACATCACGTTGTACAAAAGTAGGTCGAATTTGTGTAGTCCCGCCATATTTAGACAGACTTCCGGTACAAGTGCACTTGGATTTGCGCCCTCTATAATTTCAGATTTCCATGTCGTGCCTGAGATTTACTCGCGACCATGTTCAGAACCACATGTTTTTTCCCTACAATTATTTTGCGTTATATATAGCATATGACCTGCTGACCACTTATTTGTCAACGGAAGAGCGACAGAGAATTTGTACAGGCAGCGTTAAGAATATGAGTCTATACTTGCATATAAAATCGAAACGCCAGCATAAACGTATAACTAATCGCCCATACAAATGCATCGCTTAAATATTTTCCGTTCACGTCCGTTCACGTTTAGGTTGTAAAAAGCATTGCAAGCTTTAACTCATTATTTAGAGCAAACGTCGATAAGCATTTTTGTTTAGTGTTATCCCGGGAGTGTTATTTACGGTGACAGGTCATCTCAACCCCAAGTCATCTCAACCCAGTCCAACTCAACCCCAAGTCAACTCAACCCCAAGTCAAGTCAACCCCAGTAAAACTCAACCCTAAGTCAACTCAACCCTGTAAAACTCAACCCCAGTAAAACTCAACCCTATTCATTTGTGCAATGTCTAATTTAATTTTTTTATGATGAATAATTTAAGTCATTCATTTCTGAAAATCTAGCATTTTGCATGATACTTTGAATAGAAAGTTGTAAAAGTATTCCAAAAAACGGTTAAGCTCAAGGATAATTCATCAAGTTGTCACTATTATTTAATTTAAGACATCTTTTGAAATCAAATTTTAGATAATTTAGAAATAATTAACAATGTAATATAACTTTTTTTATTTATATGATAATTTAGAAATAATTAACAATGTAATATAACTTTTTATTTATATGAACATACATTAACAAAATCATTAACATTTACTAATTAATAGACTGAAAGCATAATAGGCGTAGCCAGGAAGGTGCATCATTTCTTGTCAAAACATATCTTTTTATGGCTAGAATATGCCACGATCGGCACCCCTGACTGAAAACCTGATTTTTTGGGCGATCGCATCCCTCCTGACTGAAAGCTGGCTATGCTCCTGGAAAGTGACCCATATTTTAATCTTATTAGTACCATGTTGAGATTATTAACTTTAATCTAAAAAGGCAGTGGTCTAAGAATGAAAATCACAAACTGAATAATCAAAATTATTTTTATGAAATAAACTTTCTTATAAGTTTATCAATTATAGAAATATAGGGGTTGAGTTTTACTGGGGTTGAGTTTTACAGGGTTGAGTTGACTTAGGGTTGAGTTTTACTGGGGTTGACTTGACTTGGGGTTGAGTTGGACTGGGTTGAGTTGACTTGGGGTTGAGATGACCAGGAAGCTTATTTACTACATTTGATGTTAGTTTTAAATTTATGCAATATTAAACCTATTGGTTTCAGTGGGGCAGGCTGTGTGCCTTTTGCCGCTTCCATAATCGCTGGATACTTTGAACAGGTATATTTTACAATATTAGGTATATTCTTATATGTGTTGGGGGGGGGGGGGCATTGGACATTGTTTCTTTGTATGTTAATTATCGTTTTGGGATGTTGGGGGTTTGTTTGTTTAATTTCTCTATATATGTATGTTTGTTTTCATTATTGTAAATATTCTTACTGATTTCTAAAACCTTTTAGTCTCCCCCTCTGGCAGTTGTTCTGTAAAAAATATATTTTGTAGCACACATTAAATCGCACATTCTTCAAGTGTATTTGCTTCTATTTGCAGTCAAAACGTGGTGCCGCTTTAGGATTCTTCAACTGGGGTATCTATGTTGGGTACAGCATCTCATTTCTCATGTTGATCGCTGAGAGGAATCTTGGCTGGCGGGCTGTCTATTTCATCGCAGGAGCCCCTGGTTTGGCTGTTGGGATTATCATTTTGATAACCGTAAAGGACCCCGAAAAGGAAGACGATGCTGATTCGGAGGTGAGTTGTTTGTCAGTATAATCGTTTATGTATTACTCTACTATACCTAACTCCTAAAAATGCATAAGATACTCTGTTTGTCCAATTGTATTGTTTAGTATATTTTTGAAAGTACCTTATTAACATCTATCGTCATCCGATAAACCATTAATAAGGAACAGACAAATAAAAACAAATAACATAATCTTTACTAATAAGCCAAAATGGTTGCTCATGAACATCAAATGCAAGGTAAAGTAGAGTGTGTATGTACAGGAGATTCATTCAATATGAGCCTTGAGGAGATGAACCAGTTGAAATGACTCCCATTAGACGTACAACAGTTTTCAATCTCAAATGGGAAAATATTTTACACTCCCCTCCTAAAGTATGGCAACCACTTTCGAACTAGTGAAAAGCCTACAGTATTTATGATTGACAAAGCTAATAAAACTAACAGTCATGAATTTCCTACCTAATGTAACATGATCTTTGAAGTCGAGAATTTCAAACGTGAACACATTTAACACGATATCTAACTTAAACTTTGGCCAGGGAGACTTATGGAGGAGCTTTGTGTTACTCACTGAATATAATTTCAAAAAATTACTACATTTTTGTGTTATTACTACTCAATTCAATATGCCAACATAATTTCAAAGCTCTTGATCAAGGTGGGTGGAATTCCCCTCATTAATAAAAACGATCATGATGAATTTCTTTTTCTATTAAGGCTGCGTTGTCTAAGATAAAGAACACAGCAGGTAAACTGAAGAGAGCATGTCTCGTCTTCCTGAACCCAATCCTCTTGATCCTGTGCCTAGGGGGCGCCATCAGGAACGGGGCTGGTATAGTGTGGGCGTACAACATCAACAATTTCTTTAGGTTCTACCATCCTGGTACGAGAGTAAGTATATACTGTCTCCTTTGCGAAATAAATAAATCTATCTCTTAAAAAATCGCAAGCTGCAGTTGCTCAACCATGTTGGTTATATATGTGACATAAAAAAATTTGTCATACTCAAACTTATTGATCTTGGTCATTGAGTTGTGAAATAGCCTATAAGCCCAGGATAGAATAATATTCGATGCTGTCATGATTTGTGTTTAATGTTGCCCTTTTGGGTTTTCTCATGAGAATTAGTTTTAATAGTTTTTTTTTTAGTTTTTTTTTATAATTTTTTTTATTTCAAAGAATAAGCATGTTAAAGCAATTGCAAAAAACAATTACAGTACAGTTACATGGTAAACCTACATTTAACAATTTTACAATACAGTACAGTGGTTAAATATTTAAGTGGCCACGATAGAACGTACATGTATGATGTTCTTTTGTAGGTCGAGGCTTGGATGTCGTGGATTCCGCTAACATTCGGATCTGCGGGGTCATTCCTTGGTGGAGTTATTTCCGATAAGTTTGCCAGGACGAGAGGACCAGTTGGCCGGCTTATTGTGCTCATAGGATCACTGGTAATGCTTCAGTCACATTTGATCTACGGCAACCGTACTGCGGCCGTAGCTTCCCAAAATCGAGATAAATATGCAGCATAAAGTAAAGGGATGAACAGCACTATGTTGATTTTCTATATCGATTTTGTGAAGCTTAAGCTACGACCACCGTAGAGCAAATGAGACTGAGGCTTAAGTCACTATAAAGGAACCTTAGGGACTAGTGTCAAGCTCTATGTAATGTTCAGCAGTTTGCACTATTGCATTACTTTAAGATTGACTGAGTATGGGTAATCTTGCATATGTAGGATTGCGTCCTGGAACCATGTAAAACATTACCCCACCTTAACATTTATCTTTACAAACCCTTCATTGTTTCAGTTGATTTCTGCTCCATTCCAAGTGGGTACTCTATTCCTGCCGATGCCATGGGCCTTCATAAGCCACATCCCGGCCTATCTGATTGGGGAGATGTGGATAGGGGTCTGCCTAGCTGTTGTAGTCGACTTGGTGCCAGAGGACCTCCGTGCCTCTTCTGTTGCCGTATACATTTTCATTATACAGATGATTGGGGGCAATATGAACTTAATGGTTACCCCTCTGAGACAGGTGCTAGACCTGCGTTACGCACTACTAATTGGATTCCCTGGGAGTTACGTTTTAGGGGCCCTGATTTTCATCTTGACTGCATTTTTGTTGAAGAAGTATCGCCCCCATATCCAAGATGATATAGACCATGCAGAGATAGTGGTGCCACCTATAAGTGAGATTCCCGAAAAGGAAAATCTAGCGTATAACAAGGACAGTGGAAATGGTTATGCAACAGTGACTGATATAGACACGGGTATCATGCCAATAGAACGTGACAATCAAGCAAGTCCAACAAAGAAACGTTATATTGATCCAAGTACTTTATAGTGAAAAAATCGAATGTATATATTCTAGACTTCTTTGGATACTAATCATTCCATATAGATGCTTCAGCCCCTAAAGCAAATTGTTAGATCACATTCCAAGAGCAAACTTTTAGAATATATTGGCATCATATCATGAATTTTCAACATTTTCAAAAATATTTTGGCATCGTGATTTCAAGACCCATGAGTTACATCAGAATAATTTTTGTAATGAGTAAAATATTACAGTTTTGACATCATGATTTCAGAAACAAATATTTACATGTTTTTAAGAAAAAATATTTCCGGGGCTATATCTTGAAAGCCCATAATTATTTGCTCATTTCAAGGACAATTTTTTGGCATCATGATCTAACATGTCTAGTTAGTTTTGGGATTTAAAGGAAAATTTTGTAAGAATTAGAGAGGAGTGGCAAAATTATTGAAATGATTATAAGCATGGCTAGGTTTAGACGCATATTATACCATCCGACTAAAGCATGTACAAACAAGTATTTATACTCCGCATTTTTGTATCACAAAGAGTCACCATGAACATTTTATGAAGCAGTTATTAATAAGCAACTATGTTCAAATATTTATTTTTCATATATTGTTTACATCATAATCGTGGTATGGGAGTACATACGTGTATATTAGTTTGACTTTATATTCACCCATGGACTGACTGATGATCCTCAAAATGGCACGAATAAGGTTAGCCTATATATTTTCAACCTAGAAGATAGACACTAGGCTAAATCAAAAATCTGGAAACGTGTTTTTGAAACTCAGTATAACAGTAAAAGGCTTTTGGTGAATATCAGGAAAAATTTAGTGGCACACCATTATCTGTTTCATTATTTTGGGATTGCAAAATGAAGTTTTATAGTAAAAATAAGTATGCTGTGCTATGATGATAAAATGGCACTATTTCTATTGAAATATGATTTTTTACAAACTCTGGATCTAATACTAGTACACATCTTTGTAAGGTTCATGTATGCCACACATTTTACTTTACTGATTCACATCTGTATCTTTCAAGGTCTAAATTGATATCATATCACTATCCATGTTTTTTATATAAAACATCATTATCTATTCATATCTTTGCTTAGCTTTTTGCAATATATTCTATTCTATTGCCAACATACCTCTGTACATTGCATAGTAGTCATCTAATTCATATAAGATAAAGTTTCAGTTCTACATAAGTCATAAATGCATAGTGGTTTCTTAAATATAACCAGGTCTGTACCATAGGTTTCAGAACTAAATATATATTTCTATCTATCATTGAAATTTATTAAAGCGGTATTCCAACTAAAGTCAGATTTTTATGAAATGAAATTTAAAGGGGTGATGCATTCAAAATGGCTCAAACATTAAGAAGTCAATATTTTACAAAATAAAATTTTAAGAAGTGATATACTATCTTTAAATGAAAAAAAATCAATAAATGGTCCATATCAGAATAAATATTTGGACATATCTTTCCTTTAAAAATAATACTTCATATTAGTGCTTGTCTGTACCTCTGTGTAGCAGACCTGGTTTACTCATGTTTAGTTTATATATTATAGCTACACATAAATGGCAGTGTATTATATAAACATATATCCAAAATATACGGACATGACATTGTATCACAGAAGTACTATATATATATAGCAGATATAATATATTATAGCACATACATAGAAAATAGCACCATTAGAATAGGGAGACATCTAAAGGAACAAACGCAGGCATCAAAAGCCATTGAACCCAATGTAAAAAAAATTAAATCTTTTTGATATTCATTCCAATGATATCTCCCCCTGTATTTGCCCAAATAAGGGCGACTCAATGCGTTTGATCAACTAACTGCTCCACGCTCCACGTACCCTATTCGCCATAACACAATGTAGGGCACCAATAGTGTCTTAAATGCATATCAATGTGGAATTGTTTCTTAAATGCATGGATGTATGGAGAAAACTATATTTAAACAATGATATGGTCCACGAGAGGTAAAATCTCTAAGTACTGTCTATCTGAGCGACTGATTTTTTGCTGTGATGATCAGACACAATGAGTCATATATACACATAACCCGCCTGTTCTCTAGGTATCACCTAAAGGGGGCTTTGATGTTTTATTTGCTTGAGAAGCAGACTGGCCCCAGTTCAAAGCCAAACTGCTGCCATGGCTGGCCATAGTCTTTTGGCATAAAGTCCACCACAGGTAGCCTGGTAAGCTTCTTTGTAGAGAGCTCGAATGTTGTGTAGCTGTTGGACTTGCGACTCTGAATTGAAACACACACAGAAAAAATTATTCGAGACATCCAAGATTAATAATTGTTCAAAATTCTTTATTTTTGTGTTATTTTTTATTTTTTACTTCATTTTATTTATGTCTTGTTTTACTCCAGAAGTCATAATAGTTCAGAAAAGCTTTTTAAAGGATTTTTGGTGGATTAGCTATTTCTACACAACCCACTTAAGAGAATGAAGAAAAATACAATCTTACCTGGCATCCATCAAACACCACATCTCTGTTTTTAAACTTTTTAAATTCAAAATCATTTTCTCCCATAATGATGATACTATGTTTGTTGGATTTGCTACTTGAGTCATGGTAGGCGACTGAGTTGGTGCAGAAATAGGTGAACTTCTGGTGAGCCCCGTTACTCATCATACGGATGAATGCCATCTGGATTGCTGTGGTGTATTCCACCTTAAAATACATGTAAATGTAGCCATGATAGAAAAGCTGTATCACAAATAGACATTAAAATGCAGATTTCAGGTTAAAATTTGAAAGTTAAAAACATTCTGAGATTCATTCATCAGGTTAGGGCAATCGAAAATCATTTGTTATTATGATAATATCTTATTTGTTAAAGCTAGATTGATTTTCAAAGCGTAGTTCTTACCTTAAATCCTCCATAGAAATCACTAAACCATTTGTTAGCCTTGGACTCATCTTTAGGCCAGTATCTGGGTACCATCTGAAGAATGAGACACAAAATGAAATGAAACACAATTGTGTTGCAGTAAAGGCAAGCCAGATCGTATAAACTTTTGTGATATAATCTCACAAAAATATTCTCTGCTACCCAATCACTAATCCTAAATTAGAAGTAATTATCATAAACTGTTTTTACTTGAGACCTAATAGAATAGAAGATGAGGATTTTAGACATACCATTCTAGATTTGTAGTTGGGATAAATACAGGTCTCTCCCTGAGATGTGAGGTTGCACCACACCTGTATAGCATCATTTGGGGCTCCAAGATTAGGGTCAATCCAATACCAGCCTAATGAAGTAACATAATACAGTAAAACCTGTTAAGTGGAACACCTCTTTAAGTGGAACACTTTTCAAAGTTTAGTTAAATATTAACGTCATGTAATTAACCTGTTTTATTTTTCACTGTAGATTATAAATGAATGTAAAATTATTGTATCTGGAGCTCCAAAGTTATAAAGACATATCCGAGTACTATAATATGTTATCAGTTAAATTATCATAAAAACTCAAATGTGGCTACACCGTTGATTCATTTACAGAAAGTATATACGTATAGCATTTAATGTAATAAAATTCTTTACCATCTTTGTATTTTGGATAGGCAAGATAGATGTCTTTGCAAGTTCTGGCTGGCATCTCTCTGGTTCCTGGAGGATACCTGTAACAAAAATATTCACCATAAAGACTAAATTCTGTACTCGTACTACATACCAAAAGTTGTTTTCCAATAGTTTTTGTAAAGAAAATAAGATGAAAAGATATATTGTGGATTGTGATCTACTTTACAAAGTAAGCGACCTACCTTATTTGGTTCATTATTATCTACGCCCTTCTTTATTTTGTTAACCTATTTTATATAAAACCTACAATAGCTGTTGACCTATATTATCTGTGACGTACAGTATTTGATGACCTACTTTATTTGGTGCACATCCTCCTCCAGTGCTTCAATCCTCTCAAAGACTTTCTTGATTACAAACTGCACAGTTGTAGCATTAGCAGTATCACCCTTGCTTCCAGGGAGAATGCCATCCTCATCTTCCAGGTTCAGGTCCTCTTCATCATGTTCTTCTGTGATCGCTCCTACAGGCCCTTGTTTGGATTGAGCATATACCTTGAAACAAATAGCAAAGATATAAAGGTTAAAACCTTGTAGAGAATATGTGCACAATACAAAGGTCAAGGCTCGTTTGGAGAACAGTCTCCTGGGCTAATAATTTTTATGAAAAATATAGAAACATCACCCAAATTAAATTATGAATATTCAAAAGAGGACATTTAAATCTACAAGATGTAAAAATATCAAAATTGTCCAAAGCAATGGGGGAAGTTCTCACCAGATCTGGTGTTGGGCCTCGTTTCCTGTTACGTTTTGCAGCTCTCTTGGAACGGATGCTCCTGCGACGTCGCACTCTCAAACTTTCTAAGAAACCTGCAGGGAGGTTGAAATTCTCGGCTGGAGGACCCGGGGGACCAGAATTTCCCTAAATGATTCAAGTCAAAGAGAAATGGACTTGCACTTCAGTTCTTGGAAATGGTGAGTATTGCACGCATTTACAACACTGTATAAGGAACAATTTATCATATTACACTAACATGAACAATGAACATATTTTTGACGAAATAATACTATTGTGACGTTTCATTATGTCAAAGTTCTTTTAACAGAGGGGTATCTTAGCTGAATCCACATGATATAATCATTAGTCTTAATTTACTTCCGATTTCATGCCTACAGAATTTCATGCATATTATATGATGTAGTACTCACAGGATTTCCTGGTGATCCTGGGGGTCCATCCCTACCCTAAAACAGCAGAAAGTAAAGGTTGTAATACAGTGCATACTCAAACATCAATTCAAATACCAAACTATATATACTATCCTTCCAAATCGTCCTCACATAAATATTGCTTCTAGAAGCATTTTAAAAACAACTTTGGGGAAAAATAAAATAACTTGTTTTAAACAATTAAGCTAGGTTCTTAGTATAATAGTTTTAAGTCTAACTTACAGTATCACATCTCTTATATTGCAAGGTAGTTTAATAGAGACACAATTTCATGATTAGAGGAGGCCTATATAATTATACATCGTTGATGCATTGTATAATACATTGTTGATGCCTCAGTTCGTCAACTTACCGGCTCACCCTTTGGTCCTCTCAGACCTTCTGGACCCTGAAACATACATATTGAAGATCTCTTAATACATTTTGTTAATCTTAAAATACCAGTGTATTGTAGATATTAATACATATTTCAAACCCTAATATATGTATTGTAGGTATAAAATAATAAATAATGGAGATTATAATACATATTGTGAATCATAACACATATTGTAGATCACAATACATTTTGTTAATCTTAGTTCCCGTTTTTTCATATTTTGTTTATTTTTCTTTTATTTAAGTATTTCTTAAATTATTTCAAAACCTCTTCAAATATTATATAGTTACTAGTTCATGAGTCCTCCTCAATTGTATTTCTTATTGTAAATAATCATGTATATTGACTCTTAAATACAAGAAATGCAAGTGTTAACTTACAGACACACCACCACTTCCAATATCTCCAGGTGGCCCAGTAGGTCCATCTATTCCACGGTCTCCCTTCTCTCCCTTTTTACCTTCCCTTCCAGTGGGGCCTGGTTCACCTTTGACCCCTGGCTCTCCAGCAAGTCCCATTAACCCTATATCTCCCTGATGTCCCTTTAATCCCTTGATTCCTCGACCTCCCTTGGGTCCTGGAATTCCTCTCCTACCCTGGAGTTATAAGAATGCATAATTAGACAAAACAAATTAGACCCTTAAAATAGTATTTGACATAAAGATCTGTATATTTACACATACAGTACATATTTCTAATCAATAATTGTTAAATGAACCAAAAAGAATGAATTTCAACAGCTGAAAATGGAGATACATAAATGTTGTTATAATGTATATGTACATACTGGAGGTCCCTGTTTTCCTCTTGCTCCTGGGGAGCCTGGTGAACCAACTTCTCCTGATGCTCCTGGGTTTCCATTAGGTCCTCTGGGGCCAGAAGGTCCAGTGGGGCCCTTCAACAAACCAAATAAATATTATCTAATGCTAAGTGAAAAAATTAAAAATCAAAGATTTAATGGGCTATATATTCCAAAAGGGCTATATAATGCAAAAGTGAAAAACACATTAGGCTAATTGAAATGTCGGTAAGAAGATTGGTGCTTGAGATCTATAATTCATCGCAGAATAAAATCAAGATCGGATAACAATGAAACAACTTACAGGGGGTCCAGTGGGGCCTCTTAATCCCTGTGGTCCTCTCGGTCCCCTGTCTCCCTTTTGTCCGGATTCCCCTGTTGGTCCTGGTTGTCCGGGGTTTCCATCTCTACCCTACGACACAAAAGCAAGTATTATTAAAAGCACTATGAATTATTATTACATTAATTACTTTCTTTAATTAAGTAAAACTGTTTATAGCAGATCATCCAATACTACACCATAATCTCTTTGTAAGAGTAAAACTATAACATTATCGTCCTTGTTGTAGTATGCAACATCAAGTCTCAAATATGTTTCATTAAATATCTCATTTACTCAATGAAGAACAAATCATGCGATGAAACAATAGAATACTTACTGCTTTTCCTCTGACACCAGCTTGTCCTGGTTCTCCTGCTGGTCCAGTGGCACCCTGTAAAATAGGTTTTTATTAAAGGCCCTTGTTATGTAAAATGCAATATATACCTGCAGGTAAGATACAACATATGTAGTTACAAAATGCATTTTTACACAACTCAACATTTTTTCAACTCTTTATGAACGATCCCTGTATTTATGAGATTTCTTGCTTAAATCTTTTTTGTCACAATTTCAAATCGTTAAAACCTTTTAACCCTATCAAATGTTATTTTAATATATCAATAAGTTCAGTCAATCATACCTGTGGCCCAGGTGGACCTGATTCTCCATCTTTGCCCATCACTCCCATGACTCCCTACAACAAAAAACATTGGTATGAAATGATGGTAGTATTTAGGAGGATTAACCTTTTTGATGCAAAATAATGATTGTATTTTGGAGGATAAACTTTTTAATGGGAAATAATGGAAATATTTAGGAGGATCAATTTTTGGGATGGAAATTTTTTTTTATCAATCCATTCTAGAAAAGGCACAAATGATTATTACATTATCTGTATAAATAAATGATGAAATGGAGTTCTTTGAGTAAAGATAAAAGGAGTTCTCTTAAAATTGTTCTTTTGTGTAGTTTTTCAAATGTTGCCCTTGTGCTTAATACCAATCAATGACTCTACATTTGAAAAGTTTATATTTTAAGGGAGCAATATTCACCTTGGGCCCTGCTGGACCAGGTGGCCCTGGAGCTCCTGGGAATCCTACTGGACCCTGGAAACAAAACATAACACAAGATAATTTAATTGAATAATACAAAATAGTTTTAAAACATCTCCATGCCTACACCATATGGGAACTTAAAGTTTCAACAGGCATATAAAGATAAAAATAAATACATGCAAGTATATTCTATTTTATTTATTTTTCTATTTTTTATTTATATAAACCAAGTTTAAGTAACTTTAGTTTATTTTTTACTCTTTTATGTTTTCATCATAAAAATAATTCTCAAATAAAACATGAATTTGTGATGAAAGCTATGTACCAATGCAAGGAATTGACAAGTTTGGAATTGAAGTATTCAATAAAATGATTCACCTTGTGACCCGCAGCTCCATCCTGACCTCTGGGTCCTCTTGGGCCTGGGATACCTTGAGGTCCCATCTTTCCCTCATCACCTTTTGGCCCTGGGCCTCCTGGGATACCCTAGAATGGAAGATTAATTTGATATAACATAAGAGGCTTTGGGGAATATTCTATTGTTTAAGACAGAATGATAAAATTCCTTAATTATAATATCTATATAAATTTAAAAATTTTCTGATCATTGTTAGTAGAATGATCTCAGAGGGAGATTTAAGGCTCTTTGGCAATGGGTAAAAACCTAAGGTCATATATTTGCCAATAGAATCAAGGTCTTTGTTATTGTAACTTACAGGGGGTCCATCTACTCCAGCTGTTCCGGGTTGTCCATCTAGACCTCTCTCTCCTTTCATACCCTGTCTACCCTCTGGTCCCGGGGGTCCTGGTGATCCACTTCCTCCCTAAAAACAGACATCAACAGTGTTTCATTGTATGTATGCATCTCATGGTTGCCTTGTGGTCAATTTTCATTTCAATCAATTTCAACAATCGATTTTGAAAATAACACACTGAATCAGGTAATGGATTTTTAAAAACTAACAACTAATCAGATGTAATATACTGAGTACCAGTCTCTGCCACCTGGTAACCATTTTCTTATCTTATTATGTATATCAGTGTGAAACCCTGAACATTAATTTAACAGACTGGAAATCTGGGGATCATATATGCATATCAGACAAGACCAGCAAATAGCAAAAAGATATAATCCAGAAATGAAAGATTGGAGAATCAAGAATGGCCAAGGAATGATTATTTGATAAAAATCAACGGGAATACTATCATATTGTACCTGTTCCCCAGGAGGTCCTGGTATACCAGTAGGACCAGCAGGTCCAGGGTTACCAAGCTTGCCATGATCTCCTTTCTCTCCTTTGTGGCCCTCAATACCTGGCAAGCCTTGTAGTCCTGGGAGACCTATAGGGCCTGAGGGACCCAGTGGGCCTTGAGCACCCTGAAATCATAACAACAATTGCAACTTTGATTTTCTTTTTTTATTTATTGCTTACATGCTATCAAATCAGAAAAAACATGTTAAAAGTAATTCGAAAAATTCAACTCAATATACATGTACAATGTGATAATTTATTTGTTTTCAATACCAAGCTTTTTTAATACAATATTATGAGTATAATAGTTAGCCTACCTTCATACCAGGAGGTCCTCTAACACCCTGTAAGCCTTGTTCTCCTGGGGGTCCCTACAATAACAAGATTCATTAGAACAAGGCACTAAAAAACTTGGACAGTAACTTTTACATGTAACTTTTACACTTATTTCAAGTCTTGTATTGTAAAACTGAACTTTATACTAGATAATCTAAGTGAAATTGTTGAGTTTTGTGTGTTTTAAATCCCATCTTTTTTTATCAAAATCAGATCTAATTACTTTATTTACTTACATGAGCACCAGGGCCTCCAGGAGCACCTCTTGGTCCTGCAGAGCCTGGGGGTCCCTACAATGAATAGAAACTAAGCTTAAACTATGTTACAGCAATATTCTTAATAACAAAATTTTTTCTATGATTTAAGATATAATAGTAATATAATCTAACATAGCTATATTCCAAGGGAATTGGAATTTGACTAAAGCCCCCCTCACATATGAACGAAAACCCCTTTACGTCAACTTGCGTATAGTGGTGAATAGGAAATTAGTCAAATTCGTTCTCATTAGTACGAGTTCGTGACAGTACGTCGCAGTGTTCGTATAGATGCGTTTGTCAGCGTTTACCTCGGTTGAAATTAGTCTTTTTCGTCGGAAAATTTTGAACATGTTCAAAAAATTGCAGCGAATAAAAGTTTCGTGTGTCATTCGTTGAAATTCGTTTCAATGCGTTAACGATCGGTTAACCTTCGCATTGGCTTCGTCAAGTGACGTTACAGGTCGCTGGGGATAAGGTCGTATCCCCATAATTTGCATATCAAGCGACTGACGACGATCCCATTACGAACCATTACGAACCATTGCGGCAGTTTGCAACCTTGTACGCAGTGGAACGAATACTTACGAATTGGATCTACGTTAAGCTGAATAATTGAGAGAATACCAAATTAAATCAAATAATTCTTTTGTCATGGAAGACACAGATCGACTGAGGCTGCAGTATGTGGCTGCTATGGCCCAGCAAGAAGTTTTAACGCAGCAACTTAACATTCATGAGTTCATCAGAGGCCATTTTAGGCGGAGAAGGGGAGCCAGAGGACGTGGCATCTGGAGGAGACAATGGTTGAATCCAGACAGACGGCGCCAATTCGGCATATATGATCAGCTCATGGTGGAGCTGAGAAGAGAGGACCCAAGAACATTCAAAAAGTTCCTCTGTATGCCAACAGAAATGTATGACGAAATCTTTGAGAGGGTCCGTCCTCGGCTATGGAAACAACATAGCTGGTACAGAGAGCCTTTAGGTCCAGGCCTCAAACTAGCTGCCACTATTCGCCACCTGGTTACCGGTTATCGAGGGCTAGGAGGGTTTCAGAAAACGCCTTTGGAATTTTGGCCAACCGATTCCAGGTACATTGTAATTTATAATATTTGTCGGCGAAACAAACAGTTAAACTCCAAGTTCCTGGGACTATCTAGATACGTTTATTCGACTTCGAGTAAATGAGACTTCATTCGAACTTCCGCTAATTGAGACATGAAAATAGTATGTTTTGTTTGATAAATAATTTGAAAGATGCGCATAAATTGGAACCAACCGAGTTCCACATTCGACCTATGACAGTTTAACTATTAATCCGTATTTTCAAATTAATTCAATTTAACGCATAATAACATTTCAGGTACTCCTCTCAACGATGAACCATAAGCCATCCACAGCGAGGCTGATAGTCAAGACATGCTGCATTCTCCACAACTTGATGAGAATGAGGTACCCTACAATGCAAAATGCACTGATTGACCAAGAGGACAGAAGAGGCGACATGGTTCCTGGGGAATGGAGGAGAGATCGCAACTTGGAAGATGTCAGGCCTGTCAATATCAGAGGCCACAACACAGCAAACAAAAAGGGGAAGATTGTGAGAAATACTCTGAAGCACTGGGTCAACTCTCCTGCAGGAAGTGTACCATGGCAAGACAAGATCGTGCCAAATTAAAGGTTGGACTTTGGGAAATAATCTAAAGCACTGTGTCAACTTGAAATTAAGTGTAATTTGCCTGACATAAATTGTAAAAACTAGTTTAAACGTATTTTTGTTTTACGAGTCTAATAATAAGAAATGTATTGATATAATACCAAAGGGAAAATACCAAACATGATCAGAAAACACAAGAGAAACAAAATCTTTAAGCGAATATTGTCATTAAAAACAAACCCAATTCAAGCGTCAAAAGAAACAGTGTCCAACACCCCTCCCCTTCCATTCTAATATCAAATATTACGACCCAAAACCATAAAACATAGGGATATTTCATTCAAACTGAAGTAATTACAATAATTGCTTGGCATGGTAACCAATTGTACATGTTAATAACATTCCCAATGGATGATCACTGTATGAATTTCAAATCTGTGTTGACTACGACCTCTTAATTAAGGTAGACTATGTTAGAAATGTCAGAAGAGCCATATTAAATACAGGGTGACACCAAAAAATGCCACCCACTTATTTCAGAATGACTTTCTTTTATGTGTAGATAGAGTGTTCAATGGAAGAAAGATTGGTATGCTTGCATTGCATCAATAACTAAGAATAAAGAGATATCACACTTTCCGCGGAGGCATGCTCTGACACAAAATCGTCTTGCCATTTTTATATTTCATTAACTTACGTTGTGTGAATAGGTTAACAATTTCAGATTTATATATGATAGTGTGGTGTTGTCAAGTAAATTGACCCTTACACTTTTCGCAAAGGTTCGTTTAGATTCGGAAGCATGCGCACAATTGCGCTTTGGTTCGCATGTATGCGTTGTTAATCGCTGACGGGAATCGCTGACGCCTCCTGCTTTTCGTAAGGCTTTGTTCAGATTCGGAAGAATGCGCATAATTACGCTTTATTTCGCATGTATGCGTTATTACTCGCTGAAGGGGATGTCAAAGGTTGTTTGCGAGACGCAACGCATCTTAGAGAAGAAAAGTAGTAATTCGTCACACTTCGTAAAACATTCGCAACAAATAGTTACCTTACATTACTATTCGTTATGTTTTCTATTATGTAACATATTTTTAAACATTTTCGCTCAATATTCGCCAGAAATGACTAATTTACCACATGCGTCAGGCTGCGTTTGGTGGATTCGTTCATATGTGAGGGGGCCTTAGGATTTAATATGCTAACTTCTTGAAATATGCCCAATTAAAGTGAATATAGAATAAAGTATAAATATTTTACTTACCTGTTCTCCATCATTGCCTTTAGACCCCTTGGAACCTGGAGGTCCTCTATCTCCCTGAAAACATGATTAATCATATTTATATCACATAAATGTTTGTCAAAAACAGTAAATAATAGATATGGATGGCAATGTTAAGTGGCACAGGTGGTATTACATTTTTCTTGTATGATATCCATTGTTATCTTGTTGGAACAAAACATCCATGAGTAAATTTGATGTTACAGAAATTAAAACAATTAAAAGCCAATAATGGTTGTGTATTTAATGATTTTAAAATATGTTATAATTTTCACATACTATAATATTTCGAGAATTTAGGTTAAGTTTGGGAGTTTTTGCAGTTTGAAACTATTGATATTAATACAATTTTTGGTCTTGTTTGGTTAATTGACTAAAATTGATTTATTAATCATAGGTTGATTGATTTAAATATCAAGCATGAATGACTATTGTATTATTGAATAAAATACTGTGCATGCATATTATCTAAATTAGGTAAATTTTACTGTGTCTATATGTGATTGTTACTTTAATTTTGATAAAATGGCAGTGTCAATCGGATTTAAAGATACTGAGGGTTTAAATTATGTATATTAAATTAAGATTTTAAAACATACTGAAGGATTAATTAAATTATGTATGTTTGTGCATTAGGCTGAGAAGCAATTGTAAATATGTTCCTATTAAAAATGTTATTACATGTCTAACGAGCTAAACTTGTCCCTTATTAAACAGGTATACACTGTATGTTTAATAGGCACATCTAACTTAAATTCTTAGGGACCTGAATTTGAGTGAGTCTATGTTGTCAATCTCAAAAGCATGATATGTTGCGAGGCAGGATAAATTAAGTATGATTATGATACTTCAGAGGATTAACTCCTATGGTGACGTTATATACACATTCAAAGTGGCACACGACCCAAATGCTTTCACATAGAAGAATCAAGGTATTATCAATAGTACACAACCAATTCAATATTCTTATATGTAAAACATTTTGGATCAGCCGTTGCCTATAAATTGTGGGACTGTCTTCATTTTGCCGGTTGCAACCAAATTAGGAATGATTAGTCTTTTGTTTATAACCACAGGGCCGTAGCCAGAATTTGCCAAGGGAGGTTAAAAAATTCGGTCTAATTCTCTTAAAAAATACTCAGAATGATGAAAACCTGCAGGATTCTGTAAGAATTTTTGGCCAAGGGGGAGGGGGGGTTGCTCGAACCACTCAAACCACCCCTGGCTACGGGTCTGTAAAATGTCTCATAGTAACAGTGTCCGAATTTGATTTGGACCCATTTGTAATGGAGTCACATTCAAACCATCTGAATACAAGTATGTATGGAGAGATTTACACCCAAAAGAAAAGCAGGCCAAAGTTGCTATCTGTTGTTTGGAGGTAATGTCCTTATGACAGTGCAAATGTAAAAGATATAAAGTTTTTGACTTATAATTACATTTCGTTATTGACTACAATGACAAATGTGTTGTTACAGGATTTAAGTCCTGGACTCCTGCATTGTGTGCGGAATCATTCAATTGATTCCTGAGAGGAATGAAGCAGCAAGGGTCAAGTTGACAAAGCATCAATTTCAATCTCCTCACCTTGACAACCATACAACAAATGTGTCATTGGTTATACAACGGAATGCAGTTACGTGAAATAGCGTGTTTTGATTGGCTGAAATTGGACACACCTTGCCTAGCTATGTGTGAATATTACTTCAATGACATGACTTATGATGCAACCAGGAAAACAAAGACAGTGTATGTTACATCTCATAAACCTTGTTTGAAAGAATGTAAGGTAAATGCAAAGTGATTTCAGGCATTCATGCCTTTGACAATGAGTATTTCGTATCACCGTAAAAAAACACTTTTCATCAAAATAACAATGTTATCTTCCATGTAAAATTCCCAGGATAATCATATGTTCAATCCTTTCTCTGAACCATGGAAGAGGATCCCTCTTTTTCCTATATTGTATGAATAGATTATAGAGATCTTAGAACATCTTTAAAAGGTAGAAAAACGTTGAAAGATATTTAAATTGTGATGACCAAAATTAGGCTGAAAACAGCAGATTGCAAGGGTTTTCACTTATATGTATTCATGGTGCGAAAATACTCACTGTCAAAGATATGACTGTCTAGTATTACTTGCCATACCATACATGGTATTTTGAGTGAATTGGTGCTGGTACATTTTACATGTATGCATTTTTACATTTTGAATCCCGGAGTTGATTTTAAATTCACAAACTGATTTTTTCTGAAAATACTGATTTGTTCTGAAAACAATGACTGAATTTTCTTTGGTCACTGGGGACTCAAAATGTTTAAGTGCAAATATACTACACTATAAGCAAAACATAAATACATAGCAAGCAAAATGTGAACTGAAGATTAATAATAGTAGTAACGTATAGTTCATTGCCATGGTAACTGTTGCTAGGCAGTCACCATGCTGTTACTATAGTTACCCTCTCTCCATCCTCTCCAGGTCGACCAATTGATCCCATTGCACCACGAGGTCCCTAATTTCAAATAATTGAAACAAAAAATAAATTAAAAAGATAGACATACATTTAAAGCATAGTTTGAAATAAATTATATTTACCGTATCACCTGGTCTACCTGGGGGGCCACTGTGACCCCGTATCCCCCTTGGTCCCTAGAACGTAGCATGTGAACATCAACACCACACTTCCACATAATGAACATAATATAAGCCTCATTTGTGACCATGAGGAGTGCTCTGTAGTGGAAACATGATGATGAAGACTCACCAATTATTTATGCATTACACTTGTTTATTTGTATATTTCACAACTGAAGATCTACCATTATGAAATACACGTAATTCTAAAAAAATAACACCATTCAGTTTGCTCACATGGTGAAAAGCTGGTCTCTATAAAAGGAGGCAAAAGCAGGGACTGGGACCAATAGTGTATATTACCAGCATGGACCCTCATATGAAATGGATATGGGCATAAAAGCTCAGACAATTTGAGTTGTTTCAAAAATGCTGTATGAAGCATAGTTTGATAGAAGGATGAACAATGGGTGGGAGCAGGGACAGATGGACAAGTGGGAGATTCCAAATACTCACCATGTGAGCCTAAATCTTATTGTGTTCTAATCAAATATATCTCATTGCAAATTCAGTTCTTCAAATTACTCTTTTTATCTTATTTATTTTTAAATGATACAAATTTTATAAATTGCTACATATTACAGACAATTTGAGAATTTTTTACAAATTTTACAATCATACCCTTGGCCCTGGAAGTCCATCTTTACCAGCTACTCCTGGCACGCCATCTATTCCCTACAATTAAACAGCAGATTCAATATAGATTATAATAAATGTTTATATACTCTGTGTTGCAGTAATTAAGCACTGAGATACAAAAGTAATTAAGGAACTGGTAAATGTAATAATTCAATTGGAAAGTAAAACTGACTTAAATTAACATTCCCTTCATGTATAAAATGATTCATAATTTATAAAAGAACTATTTTTATTGTTAATATTTCAATAACAGTGGTAGTTTCAAAATAACACATATTATTTTGAAAAAATAGTTTTATTACTAATTCATACTTACCATGTTACCCTTAGGGCCCTGTGATCCAGCAGGTCCAGTTTGCCCTGGTCGACCCTAAAACAAAGAATTAGAGGGTACAATATGGCAATTACATACAAAACATGTGTGAAATATTAAGAAAATACTAAGATGTAAAAGGTAAAACATCCATCCCAATGTATGTACTGTTAATATTGATATTGATAAATCATGAATTTTACAGTTTCAATAGTGAAATTCTTATTTATCATGCCTTTCTCTCTTAAATTTTACAAAATTGAGGAAACCTTTGAGTTATAGACAGTTGATGTAAAATAACATTATTCAATCTATAAAATTCAATTATTAATCAGCCTACCATTGGTCCCTGGGGGCCTTGTATTCCAGAGTCACCCTGAGATCCTTTATAGCCTCTGGAGCCTGGTGGTCCCATTGGTCCAACAGGTCCAGGTTCTCCTGGTATGCCCTGTAAATATATAACATGTTTAAGATCAGTCAGTCCAGGAGTTTTTTAATCAGATAACTCGGCAGAATGGTGGATATGATTTAGCTGAACCTAGTTTTAACTTTACTTTTCTGAATTACATGTACAGGGTGGGCCAAAAAAAACCAATACCCAACTTCAAATCAGGATAAAAATAGTTACATTCAATATGGTACATTGACTTACATATCATTTTAAAGCTTATACAATTTCAAACAATTTGGTATATAACACTATGTCATGAAATCAATAGTAATGTTTTATTATACTTATTTGGGAGGCCGGGTTGCTATTTAAGGTCTCCAGATTTAAGGGAGAAAATAGTAAATCTGTGGAATTATGTTAATTTTTTATTTATGGAATATCAATCATTTGTTAGGTAAATACATGCTTGGCTATTAATATTTGCATCATTGTGTGACTAAATTTATTGTTTATGAATTTTAGTGTTGTTTAACAACATTTTACACTTTATTTATTGAAACATTTTTTCACAATTGCTCAATATACCCCCACCCCCTCCCCCCTGCATCAACAATAAGCTTCAAATGGTAGCGCAATTTATCAATAGCCTTATTGAGAGATTTCTGTTACAATTCATTTCAGCACTTTAGGATTCTGTTTCAACTCATCAAAGCTGTTTATTGGATGCTTTCGATTGTACCATTTCCTCGAGATGGCTCCATGTATGGTAAGCAAACACATTACATGTAGCATCGGGGCTGTTGGGTGGCCAAGCATCGAGATCAATCAAATTGACACCTTGTTTGCAAAGGAATGCCAATGTCTCCTGAGATCTATGGTACGAGGCAATGTCTTGTTGGAAAATGAAATCCTCGTCACATATACGTTTAATGTCTTTTAACAGACCCCCTTTGAGTACTTATTGACAATAAGCAACACTAAAATTCATAAACAATAAGTTTAGTCACACAACATGCAAATATACAAGCATTTATTCACCTTACAAAATGATATTCCATAAATAAAAAATTAACAATATTCCACAGATTTGCTATTTTCTCCCTAAAATCTGGATACCTTAAATACCGACCCGGCCTCGCAAATAAGCATAATAAAACTTTAATATTGATTTCATGACATAGTGTTATATACTAAATTGTTCGAAAATGGATTACCTTTAAAATGATATATAAATCAATGTATCATATTGAACATAGCTATTTTCAGTCTGATTTAAAGTTGGGTATTGGTTTTTTTTGGCCCACCCTGTATATGCCACATATATCTCTATCTAAAAGAAAAACATAATTAAGCTTGAAACTTGTTTCATTTTACAATTACAGCAAAACCTGTCTTAGTGGAACATATTAGGAACCTCTAAAAAGTGTTCCACTGGCGAGGTGTTCCACTTATAGAGGTTCGTTTACCATCAACTCAGTTGGTCTTAGCTTGGGAAATGTTTCACTTCAAAGAGGTGTTCCACTTCACAGATTTCGCTGTTATTAAAATAATCATAAAAGCACGAGAATGTAGATATATGTGACTTACTGGTGGTCCTGGTAATCCCCTGTCACCATTGAATCCTCTTGGTCCTTCAGGTCCTGGAATACCTGGTGGTCCTGAGTTGCCAGCTGGTCCCTATAGTATATAACATGTACATAATATAGAGTTTCAATTTCTTTACACTGATTTATTATCTGATGAAAAGATAAAATGGCATCATGAGATTTTAAAGTTCATAAATCATGAAATAATAGCCTTGGAAAATAATTTTTTAATAATGCATTATTTTATTTACTTATGGAATATTATGGTGTCATAATCAAGGTAATAGCTGACTTTTGAGGGTTATGTTTTATTTTATATCTCAATTGTTTGTAATTGTTCATTTTGATTTTGTTTGTGGTAACATTGGGAGTAGGGGTGAGACAACAACCCGATGAGTTGAGGACTCGCGGGTTTGGGGCTTCGAGTCGAGTCGAATCGAGTCGAAGTTGATGAATCGAATCATTTTCGAGTTGAGAAAAAAATTCGAAAAATAAAAAAATTCAGAAAAATACTGTCAATATGCATGTTTTTACTCGATATTGCGTTGGATATATAAGTTCCAATGACTTGGATATGCTTGTATTAAATTATTATATTGTATGTACACATAAATGAAAGAATATATGTAATAAAATCAGAATAAACTTACGACGAATTGTGTTTGTTTATATTTCCGGCTTTCCACCATTGACGCATTAAAAATACGAACGGTCAAAAGCGATGTTGTTCGCACTTCACGCGACTCGAAACGGATTCGAAACTCGAATCGTCATTTTCTGACTCGAATCGGATTCGACTCGAATCGGATTTTTTCGACTCGTCTAACCCCTAATTGGGAGTGTTGCTTCACTTACTGGTGGTCCATCCTTGCCTGATGGTCCTGGTGGTCCATTGTCTCCAGGGGGACCTGGGATACCAGTGCCGCCTCTCTCTCCCTCTGCACCTTGCTCTCCTGGGGGACCCTGGAGATATGAAAAAATCAAAATTGAATCTTTAGAGACAATAATGAAAATGAATAGGCATTGCTTCAATTCTGTCACGTTGGAATATATTGGAAAATATAAAACGGGAATAATATCAACTTGATTCATAGTATAATATATAGGGAAGTTTGCAACAATTTTATATATAACCATATGATCAAACTCAAAGGGAGGTCAGACATAAAATAGGTTTAATTATTAACTTATTTGTGGATTAAGTGACTTACCACAGCTCCAATTGGTCCAACTGGTCCTGGTTGACCTGGCATGCCTGGTGGTCCTTGAGCACCTCTCTCACCCGCAAAACCTGGGATGCCATCTTTACCTGGGATACCCTGCAACACAATCATAATGCAATGTATCCCATGGGGTGATGGATAACTGAACACTGTTTTAAGTGGAGTTCATGAGTAGACTTTTTTGTATTTGCAGAAATTGAAAATGTCTTAGAAGACACTGGCTCAGGTTTAATGATCTCTGAAGTATATGACTGAATATGCATCTGAATATGCATAACACATTACAGCATTCTCTCTAAAAATCCCAGTCTGCTCCCAATTTTAACATGCAAAATAGTGAAATACTGTTTCTAAAGACTGCATCAACAACAATTATAAAAGAAAAAATATCACTGATAAAAGGTGAAAATCAAAAATAACATTTCTACATTTCAACAATCCCAAACAGCTAGACTATATGAAACATGTATACTTACTGGGACTCCAGGAGGTCCAGAAAATCCTGGGGGACCCTGGGGCCCTTGCTGTCCCTGATCTCCTTGTGCCCCTGGGGGTCCATTAGGGCCTGCTTCTCCCTTGAGTCCTGGTGGACCTCCCATACCTGGCTTACCCCTTTCTCCTCGGTTGCCCTAAAGACAAGATATATGATTATACATTTTAATACGAAAATGATATACAATACAAGCAGTAAAGGTGCTATAAAATTCAATGTTGGCTAAAATTAGCAGAAAATATGCCCTACTAAATCAAAATACAATGTAAAATTGTTACACAGATAATGATGCCCTAAAGGTCAAAGTGAAATCTAAATGATGAGAAAAATTATCAAACCAAAGCATTTTTTAAACGGAGAGGGGATTTCTTTTCAATCTTAAATAATAATCTCAGATTTTTCATATTCTTCAGAAGTCATTCTGTTTCTTCAGAGTTTTCCTGGCAATAAATAATTTTACCTTCGGTCCAAGATCACCTGGTTCTCCTACAGCGCCTGGAATACCAGAGTCTCCTTTCCTACCAGCACGACCTCTCCTACCAGGTGGACCACGCTGACCCTGTAAATAGTTTAAAATGCAAGTAGAATATAAGTAAGAAAATGCAATTGAGTGAAAATAATGAAAATGGATGACAATATAAGAACATGCAATTCAACTACAAGTATGACAAGGCATCAACATGCAAAAGGTCACCACCTGATATTTGTTACAGACGCTGAATGCCAAACACTAACTGCCAAATATCAACTACCAAACACTCTCCGGAAAAAGTTGGAGACCATAACAATATGTCACCACTTCTGATGGTGATAAAATAAGGTGAAAGTGGAGTAATAATCAGAAAAAGTGGATTACATGTTTGAAAACTTTAACTTAATTGCTTTTGTACATGTACAAAGGCTTGTATAAAGAATCTAAAGATAAAGTTCTTATCTTCACTGACATACCTTTTCTCCCATTGGACCTGCGTAACCTGGGAATCCTGGAATTCCAAGACGACCCTAAAATAAGATAAGATAAAAAATTCACATTACACTAGAGGAGACCTCAACAAAGACATCGAGCAAATACAGCCTGAATGAGCTCATATCACAGTCTTCTACGTTCATACTCTTGGCCTCTAATTAAATATTTTTCTTGTCAGAAACAGTTTAATTCAGAAAAATAGTACACATTTTCTTAACTTTAATTTTTAAATAGATATTATCTAAAATAAAGCCTACCTTCTCTCCCATAGGTCCTGGTGGTCCATTTTCACCTCTTGGTCCAGAGTCACCCTAAAACAACATTGAATAACAGAATCACACTAAGATGTACATTTTTAACAAAATCACCTAATACATACACTAGATAAATGAATCACCCCAAAACATAGATATAACAACATAATCACTCAAAACATTAACAAGATTGAAGAATCACTTCCAAACATTCTAATTGTGTTAGATTATATTTCAGAATTAAGAAAAAATGAAGACTTCATCGTTTTTAAGTCTCTTGGGTCATTCCTATCAAATCATTAAAATTGAATAGAATACCTTTGGTCCTGAAATTCCCTCGGGACCTCTATGACCCAAAGGTCCCAATGTTCCTTTGTCTCCCTTAGGGCCAACAACTCCCTTCTGGCCATCCAAGCCGGGCTCTCCCTAAAATATAATACATACATATGAAACATAATTGCAGCTGTAAAATTAAAGTTGTTGGACTTATATTAATTTTCAGTGACCATTTATGCCTTGTGCTGAATTAACGGGTGAACGCTTTCCTGTACAGCGGTTTACATATTTTTTTATTTAGATGTTTTTTCCCATCATAATAGCCACATTATGTAATTACATCAGTAGATACTTTCAAAATGATCATCTAAGTTGCATTGTACCATAATATATTTAGTCATTTTTAAGCAACAGTAGACATGAAATATAATCCAGTCAATTACCTTTTCACCATGCAGTCCCTGTAATCCTCGTCTTCCTCTGTCTCCCTTGATACCTCTGGGCCCTGGGTAGCCAACTGGCCCATTCTGACCTGGGACACCCTGTAACACACATTAAGACTCATGAACATTCAAAAATCATAAATTCACTGTTTACTTGCTCTCACAATATAATGGTAATGTACAAAAGAATGATGATAGAATATACTTTATTCTGTTTTTGCTTATTTTAATTTTTGATTGTCTTATATACAATGTATTTCTAATCTAGTATGATAGTGAACAGAGTGATCCAATATATGTGTACCTTTTCTCCATTCTCTCCTGGATCTCCCTTGATTCCTTGGGTGCCCTACAACAGATTACTCCACATTAACTTTTAAACATTTAATATTAATATTCATATTAGAATAACTGAGTTAAAAACCTAAAGATACAGATATGTACTCAGGTACATGTATATTATGTACATGTATGTTCTATACTAATGTATCTAAGTAAATGCTAATATGGACGTCCGGTTTTACTTTTATTACTGTTAAAATCATTCTCACTGGACTTATCCCACAGAGATTTTTATAAAAATTAATTAAGCTAATCACATGATATGTACTTACAGGTAGTCCATCAGCTCCAGGTAGTCCAGGTATGCCAGGCTTGCCATTAGGACCGGGGAGACCTATAGGTCCCAGTGGACCAACTTGACCTGGAGGACCCTTAAACAATAGCAGTACCACATAAGATGTTGATATTCTTCAAATGATGCTCAAGATTAGATTTGCTCTCTCATTATCATTGAATATAGTTATAATTAGGATTAAATAAAAAGGTGTTAAAAAGTTTAAAGAAATAGCTTGATTAACAGGCTAATTGTGACAGTTATTGTTTACAATCTTCTTGAGAAAAAGGGTAAAATAGAAAGTAATCTGCATGCATAAGTGATTACTTTATTTAGAAAAAATATATGAAAAAGTACAATCTAATACGTACAACAGGTCCATCTGGTCCTGTAGCTCCTGGTGCACCTGGAGCTCCTTGAGATCCCTGAAAAAGAAATACTCCAATTGTAAATTGTTTATTAATTTCTTGCCTAATTCTCATATCTTTTTATTAACTTCATTTTTTAGTATTTTAGTATTATATTAATTTTAACTTTTAAACATTTAAGTTATACTTCATGATAATTAATATCTAATATTGCATTTTATTTAGATGGTTATATTTCAGTTAATTGACATTGAATATTTACCTGGTTTCCTTTGCTGCCCTGTGGCCCATCATGTCCAGGTTGTCCCGGGGGACCAGCTGGTCCAGTACCACCCCGTGGTCCCAAAAATCCTCTGGGTCCCTAAAAGTAAAATATTAAATTTATGATGTCACAACCTCAGTCTAAATGGCTGTTGGCTCCTTTGGAAAGCTTATCAAATTGAGAAAACACTTAGTTCTAAGTGATAAATTCTACAGCTAACTTTATCAGCTTTATATTTTTTACTTTTACCATCTACTACTCACCACATCTCCTACAGGTCCTGGGGGTCCCCTGGGTCCATGTTCTCCCTAGAATAACACAAACATGAACTAATTATACAAAATAAAACATTGCATCAATTGAGTGACATCCTGAATCTAGCCCTTTTTACATATACACTATACAGTAAAACCAGTGATTGTGAAGTGGAAGACCTCAATAAAACACTTTTCAAAGTCATCTAATTCCTCTTTCAGATAATTTATTGTAAAATGAACCTCTTAAAGTAGCACACCTCCCAAGTAGAGATACAGCTGTTCCAATTACAAATGATAAATATTCCATGAGTTACGCAGTTTAAGTACACTACCATCCGGCAATCTTATTCGTTCAACCTATCACATAGCCCCATGTTAACATGTTTGCATAATAAATATAGAAACATCTTTCAGGGATGATAGGATCTGATTGAATAACAAGTTGAGTTTATCAGATATGTAGAGCGTGAAACAATATGGGTCTTGAAAAGGGTAACTACTTACTGGTTCACCATCAATACCAGGGTAACCAGGGGCTCCTGAACTTCCTCTTGGTCCCTGAAATAGATGTATATTATGCTTAGAATGTTGTTCACCTTAGAAAGTTCCTACTGTTAAACATTTATTGCGGTGGTATATTTTGAGTTACTATACTTCTACTTTATTTGGCGGCCATTTTAATTTGGCGGATCTGCCAAATTGTTGAAGTCAGCCATTTTAATCATAAATATGTATGGTGTATACATTTCAACAATGCAAGTCCGCTTCATTAACTTGCCGCCAAATGTTCAAAACAGTAAATCCGTCACGGTTTGAGGTATTGTGTTTCCATCGTGTCATCATATTTTACAAGTATGTACACCTTATTGTCTTTATTTCATATAGCCATATAATCTATTGCCTTTATACTATCTTCCCATATTCCATAATAAAACAACATAACCTTTTCTTTATTGCCCTAATTGTACATAGATGCATACCTTAAAGCTCTTATTCTATATACATATAACTCAACACAATGCCCTTATTTTACAATGTGCATACCTTATTGCCCTTATTTTCCATAGATCCATGTCTCATTACCCTTATTTTGCACAGATGAATACTTCATTGCCCTTGTTTGACATACCTCATAGCCCTTATTCCACCATAATGCATACCCCATTACCCTTAATACCCTATTTCCCTTATTCCATATAGAATAGATGCATTACCCTATTACCCTTATTTCACAATAATACAAACCTCACTGCCCTTATTCCACATTGATACATACTTCATTGCCCTAATTACACATTAATGAATACCATATTTTCCATATAGAATAGATACATACCCTATTACCCTTATTTCCAGGCATGCCTATAACACCAGGGAAGCCTTGGTCACCTTTCTGCCCTCCGGTTCCTGGTTCTCCTCTTTCACCATCTAGACCAGGTCGACCCTGAAATGTTGTCATGAATTATTTTTCTTGATCATGCCATATTGGGGAAATGCATTAATATATTTTCCTTAACAAACAGGTCTCGGTGCATATCTCTTAATCAAGCTTTGCATGTGTTTCATGAGCAAATCATTTCTTGATTAAAGGTTGATGAATAAATCAATCATGTGGAACTAGTGTGCTAGTGACATCTATAGCAAAATAAAATTGATAATTAAACATTATTTAAGAACAGTTCTCTGTATAAATGCATAATGCTTTGATAAATTTACTTCTGAACATGTCATTTAACCTGAAAGAACCATTTGAATTTTTTACATTGATTTGAAAACAAGAGTACTTTCTTACCCGCCCTCCAGGTGTACCTGGTGATCCAGGAATACCTCTCGGTCCGATAGGCCCCTAAAATAGATGAACAAATTTGTTTTATGGAACGTATATTATAAAATGAAATTATAATCATGTTTCATAGGAACTTTTAGTTTAAACCATACATGACGCTAAAGGATTTTTTGTCAAAATTATGTGGATGTACTACTTTAAATATTGATGGAAAATGTGTCATAAAGTAAGCATTGTGTTTCATTTCATTTTATTTAACTGTATTTTCCAATCATAATAAAATAACTTGACAGTAAAATGATATGAAGTATTAACATGGTATGATACAGACTTTGGATTTGAAGATGAATGCATACAGTATAGGAAATTATGTTGAAGTGAATAATATATTTTACAAAAGCATCATACACTATCTCCTGGGTCTCCCATATCTCCCTTGTCTCCAATACCACCAACCCGACCCTAAAATAAAAATAAAAAGATACAAATATCATTCATAAATATGAAAGTTGTAAATAAATCAATACATGTAATTAGTAATATCTAATTAGGATACATGGTTTGATAAAAAAACTAAGGTGAGAGGAAGTAACTCAAAACAAATCTTCTGAAACATGAAGAATGGTTCCTTGATTTATTAAAGTAAAAATTGAAATTGTACCATGATTTGTAACATGCAAAGTACAAAGAAAAGTAAAAGTATAATAGGATACTACTAACAGTTCATATATATCTGGTGTTTAACTAATCAGTGTTGACCAAAGTATTTGCCTGATATCTTTATAATAACAAGTATAGGAAATAAATCAATTGGGTGAGATAAGGTAAAACTACTTACAGGGTGTCCTGGGAGACCTGTCATACCCTGAGGGCCTGTAGCACCCCTCATTGCTAACTGTAAAAAAATATAATAAATCTAATTGGCGAGGTTCAATATGAATAGTTGTCCACCAATAAAAGTTTTTAGAAGAACATTTATAATTGTATATGTATACATGCATATCAATTCAAACATTTGTCACCAAAGAAGCAGATGGCTACATGGTTCTCAAGCTTTTAAACAATTTTCAATTCCAAACACATTGTGCAATTTATTTCATAAAAAACTGAACTGAAACTATACATTTTCAATTTTCTTATTTTTATTGCTTGAAAAAGATTTACATCATTCATAAATCGAAATATTGCAAATCTAAATCATTATATTTCTTTATTTAGATGATTAGATTACTTTTAATAATAAAATTCAAGTAATTCAATGAATATAACAGAGTTTTAAGAATTAAAGACAGATTTTCCGTTGCATTTGCAGTGTTAAACTAACCATGTGCTGACTAAGCATCTGCCTTATCTGTGCTGCTTGGTTGCTAGGTCCCTTGCTTGTATCAGAGGTGAGTGGAATGACAAACACATGACCAGGGGGGCCGGGCAGACCATTGGAACCAGGGATACCATCACGACCAGCAAAGCCCTAAAAATAATATGTACTGTCTGGTTTGTTTCTGATGCCATCAGGTAATGATCTTGAAGACTTTGATCTTCCAACACACTGTGCATATCAAAGTACAAAATTTTAAAATTCAGAAAGGATGAGTCTGGGAATGAGTCAGGGTATCGACTTAGAAAATATTGAAAATTGTAATGTCTTGTAAAACAACTCAATCACACATATTATTAAACTTCAATATCTTATCCTTCTTCTGAGATTACAAAAATATAAATTTGTATCACAATTGATGAAGAATATTGGCATCAAAGACAGTGCATATCACTTTGTCAGAATTGAAAAAAAATCAATGGCAAATATTAAATGAACTATTTATGCAAAAAGTTTGAAACATATCTTCAAAAACATTGGTTACTTTCTTTGTATAGACATTGAATGGTATTTCTGGATAAGTGAATTGGTGTTTATCTGGGTAATCAAGGGATTATAGTCACTCAAAGTTACTGAGCATCCAGTTTTGAGACTTCAATTGTGTTGTTGATTTTACACATATTTCAGTCAAATTCATGCTGAGCACAACATTTTGGTTTCAATTTTATAATCTCTATACATGACCCTGGTGATGAAGAGTCAGAATCAGTCAAAAAACCTAAACCGGAAAACTGTGCTCATTGTGAAAACTAAAAGTGAAGCAACTTTTTTTCTGATATTTCTTACATCAAATGGCAACCATCTTGTTTTTCCCCCTTCAAATTAAACTGGCGGGAAATTCAAAAATTTGAAAAAAAATTTAATCATAAAATATATTTCAAAAATATGATTTTCTTTTTAATTCTTCATGGGTCTTAAGTTATTTCTTCTTTGTATGTCATACATGTAGCCATTGGTGTTTTTTCTATGATAATGACTATTTTTTGTTTTGTTAAGATACTTATTTTGACTCTCAGCAGGGGGTTAATTATGCATCAAAACTCGTGAAAAAGTAAATATACTTATTAAATATAACCAGGACAGTAATAAAAACCATATTTCACATACATTTGACTGAGGGACCAAAATGGCATATACCCTGACACATCCTTTCATTCATGGCAATATTGTTTCATGTATGCAATTGGTTTTAGGATTTAAATAGAAACACCATCATGTAATTGGTCATGGGATATTTTTGAGAGAGTTGCTTAAAGGTCCTATCTGAGACACCAGAACTGATACTTACTGGATCTCCCTTTGCCCCAGATGGGCCTCTTGGACCTGGGGGACCAATAGGGCCAGGGGGTCCCTACAAAAAGAAATAATATAATTATTATTGAGGGAATATGTTTTCAATCGAGCAATAGTTTCAATCTGGTGAAAGAGTTTGTGATTGATCTCTTTTAAATAATGTAAGATTCCATGGATACATGGATACCATTCCATTCCATGGATACATGTATTTACCATGATTTGCCATGGTAATTTAAATTTGTGGTTTGGTATTTGGGTTTCATGGCTTTTAATGAAAGTCATGATTTTTACTACCACAAATTGAGTTTTGAAATCAACAATTTTGGCAGGTTTTGTTTTTTCCAAAATGAATGTTTCAGCCGATTATATATCTCAAATGCATGGAGACTTATCATGTAGTACAAAGGTAAACAATTCCATGTAGTGATAAAATCGGCTCACCAGAATTCTTTATTGCATATTCATCAGATATCATTAATAAATTTTCTGAAGGAAAATGTCTTAAGTAGGTAAACTGGGATAAAAATATAAGTTGAAAAAATATAAATTCACATAGTAATATGATGTATTCTTTTTTGCCACCATCGTGGAAAATAATGAGTTTCTGATTACATTTTCAAACATCAAACAAAAATTGATTGATTGCACTTTCAAAACTTCAAATATCCATGGCATTGAATATTCATTTTCAAACCATTGATAACTATGGAAAATCATGGTAAAAATGATTAAAAACAAGAATTCACATGGAATACCATTAAAGTACCATGGAATAACATGGTTATGCTACCATGTCTTTTTCTAGAGCCAGAGCTTTCATTACAATATGTATCCATATAAACTCCAGACGACCAACTCTTAACACATACATACAGGTACATGTATATATGTGTATGTTGGTATGTCTGATAGCTGACCCTACCCTTACATAATTATAATAGCCACCATCTGGGCCAACACTACCGCCACCGCCGCCGCCACCTCCACCACCACCGCCACCATATTCATAGCCACCACCGCCACCTTCACTACCACCATAGCCATCTCCAACTTCACCAGAGCCATAATCATCCTGGAAAAGCAGATATTAATCTAAGCATTCAAATAAATAAAATTATTTTCAGAACAATAAAGTTCTGAATAATATATAAATGCATGTGAGTGAGAACATATTAAGTCCAGATTTTTAGTGAACAAAGATGATAAAATCAATCATTTTTCTACTTTGGATATATTCTGTGCATTTGTTGTGATTGGATAATTAGATTGACTTTTAAAACAATATTCTTTTGAAGGTCTTAATTATTCACTAGGGCAGAGCATTTGTACTGAAAGGAGCGTTTTCAGTACAAATATGTACTGAAAAATGTACTGAATTTTTAAGTATATTTTTCAGTATAAACATGATAAATATGTACTGAAAAATATACTTAAAATTTCAGTGCAAATTTCAGTATAAATATGTACTGAAAAATGTACTGAAATTTTAAGTACATTTTTCAGTATATATTTATACTGAAAAATATACTGAATTTTAAGTGTGATTTTAAGTGCAAATATGTACTTAAAAATATACTGAAATTTAAGTGTGATTTTAAGTGCAAATATGTGCTGAAAAATATACTGAAATTTAAGGGCATATTTAAGAGTAAATTTATACTGAAAAATATACTTAGATTTTGAATTACGACATCTTCCTGACTTTGACATCTATATCATGGATTTTGCTATACTCGAACAAATGAGGTTCTATGTTCATGTTATATATTTTAATTTTGATATCAATTAATCAATTTGCTCAAGCAATATGAGTGAAAATCTCATGAAAAACTTATTTTTAAGACTGAGAAAATGTGTACCTTTAATGTTTTTGAATTTTAGAACTTAATAAGGTAGAATGTATCTAGAAACCTCAAAAGGTATGGAATACACATGTTATGTACGATCAGTTTTAAATAAAGGGTTTATCCCTCAGGAAATATGGGTATCCAAAACCTCCCAGTACATAACCCTTATATATGCATTATATTTGATAGGTTTGATCGGGCTAAAAAGAAATTTATTGATGGAGAAAATGCAATCAGATATTATTACAGGATGCGTCTTAAATAATTAAATCCAAAAACATAACTTATTAAAAGGAAAACACTTGATTACAGTAAACCTAGCCTCTCCAGTATGATTAGAGTCTGCTTTAAAGGATGTGTCTAAAGAAACTTTATTAATCCATTAACAAAACAAAATATTTTGACAAGGCAAAACAAACCTGATTACAGAGAGACTCTTTTAAGTTTGGTTAAAGTCTGCTGCAAATGAAGCATCCAAAATAATTTCATAATGTAAAAGCATTCCTGGGGGGGGGGGGTTCAGGGGTCCAAGCGAACCCCCCCCCCCCCCCGGCCAAAAATTCTTTTAAAATCATGCACTTTTTCACCATTCTAAGAACTTTATGAGTGATTTAGAGTTTATAAAGTATGCCTTACATATACGTTTTCTCTTATTTCCATTATTGGGCACAAATATTTCTCATTGCATATATTTATACTTAAAATTATCCTTAAATTTCAGTATATTTTTCAGTACATTTTTATACTGACTTTTGCACTTAAATTTCAGTACATTTTTCAGTATATATTTGTACTTAAAGGACGATTCTCGGTTTGGAGAACAGTCTCTAGGGCTAATAATTTTTTTCATGAAAAATATAGAAATATTACCCAAATTAAACTTTGAATATTCAAAAGAGAACATTTAAATCTACAAGATGTAAAAATAACAAATTGGTCTGAAGCAGCAGGGATAATGCTCAATTAGACCTATTCAATAAAATACAAGTCTCGATTTGGGGAAAGAAGTTCAATAGTGTACTGCGCTAATATTTTTTTGCGAAAAATCTAGAAATAATACCCAAATTAAATTATGACTATTCAAAAGAAGACATTCAAATCTATATTATGTAAAAAAAATCAAATTTGTCTGAAGCAGGGATAATGCTCATTTAGATTGATGAACTTCGTTCTCCAAACCGAGAATCGTCCTTTATCCTTAAATTTTCAGTGCATTTTTGAGTATATTTTTGCACTTACATTTGTCCTTAAAATTCAGTACATTTTTCAGTACATATTTATACTTAAAATTCAGTATATTTTTCAGTACATGAATTTGTACTGAAAAATATACTGAAAAAAATTCAGTGCATTTTTCAGTACAAAAATATACTTAAATTTGTACTGAAACAAAACTAGTACATTTTTCAGTACATATTTGTACTGAAAACGCTCCTTTCAGTACAAATGCTCTGCCCTAGTGATTGCATGTTGTTTATAACTGCTTTCATTATGTTACGCCACAACCTTGTCCTTGACTGAATAATCTGCTTGTTTAGACATTTTAAAAGCATTGATGTATTAGATGGCATTATCTGAGGTGTTGTCAGTATATTAGTTTACCTTCGATAAAATGAATTTATACCAGGCCTGTAGCCAGGATTTGCCAAGGGGGGTTCACTTTTCAAAAAGTTCGAGGGGGGGGGTTAACTTTTGACAAATTTGGCCCATTAATGGCCCAAATCACTTGAAGTGCTAATAATGGTGCTTGAACCCCCTGGCTACAGGCCTGCATACTACAGTATTAAACATACCACAAAAGCTTAAAACAAAAATAACTTTTACTTTCTTGTATATTTAGGGCTATTTTTGACCAGCAGCAATATATGAGTATACCATATAGAGTTAAGAGAAGCTGTTGAAGCTGCAACACATAATCAGTTTCTCAATTTTGAGTAAGATCAATGTGTAATCATAGCCAAGTTAGAGCAATTTTGAGTAATAGCAGAAATTTTGAGAATTGTTGAATGGCCATGTAGGTCAATTTTGAGTAATTGTTGAATGGCCATGTAGGGCAATTTTGATTTATTGTTGAATGGCCATGTAGGGCAATTTTGATTAATTGTTGAATGGCCATGTAGAAAAATTTTGATTAATTGTTCAATGGCCATGTAGGGCAATTTGAGAAATTGTTGAATGGCCAAGTTGGGGCAATATTGAGTAATTGTTGAATGGCCATATAGGTCAATTTTGAGTAATTGTTGAATGGCCATGTAAAGCAATTTTGATTAATTGTTCAATGGCCATGTAGGGCAATATTGAACAAAATGTTGAATGGCCAAGTTAGGGCAATATTGAGAAATTGTTGAATGGCCATGTAGGGCAATTTTGATTAATTGTTGAATGGCCATGTAGGGCAATATTGATTAATTGTTCAATGGTCATGTAAGGCAATATTGAAAAAGTTGTTGAATGGCCATGTACAGCAATTTTGAGAAATTGTTAAATGGCCATGTAGGGCAATTTGAGAAACTGTTGAATGGCCAAGTTAGGGCAATATTGATAAATTGTTGAATTGCCATGGAGGGCAATTTTGATTAATTGTTCAATGGTCATGTAAGGCAATATTGAAAAATTGTTCAATGGCCATGTACAGCAATTTTGAGAAATTGTTGAATGGCCATGTAGGGCAATTTTGAGAAATTGCTGAATGGCCAAGTTATAAAGATTTTGAGAACTTGTCTAATGGCCAAGTAAGAGTAATTTTAGTATTGTTTACAGCATAAGACGAAGATTAGCATTAGAAGTATATTTAGGAATGGAACTCAATAAATTGAAATTTTGAGTTAAAGGTGAGTAAATGAAAGTGACGAGTGAGGAATGAAAATGTATATGTTGAACAAGTGTATTTCTTCACATATGTAAGCTATACATTGCATAGTAGTGCCAAAATGAAGACCAAAGCGTGTTAAAAAGAGTTTGCTTTTACTTAAGTAATTTAAGAAAGTATTTCAACATATTTCCAATTTATAGGTAGAATACAGTAAATAAGAGATATCTGCCAAGTCTCTCAAATATGAAATACAATGTGCATTATATATGTAATGATTAAATGATTTATGATTGCATGATGTATGGAATAGAGTCATCACCTTGGATGACCTTAAATATTAAATAAACTGAGTTAAATGAAAGCCACACAATAAGTGTTAAGCCTCCTGTGGCCATGTGTTATCTTACTGTGGTGGGGAGGTCACCTCTTCCTAGTTCTGCACCCCTTAACTCTTCTCCAGTGTTGTAATTGTAGTCATAATCCCTATTCTGAGTATTGAAATATGTCACATTACTCTATTCTTTGATAGGTGTTGTGTCATTCATTATCTTATGTTACCCTATGTTCTTTATCAACTTAATTTACCCTTTACTCAAATTTTGTCAGTTATTTAATTGCTTAAAATATGCCTCTTCAATACTAGCTGGAATTCTAACTAATATTTTGATTGTCTGTATTGTCTGGAAAATGTAGTTGGAACTCGACATATTGAAGGACTGAAAACAGTAAAATAATATAAGGCAGAAAATAAAATAATCTCCCTTACTGTGTCATTATAGCTGTAACCATCATAGTATTCGTCATAACTAGAACCATCAGTCATAAATGCTTCATCACAGTTGGGGGTGTAGTATTCACATTGTTCGTATGCAGCATCTTTATCAGGGATGAATAGCAAATCTTGAATGGCTCCCTAAAAGTGTATACAGATTTAGAAGAATTAGGATTTAGACAATTTAAAGTGTATATTTTCAATACAAGTGTGCCAATGCCCATAGATATCCATGCTTCTCAAATACAAAAAATAAAACAAGAATCTCTGTAAACAAGTTGGCCTAACAACAAATGGGACATCAGAACATTTTTCTGTCATGTCGAAATAATGAAGTTGTTAACTTATATGTGCAGAAGTCTTTCCTTGATTTAAGCAATATAAATTAAGAATCAATTTCTATTTTTTAATTATTTTTTATTAATCTAATGTACTTATTGTCATACTTTTTACAACACGTTTCAAGCAAACTTCCAAGTATGATGACATACAAAATTTAACCTTTAATTCCGAATTGATTCCTTACC